CTACAAAAGAGAATGACTTGGTTCATACTCTAGTTCCGTGTTTCGAAATGAAGCAAAGGTGACGAAAAAACTGTTCCATAAAATACAGAAAATCTAGAGAGAACGTCTATGGAACAAATTCTTCATGAACAATCTATATTGCTCGGAACTCTCATGACTACTCTCGAAAATTCTGAAAGAAACTTTCTTATCTATGTGAGAATGGGCCATGTTTAATAGCTTTATACTCTCAAAGAGCATAAAAAACTTGTGAAATAAACATTGGCTTCCTTCTAATCCTTCTTGTACCCTATGAGAGTTGCCATTATATTAGCATACGAGAATAAGAATATCGATAGTTGAAAAAGCCATATTGATCGTTTTTCCATAGTTCTAGTCATCTCAGTCCAAGCCATAAAGGGTATGACATAGTCATCAGTTGATAAAGAGAAGAAGTTGGATTGGTATCCTTTACTGTTTTCCTTGTTGTTGTTGTGACCGACAAACAGTCAATTGTTCATTTATTTATATTTGTACTCCGAAATAAACAGAAGATTGTTTCATTTCACTTTGGCGATGGCGAGTTTGGATGAAAAGTGGAAAGCTGTGGACAAGTTTGAGTCTGTTGTGGTAGATCGTGAAAGAGATGTTTTTCGAGTGACAGAAGAATTGTATGATCTTCATAAAGGCCGAAAGCAACTCAGGGGTGTAACAAGTAGTTGCAACTATCGCTTGACGATACCATTTGCCCCTCATCTCTTTGGCTCAGGCAAAACGACCTTTGCCCGAACCTATTTGGAGTTGGTGCAAAGGTTTGGTGAAACTTTTCTGTCGAATTTTGCTTCGGACCCTTTGAAGAAGAACCTTTTTGGAGAAGCTGAAAAGGGCTTCGTTGCTCTTTGTGGATTTGAGGAAGTTGGAGCCCACAGACCCGAAAGAACGCAACCTAAAGTGGGCAGTCTACTATTTGTTAGTAAAGGCTGCTTTTTTGCAATCAGGTCTTCCGCAACCAGACCCGGACGAATGTTTCAAGGAACTGAAACTTAGGACTGATGCTTTGGTTCAGAAAATCCGTTCAATCTTAAACATTCCTTCTGATCAATATCTTTTGTTGGCATTTGATGAAGTTGGTGTGTTTGATACAAAGGGAACCTTTTTTGAACTGGAGAAGAATGACAAAGGTGTGGTTCGACCTTACAACGACTTTTTCGGTATCATTAGTCAATTGTGCAAAGAACCCGACTTGTTTTTTATAGTTGTTGGGAAAAGCAAGGGTTTAAGTATTAAGAATTATGTGTCTTTTGGGCTATCAAGAGTTATATTACATTTTATTTCTTTATCACCTTTGGACGCTTCCAGTATCGTTGAATTCCTTGAAAAGACTCTTCTTGAAACACCTACTCAAGTTCCGGTTTGTAATGTCTTATGTAGTTCTTCATTTTCAGTAAATGAATTGGCAGATTCGTTATTGGAATGTACAGGTGGAGTTCCTGGTTTGTTGACTCGTGCAGTGAATATGCTTTTGAATTATGTGGTAGTGAGAAATCAGCCTTTTATATCGAAAGAAGAATGTTTGACTTGTATGAATGACTATGATTTCCGAATAATTTGTGCTGAACCATTTGTGGAACGAATATTGAATTTGGACGAAGATAGAAAAAGTGTTTTTGATTTACTTTTGATGATGGCTCTTTATCGTATACCGTTTCAAGTAGATGATATATTGACCTCGGAGTCCTTTTTATATGATGCAGTCACTGAAATGGGATTATATCGATATCCTATTGACGAGAATACTTTTCAAGTCCTGATTCCGAAAGTATTTGTTGTAATCTTCAAGAAGGACCCTTCCATATCTTCTTTGGAAAAGATACTTCTTGGATCACTTGATGTCGAACCAGTAGATTGTTTCTTTTATTCAAAGTGTCGTGTATTTGAAGGAATTGTTGCTTTACGACTAGTTTTGATGTTGTCTTCAAAGAATCGAAATGAATTGAGGGAATTGTTGTGTCAATTGTCTCCGATATGGAAACAAATGAAACTTCCAATCAGTACAATATCACCTATTCACTATATGAAGTCTGTTGTTAGTTCTAGAGAAACAAGAAGTGAATCGAACAAGAGTCGAAGAACTTTTGCCAGTACTGAATGGAATAAGATTATTCGAGAGACACTTTATTTAGAGACTGTTTACATTCCTTTGGACGCTACTTCTCATAGTCCTGATATTATATTCCAATTACAATCTCCTGTGGAACCCAAAGTTCTTACTGTTGGAGTTGCTTGTAAAGGACGTTGGAAGTCGGAAGGAATTGGCTGGTCAGATATTATAGATGAAGCCAAGAAATTTTTAGATCCTGTTTATGATCAAGTCTTATCCAGTGCAGTGGATTATCATCATTGTATGCTTATTATCGTTAGTACAAAGTTATCATTGAATGTTTCTAATGAGTTGGGTAATCAGAGTCGTTGTTACTCCAGTGGAATGTTTATTGGAAATGATTTTTTCAAAGTACCTGATAATTGTGAACTTGTTATTCTTTGTGAAAGAGATGTGGAAATGCTGATTGACGAAGAAATATTGAATGGACTTGAAAGAGCATTTCATGTTTCTGATAATCCTACTTTTTGGGATTTTGGATTAGATTTACTTGATAGAATCCGTAACAGTTTCTTAAGTTGGCAATAGACTTTTACTCAATCCTTCACTTTGTGATTTCTTTTTAAGAGCAAGTAAACTCTTTTTTTTTATGTTTGGAACTTGGTTACATCTTGCTTGCTTGTCTTTTGGACATCATTGAGTCTTCCTTGAAAGAGCGTTTCATGTAGCTGGCTTTCATAGGTTTGGGTTTTAGATTGATTTACTTGTCAATTTGCAATAATATTGCAGAGTTGTAGCAATGATTCAAAATGAATAGACTATACATACATAGATGTTGATACAACTAGAATGAAAAATATCCTTTCTTGTCCAAATACTTAGTAAAGTGGTTACCCAAAGAATATCTCAAAACATTCTTCAACTGTCTGCTATGTTGTCTTTCTAGTCTGTTGAAAAAAGAACAGTAACTTTTTTACTATAATTTTCAAAGACTGAGACAGAAAAAGTTGTTTGTAGATTTCACTTGGACTGTCCTTCCTGTCTTTTGTTAACTGAATAGAAGAGAGTTTTCCTCGGTTTTAGACCAAACGAAGGGAGTGGCAGCAAAAACTTGAGGCTTCCTCTAACTTGAGAACCTGCACTGCGGTCTCAAAAAGAGTTTTAGCTTGTTGAAATTCGATAAAAGTTTAGATTCCTTTCGTTTTTATGTGTTTTTTTCAAACTGCATTTCTAGCCTTGGAATTCATATGAATGGCTCCTACAAATATGAAACTTGTTGGATCCAAGAGAAAATATAGCAAAGGTAAGAACAAATACTAAAACAAGTATTTTAGTTTGCAATTCAAACTCTATCTCAAAAGTATTCACGACACTATATATCCAAACTCTGTTTTAGTGAATTAGACTGAAAACTCACCGACTCTTAGATAGGGAAAGTAACCCGGTTGCAAAGATGATATTCGATATAAAAAATTTCGTTTGACTATTAATAGTACAAGAGACATCTTAAATGATTCTATCCATGTGACAGTCGGATATACAACTTTCTATTTCAGACAATTACTATTTACATAGGAGTTCTATTTATGTTGCATTGCAAAGGACAACTTTGAGAGTGGAACAGAATTGTTTCTAATTAGTCAAAGGAAACCATATCCAATCTTGAAGTATTGTCATTCCACAACAATCACTTGACCGATAACTTAGGAACTACAACGTCTTTCAGTCAAGAGTCATGTTGGGTAAAAGTTCTTCAATATGGAGTGGCTTTCAGTTGGAGAATTGCTGAAGCTTTCAAGTTGGTACACTACTCGACCTTGACTCAAGTATGAAAGGCTTCTTCTTTAGTAAAATAATTTTTTGGTTCTGTCTTTTGCTCTTTTTTCAGCATCGATGTGTGGAAAATGAACGGTTATAGTTACTATATTTGAAGCCTTTATTGATGTTTTTATATAAGACGTATTCACAACTTGGTAAAAGTCGAACAAAGGATAGACAACTTGTGTAGCTATTACATCAATATTGGCTTGTATTTAATGATAAGTCAGTATGACAGTCTACATAATACTCTTCTCCAAATTCATTTAGATATTTTTGTATTTATAAACTGTGCTACGACCGGTTACACACTAACAGACTTCCCATTCATTGTAATTCTCTGTTTCCCACTGTATTTCGTGTGTAACTTACAAAAAGCTTGTATCTTATTAGACTTGTATATAGGAGTTTGCGTGTAAGATGGTGTGGAAGATAGTAGAAAAACTCTCTTACAGTATACAAGCCATAGAAAGAGTACCCATCAATCTAATTCACCACAAAAACTCATAGAAACCTATTTCTTGTCTATAGTAAAAGAAAGTTTCTAGTTATGACAAGCAAGAAAATATTCCTGATTTCTCTCTGTTGTCATTGTGAGTCTAGAAGTGTCAACGAGATCAGTTCTACCAATCACCAAATAAAGCAATCGCTCGAACAATAAAACATACACTCTCTTCCATCATCTCTGAAAGTTTTTCGGTCATTGATTTATTCATTAGTTGTGAATTGATTTCGGATTGGCGGTGGCGTGTAAAATGAGTTTTAGAGAACCGTTGATAGATAGAAAAGAAGATGTTTATTCTATTCTTCGAACTTATTTCTACCAGTTTTCTTGAGTTGGGGGAGACTTGAATACTGTACGTCCTGCAGCTTGCTTTTCCCCTCAGGTCTTTGGAGCTGGCAAGAGTTTTGTTGGAGAAAATTTTTTAGAGTTTTTAAAAAAATTCGCCGACGAAGAAGAAGAGCAGACGAAGACGGAGGTTTTCAACAAGAGCTCATCGGGAAAAGTTGATTTGAAGATTTTTTCTTGGAAACACTTTGCGGAAAACACTTTGTCAGTTTTCTTTGAACTAGGAGAGAGCTTTTCTCGTGCTCCTTTTCCAAGGTTTCTAGAGGCTTTGATGAATAATATAATTTTGAACGCTTACCGACAAAATGGTAAAGATAGGGACGCTCTTCAGATAGCTGAAAGGACGGTAAAGAATTTTGATATCGTAGGAGCTATTGATTATCTTCTCGAACAATTTCAGAAACGATATTTATTTTTGATGATAGACGAACTTAGCCACCTGAGTTACCTCACCAAATACTATAGTGAACTTGCCGCGAAACAGTTTGTCGAGTCTGACCGAAAATATGTACCTTTTCGGAATTTTTTCCGTGTTTTGCGTGATTTGTTGATTACAGGGAAGTTAATTGTCTATTTGGCAGGTCGGACTGCTGAAATCTCAGCCCCCCTGTCTGATGCTCGCTCCAGTAGTGTGAGTCTCCATATGTTGCGGTTGAATCCCTTTAACATCCATGATATTAACGAATATATTGAGCTGGCAACTTATGGTGGAAAGTCCTTGAAGGACTGTTTATTGCCCTCTGATGATTTACGGTATCGATTCGTAGAATTGTTGAAGAAGAAGACAGGGGGTATTCCGTTGATTGTAAGGAATACTTTATTAGCCCTAGTAGGGAAAGTTTCAAACTTATCGCAACCTGTTATCAACGATGAAAATATGGAACTTTTGTTAGATAGTGTCTTTAGCTCTTTACTACTCGAGTCGGTAACGTTTATTATTCCAGAGATACTAGATTCCGCAACCCTTCTTCGATATCAATTTGTCCTTTTGAATTATCAGCTTGGAACAGTTTTTCCAATTGACTTTGTAATTACTTTATGTGGAACGAGAAGTTATTTGATGGACTTGGTTGCAACTTTTGGGTTTTACTCTGAAATTTGTGAAACTGACGGGATTGATTTGGGCACTGAATTCAAGATTGGTTGTTGTGATTTTATATTGAGAGCTCATAGCAACTATAACTTTTTCCTTGAGGCTACTGAACTCTTTCCTTTATCTCCGTTTAGTTATATTCCCGACACTTCAACAGCAAAAGGAGTCTTCTTTGAATTTGTATTTATGAAGATCTTTCGCTTTCGCTTATTAACTTTTCTTCATTCTAGTTCCTCGCCTATTGTACATTCTGCTATTCCAGGAATTTTCCAGGGTTCTTTTATTGAACAGGACAATGTTTCTTATTCTATGGAATCTACAAAATCTAATGATATACCCATCTTGAGAAATGTCTCTGATTCATTTTCTGACTATTATAGAGAATTTTTACAACGTTGTGGTATTTTTGTTCCAAAAGATGGCAATTCTAGTGGTGCTGATGCATATTTTGTATTCCATAATGGACAAACCCGTTATGTTGTTGGATTTTCATTTAAATTTTATCACAAAAGTGAATTTTCGAAGGGAGATATTGAGATGGAAGCAGAACAATTTTTTCAGGGAGTTGTTTCCGTTTTGAATGACGAATCTCCTTCATCTGTTCAACTTTGTTTTCAGTTTGTGGTGAGTTTGTGCTAGTTATGGTCGATCTGTAGGTTTCTCTGTTGAAGAATATAATATTGTTGAAGATGCAAGTGGTTTTGTGACTCAACATTCTTCTGGGTCAACTTTGAATGAAAGTAGTCGATCATGTCTGCAATTGGTAGTTGTTTCGCAATGGAACCTTGAACGATTTTTGGGAAGAGAAAATTTCGATATTTTTAGGAAAATTGGGAAGGCAAGCCGAGAAGAGTTCAGAAAAGACTTTTCAGTATGGTGTAAAACTGTCTTTGAGTCGATGTCTAATGAATATGTTTCGTCTTTGGAAGCTGAGCAATCGAATGTTACTTTAAGTATAGCTCGAAATGTAAGACCGAGAACCAATGAGGAGAATAGGATGCAAATGAAAAGTTTTCAAAGTGGTATGCAAGTGGAACCAAGGGTTGCAGCATCCAGTTCTTTGTCTTCGTCATTTGATTGGAATGCTTTCTTAAGAGAACGTTGTGGTTTTTCTAAGAAGAAGAAGTTGCCTATTGTTTTAGGAAACTTTCAAGATTCGGCAGAGTTTCGCTTTCCAGACTCGATGAAGATTCTTTACGTCGCATGGGTATAACTGATCCCACCGTAATATCCAAACTGCTTATTGGCATTACTAAAGAGTTTTCTAATTTTAGACTCTGAACGAATCCATTGCATTGTATTTGTGTTTTATTGTGTTGTGTGATAAGACTGAATAAAGTTTGGCTCTTACTATCTGATGCGAGTTACATTGGTATGAAATCGATACTCACAATATTTCAGGACATCGTGTTGTGGCTTAGAACTATTCAACTCATTTACATTAAAGTGTTTTTAAAATTCTGATATTCTTTATATTCAAAGAGCAAGATTATTTGATCATACTGAGGGAAGATGAAAGTTCCATTGAACTTTGTTAGGAAGCGTTGATATTATCCAAAATAATTTTTCCAACATGTCTGATTTGGAGACAAAGATTTCTATTGAATGTATATTCATTTATGCCGTATCTTCTAATGAAATGCAAGTATTTGAGGATATGATTTGCTCAGCAATAGATTTCTGGTTCTGAATTGTTACCCTGTGGATGACAATGGGCCTAGTCACTTTCAAAGTTTTCAACCTCTGTCAAATCGTCAGTTCTATTTTCGAGGGATCAATCTCAAGGCTCTATATGGAGAAATAATCTAATGTATGTTGACGATTCTATTGCAAGATTATATAGAGGTTGGCCCTCAAAGTCACTCCTTCGAATGGGATCACAAGCTGTCTCAATTTTCAATAGTTGTAAAAGCTACGCTGCGAGTCAATTTGAACAATATCTTCTTGACAACAAAGAAAAGTAGATTTCCCATTACAATCATAAAATAAGAGTCTTTGCTGTAAATATATGCTTCTTTTCTAGCAAAATGGTGGATAAATCAAAAGGAGACGAAAGGCTTCGTATAAGTCGAGATTGAAGAGGAATTGCAAAACTGGCACGAGACTCATTTGAATGCTCTCCATTTTTGACGAGTAAAATCCAGAAGAAGCTAACTATCCATCCTTTCATAAACAAACTTCAAACATAATCACATTGCTTTGATATGGCTATTCTTCATCATCTCGGAAATAACAACTGTTGTTGGGTTACTCTATTCTTTCGTTTTATTTGGTATCACAAGTATTTTACGTGGAACGTAGTTGGTTGGATTGGAATAGCCTTTGTAACATAGAATTCAATTGTATAGGACTAAAAATTGGGAAGAATAAGACTTGCAACGGGTGTTGTCTTTGTATCGACTTGTGAGTCTTTCTTTATTGGTTTCAGAAAACCAAGGATATTCTTTGAAAGTGCAAAATTTACTTGTATGAATTGAACATAGTCTACCAACTTAAGCTATGCTTTTTTTGGATTGAATATTCGCTGATTGAGGCTATAGAACTCAAAGGAGAAAAAGGTTGTCCTCAATCTTAAAGTCAAATGTCATATAGCTGGTAGCGTCAATCCAAACTTTTGTCAAGTGTACAATAAAATGTGCCTATGATTAGAACAACAAATGGTTAGAAATTGCACAATCATAGACCAAGAACTATTTGGTTTTGCTCGTGATTTCTCTATGAAAAATTTCTCATGCAGCTGTTACTTTTTTGCTTTTTTTTTAGCAAGTGCATGTCAGGTAAAACTCCGAGTCATATCTAGCAATGGCAAAAACACACAAGATCTTCCTGTTTGAAATTCTGCAAGTGCGTTCTAATCAACCATTGAAATTTTATGCCGTTTGACTGATATTCGCTGGTATGTTATGAACCTGCGTATATTGCTGGTGACTTTCTTCGAGGATAGAAAGAGTATCTGCATCTTTTCATCTCTGATGGACAATAGTGGAGGTAAAAGCTGTCGTCTTTCTATGATTACAAGATAGCAATGGATCATTATGAAAGAGGAAGAGCGAAAGAAGTGCCCAAGATAGGTACATCTAAAGGTAAATGATGTACTCAATTTCAATTGAGATACAACAAAATACGCAACTATTGTTTATCACAAAACATCCATCTAGTCACTAAAAGTTTCACTGTCGTCATCAGGAGACTCATATAAATGTAAGGGACCTCCTGCAATAACCGAAAACAAACCACATGGTTGAGCTAGTTTTTCATATTCTTCCTGAAAATGTTCCAAATCCATGACAGAAGAAGAAGGTTCAAAAACAATGTGAACGAGACCATTTTTGCCAGGTTGACCAACATCTCCGAAGTAACTTCCTCCTGTGCCTCCTTCTCCATTAGAATACAACTCGTACTCGTATGGTTTCCCTCCAGAACCACCTCGTGAAGTTGCTCCATTGCCTCCAGAACCTCCAACTTTTACAGTAGGTCCACTTCCACTACCACCGGCGCCACCACTACCCGGACCACTCGTACTACCAGGGTTACCACCTCTACCACCGCTACCAGACAAGTCGATGAAAGTCGAACTTTCTCCGCCTGTTCCTCCATATCCTGGGTTGCCTCCATCTCCACCTTTACCAACGAACAGCTTCTGCTTCCTTCCAGGTACTACAGTTGTATCTCCAAAAGCGGTGCCACCTGCGCCACCACCACCTCCACCAACGGGAATAGCAGAACAAGGCGTTACTCGTGAACCTCCAGCACCACCTCCACCACCTCCACCAATAACCAAACCTCTGGCTTTGTGGACATGTTCAGGTATTGTCACGACGTGTAAACCAGGACTATCAAACGAACGAGAAACTTCCGGTCGCACTTGTCCTATCTGAGTAAGGAAAGAAGCAGGAGCGTCATCTTGCAAAAAGGGTTCCAACGAGCTTTCTTCCAAATATCCTTGAAACTGAATACGATGACCTCCTTGAACAGACTCATAGACTCTTCCTTCTGTCAACGAAACATTTTCTGGAGGACATAAACTGGGAACGAAACTTGTATCCAGCAAAGTATCATTTACTTTCAAACTAGTTTCTTCAAAGCCAGATTCTCTGCAATCTGGAATATCTGCTGTTATATTCACTGGAGGAACTAAGGTTGTGGAAAAGACCTTGTATAAGGTACGGTTATCTACTTCCACCTTACTTCCAAATATCACATGGATATCGGGTCCTCTGGGAACTTGTACTGTATAAATACTGGGATGGGAATAACCTATTTGGTGACATTCTCCAAGCATCAGAATACATGAAAGAACCAGAAAAATTCTCCAATACATGAAGAGAACTTCCAGGGACTCGAACCAAAATCATAGACTACTTTTCAATTGTCATTTGTTTGCTTCTTTCCACGAGACAATTATTCAGTATTTGCGGCTGTCTATCTGACGATCAGCTTCCTCTTTGGATTTTATGACTCTTAGTAAGCAGCCTGAATGTGAAAAGAGTTCAACTATGAATTGGTACTAGTTTTTATGTTTGAGGACTATATTTTATTGTAGAATTGAGAGATTACTTTTGATTGGTCAATGAAATGGATAGGAAGAACAGATAACAAAACGCATAAACGCTGCGATACGAGTGCAAAGTCATGCTGAGGTTGATACACGTTGTTATCTTTCAGATATCAGCATCTTGAGAGTTTGTAGGAATCGCTTTAAGAACTAAACTCTTGCAATGTTCTATCAAACCTTTTTTGAATCACACAGCTTATCTGAAGACAAACCTCACTAGAGAAATTTTGTCCTTAATGAAGAAAGGTTGGAGTTTAAGTTGTCAGACAATTACTCAGTCATTAGAAGGAATCCCCTTCGAACTATTCTATCAATAAAGGGAAAGCACAAATAGATGCCAGGCCGACTCTACTGTAAGAAAAAAAGTTAAGTTTTTACTTTATTTGGCACTAGTTATAGCGAGGAATCCGAAAATACTTGACTTTTACTAGAAAAAGAACAGTAAATGCACATGCAATGATTCTCAAAGGCTGAAACGGAAAAAGTTGCTTGTAGATTTCACTTGGACTGTCTTTCCTATCTTTTGTTGACCGGATAGAAGAGAGCTTTTCTCGAAGTTATACCAAGCGAAGAGAATGGTAGCTAAAACTGGAGGTTTTCTGTAACTTGAGAACAACTGCGCAGTCTATAAAAGTTGTCATTTCCTGAAGTTTAATAAAAGTTTGGATTCTTTTCGTTCATCTGTTTTTTAATACTGCATTTCTAGCCTTAAAATTCATATGAATGGCTTCTACAAATATGAAACTTGTTGGATCCAAGACAAAATATAGCAAAGGTAATAACAAATACTAAAAAGAGTATTTTAGTTTGCAATTCAAACTCTATCTCAAAAGTACTAACAACAATATATGTCCAAACTCTGTTTTTGTGGATTAGAAAGAAAATCACCGATGCTCAGATAAGGAAAGTGATCGCTTGCAAAGATGAATTCAACCTGAAAACAATTCGTCTAACTATCGACAGTAGACATTTTAAATGATTCTACTCATGTGACAATGAGAAAAAAACTTTCTATTCCAGAAAATCACTGTTTCACAGGAGTTCTATTCGCATTGCATTGTAGTTTAAACGACAAATTTGAGTCTGGAATGGTATTTTTTTCTAATTAGTCAAAGGAAACCCTATCCAATCTTGAAGTATTGTCATTTCACAACAATCACAGTGACAATCAATCATACTGCCAAGATATTCGATTAGGTTTATTCGGTGATGGAATTTTTGTTGCCTTATTGCCACACGTTCAACCGTTTGCTGTCGTTTTGCTCAACGTTTCTCAACCGTATTATAGTAGTTTTGCGTAGCGTATTCTCAGGCCTCTGCTCGTCGTTTGCTTCTCGACGTTATTGTTTGGTTCCGTGGTTTGACTTCCTTGGGTCGTATGTTTGGATTAGTTGCTTACTGCCTTGTGTGTAATGTATTTCAATACTTCCTTATGCCAAATAAGGAATATATTTCTATAAAATGCAAGGACCTACTTTTTCCTGACTGTGCTATTTCGGAGGGAGGTTGAGTGCAGCGTACATTGAAGCCTTGTATGTTTATGTAAGCCTTTCTGATCTTCCTTGTATTGGAGTGAACTTTGATTGTGCTCTGCATGAGTTTATCTGCAAAATTGCTCTTTCCAAGTTTCCAAGTGCTGGGAAGTTATTGTCTAAAGTAATTCCTTCCATTCGTAGAGGCCCTTTTGAGTGGTTAAGTAAGTGATCGCGGGTCATCAACAAAAAGCGTCTATTTTTATTTGTTGATGAAATTGATTATTTGGCCGAACCTAACTATTTTCATTATAGTGATTGAAAAAGTTCCCGTGATCCTGTAAATAGTCCTTGAATCTTCTGACCATAGAAAAAACGGAATATCGCGATAAATGTCTCCAGTCACCATGCGTTTCAACTCTCAGCAGATTTTGGTCACTTGGAGCTAGATGGGCTAGAAAAGTTCCATTACAACAAAGCCTTAGTTGTATGGCTAAAGTCAACTCTCTACAAGTTTACCTGGAGAAATTTTTATAGTTATTTGCTCGGGAATATCAAGCAACATTTTTTGAGGAATCAAATGTGCAATTGTCAAAAATTTTTTTTTGATAAACTGTCATATCGTTCGGGTAGAATAAGAAGGAGTGACTTGAAACAGTCTTATATAGGATACAAAATGTTTTGCAACCCTTTTCAAGCCAAACAAGGTCGCATTTGATCAAATTTCGGTATCCACACATGGACAAATAGACAATATCGATAAGGCGTCCTTAGTCGTGAACCATTGTTGGAGTCAAACATTCTTCTTCAATCTTGAAGAATCCTTTCTCTTTCAGTCATTCACAAAGCATATACTTCAAGCAATTAGTTTCTATTGTTTTTGGGGAAGCAAATCTGGTGAAGATAAGAAACAACATAGGAGCTCAAATAGGCACTCATTCGCCCTCTTTAGTTTAGCGATAGCATCAATATTTGATTTTATTCTTAGAAGCGTTACATATATACCCAATTCTATAGTGCAACATCAACCCAAGAAAGCACAAAGAACTCAAATCGTCCTTTAAGGTGGTATGAAAGACTGTTCTTTTGCCAATAACTCGTTTCCTCACTTTTCAAGCACATCTTTGTATGAATCCAAAGTATCCTTTTGAGAAACATAATATTCCTCATTTGGAGTATTCCACTCTTTCTTGTTACTTTTCATACTGTCATGGATGAAACTTTCAAGAACTTGAACAACTTTCATTCTCGTCGATCCAGCTACTATGAAATTTTACAACGCTATTCATGATAGCTCAGAAGATGCCAATAACCAATAGTAGCTATTTATGAATTGTCATACAGGGCATTCTGAAATGAAAAGGTACTGGATCGTGACGACAACATTCTCATAAAACAGCTCTAACCAACTAACTTGTATTAAAATCCGTATCTATCTCGGAGATTATTGGTATCCAGCATGGGAATGACCTTTATAGGACCATCTTTCCAAAGTCTCACCGGAACTCGTTTGAAAAAGAAATTACCTCGCCATTATTCATGTTATGCAACCATCGGAGGTTGTTTTGCAAAGTGGGAGCGCGCACAACTAGAGAACCCCTCCGTTTCTCAGACTGAAGGTGAAGAAGAGATAGTTGAGCATACGAAATGGGAGCAATATTTGCAAGAGAAAGGTTCACCAGAATGCAAACAATGTAGTGGCACAGGAGAAATACCATGTCCTGCTTGTGAAGGAAAGGGTTATTTCGTGATAGAACTCTTCAACGTGACTTCTAGTAATCAATGCCAAGTTTGCCGTGGATATCGAAAGGCACCCTGTCCAACTTGTAAAGAATATATATACCGTGCAGTAAATGATTGGGATAAGAAAAATAGTATAAACTGAAACTTGTCGTTAATAGTCTTTCCAATAGTTTATGGATACAACTTTGATTTGCGAGAGACGTGAAACAAGCTATTGAAAGCAAACAAAACCGTAAACAGTGAAACGGTGAATGTACATACACAAATAAAACAAACCACAAATGCAACTAGTCCCAACAATAAGATGCAGGAAACAACTGCAGACACAATAACAGCACAAAAGATGAACCAACCTATCAGACCCCCAACTGCAAACAGCAAAAACATAAAACCAAAAATACAGTAAATTGATCCAATAGCAGCAAATGTGTAACCAATAACTTGTGAAAGTCGTCGTAAGTATTCAGCAAAATAATGTTGTGCAGCATCCGCAGAGAAAAATAGACTGAGCCAATCCTTCAACAGCGTTCTAGTGTTTTTTGATAATAACTGTCTTAGCTTCGGAGACTCAGTCTTATCTCTGTTACTCGAAGAAATAATGTTGGGTTGCTCTTTCGCAGAGTCCGACGAAGAGTCGTCGTCATCTTGAACATGAACTGGTACTTGATATTTATCAACAGAAGAAAACTCTCTTCCACTGGCTTGTGTTGCAGCGACTTGAGTCGCATTTTCTCTTCTTTTCGTGGCTTCTCTTTCGCGGTCCTTTCCACGTTTTGCGTGACTCTGTAACAAAGACTCTACGAGTTGATCGGACTTGAAAAAACCTCTTTCTCTATCGTTTTTACTTCTGGCAGTTCTTCTCGTATTTGTATACATCGAAACATCTTGTGGAGGAGTAGGAGGAGGTCTTATCTGTGTTGAAAAAACACGTTCTTTAACTGCCGAAGAATCGGCAGTTTTTGATAAAAGTTCCCGAAGCTTCTCCCTTTCCTCTTGAGGTAAAGACTCCGTTAAACTCTCTTGCACTCTTTCATTTTGTTGAACTTGTTCTTCCTCGTGGTCTTCTTCTGTAGTATTCGTTATAGTAGAAACTAACGAAGAGCTACTTGACTGTAAAATCTTCTCTTCAAGCCATCGTTGCATACCTGGTGGTGCCTCAAAAGCACTTTCTCCTTCTTCTTCTGGAACTGGAGTTAAAGGAAAGACTTCCACATTGTCTCTTTGTGAGTCAACAGCAGTAGCAGTAGCCATACCTTTGATAATCCCTAAAAATATGAAGAAGCTTCCAACCAATTTCTACAAACTGTGGAATCCATCATCTTCCAAAGCCATATTTTGATTCTAAAGATCACACAGCCAAGAAAGAGATGACATATTGACCAATAGTTTTAATATATGAAAACTTTGGAAAAACAACTTCAAGTAAGAAATGTAAACGAGAAGGAGAACAGGAACATAAACCCATAATCAACTGTGTCGTAGGAAGCTGTGTTTCTCCTTCTCATGCAGGATACACAAAAGTCCATATAAACTTGTATCTATCAAGAGAACATATATATATATATATATGAGCATTCGTATTATACACATTCATCCGTATGGATGATGAAACAACGAGAGAGTGTCGGATATTTACCTTTATTATCATTGTAGTATGCTCCCAGTAAAAATTATATGTTACTCTGCATTTAAAAAAAAAGAGTTAAAGAATATTCAACATTTTCTTCAATTTCACAACCAACTGCCAATCCTCCACAGAAAGTTCATCACGGAAGTTTTCCTTCAACAAGTCAATTGCTCTACGAGAAAGTTTACTGTAGAGATCGTTCTTCTCATCGAAATGTCGTCCAAACATTATCGTTTCCGTTTGACGACTGGATATCTTTACCGCTACCGAATCCCCTTTTCGAGCAACAGAAACAGGCTTCTTATTCTGTTCAATGGATTGGATACGGCCAATATCCAAAAATTGGATTCCATTTCGAACAACCAATGGAGTTCCTACTCTAGCAATACCTTCCACTACTTGAACACCAACTATAATAGGATCCTTCTTATTAAAGATACAATTCGGAACAATATGAAGTACACAAGGAAAAACAACATCCGAAGAAGCCTCTTCTTTTCTCGATTTTCGAATCTGTTCCATATATGTTGTAAACTGATCAAATAAATGATAAATAATGTCTGCTGTAAATATACGAACACCATATTCTTCTGCCAATTCTTTTGCTTCCTTTTCCACTTTCACATCAAATGCCAAAATGGTTGCGTATTCTTTTCGATGTTCCAACATCGCACTCGCTCGCATAACATCCTTCTTATGAACTGGGCCAATGTTAATACCAGAAACAGGAATCTGCAATCCAAAAGAAATAAACATATAAACTCATCAAAATGCGCAAATAAAAAAACATACCTTGGAAGTACGTAAAAATTCTAAAAGTGCTTCCAAAGAACCCAAAGTAGAGGCTTGAACATAAACGCCTACACCACTCTTATCCACAGAAGAAAGCGTACTACTCAAATCAGACATCACGTCCTCTTTTAAAACTTCCAAATCCTCTCCTTCTTCCATTACTAACAGTTGAGTACCAGCTACAGCTTTATCCAAACTATCGGCTGCAATTTTTACTCCTTGAGCAGCTTGAATCACTTTATGATGCAAATATTGACCTTTGACTCTCATCTCTTTCATAGGATGTGGAGTAAGCAACGCACGAATAGTCGTAACAATAGGACCTTCAAGACCACAAACAACAATAGTATCACCTTCATGCAACTCACCATTCGTCAATATTACATCAATAGTTGTACCTAAACCCTCAATCACTTTCACCTCAAGAACAGTACAAGTAAGAAAAGGCATAAACATAATGCGATCAACCAACATCCTTTGACTAAACTGTACAAGAAGTAGTAAAAGATCAGGAATACCCTCTCCTGTAACAGCTGATGTAGGAACCAAAGACACATATTTACGAGCATCCGAAACTTGCCAATAAAGATCAGCATTAAATCCCAATTCGGCAAAAGCAACTTGCGTTGAAAGAACTCGCTGTTTGAATTCTTCTTGGACATGATGAGCTTGCTTTTTTAAACTTTGACGAATAGGAGACATTTCTTCTTCTTTCCATCCAAATAAACGATCAACCTATAAAACAGAAAATAATAAATACAATCAATGAAGATGAATATACCATTTTTCAATACGCTCTCTTACCTTGTTGAGTGCAACAACAAATGGAGTCTTTCGCAACTTTAAAAGTTCAATACTTTCCATTGTTTGTGGTTCAATGCCATGCATAATATCCACAACAAGTATAGCAATATCACAAAGTGAAGAACCACGTGAACGCAAGTTGGTAAAACTTTCATGGCCTGGAGTATCAATAATAAGTAATGAAGGAATCTTGTATTTCACATCTTCTATGCCAACTTTCTCCACTTGTTCTTTTACACGGTCAATAGGAAAGTAAGTCGCTCCTATTTGTTGAGTGATGCCTCCAGCTTCTCCCTCTTGAACACTAGTCTTGCGAATTTTATCCAGAATTTTGGTTTTTCCAGTATCCACATGACCTAAAATACAAATCACAGGTGCTCGAAGATTATCCGGATTTCTATATTTATATGCTCTTTCGTATTTCTCTTGACGAAGACGATGAGTCAGCTCTCGTCTCTTATCCAAACTCCTTTCCATCTGTTGAACTTGTTCTTCTGAACTGTAGGATGAACTGGATTCCATCTCTTCACTAGCCTCTTCTCCTTTAACTACAACATCCATTTGCCTTTCTTCTCTAGATCGAGCTCCATGATCCTTTTTCATCCTTTCTTCAGTATGGGTCGAAAAATTACCACTAACAACCAACTCATCCAGATCCAAACTGCCCTTTCTTAACTTTTCTGCTTCATTATCCCAATCTTCGGCATCCCATGATGAACGAACTTCATTCATTACAGTTTCCGTGGAGGACTTTACTTGTTCAGATTCTGAGATAGCTAATGACTTTGTATTGGCACTCGCTGTATAAGTATGGGAAACAGATTCTTCGTCTCTATATTCTTTGATGTCTTCAGGATTTTGCATGTCTGTTTGTTTCGAATGCTTCTGTTTCCGAGAATATACTTTCTTCTGGACAGTAGAATCGCCTTGATGGAATGCTGGAATAGCACCAGAAGCAATCGCTTGTTCTCGGAATTGAGCAGCACGCTCTCTCTTCTGCCTTTCATTACGTGATAATAACTTGCCTTCTTGTTTCATTTTTCGTCTCTTCTCCTTCTCTGCTTCCTTTTTCTGACGGCGAAGTTCCTCTTTCCTACGTTCCTCTTCTTCTTCTCTAAGACGTTCCTCTTCAGCTCGTTTCTCAGCTTCTTCTTGTTCTCTACGAAGGCGTTCTTCTTCGAGTTTCTTCGCATACAAAACTTCCTTCATTTTTCGCAACGCTGCAGACTCCTTCTTTTTCTTTTTAGTATTACCACCAGCACCTTCATTTGTTCGTTCCTGACTGACTGCTTTGCTCTCAACATCATTCGAGGTTTCCTTGGACTCCTCTGCTCTTTCTTTTGCAGCTTTCTTTTTCAGTTTTTTCTTTTGATTTGCAGTAAGTCTTTGTTGGTCTTCAATAACGCCGTTCACTGAGAATGATGCATCTTCAACACCATCTGCGTTCTTCTTCTCATTGTTTTTATCTGCTTCTACTGGGTCTTCAGTTTCATTCACCATTGTGCTTTGCAAAGATAAAACTGAGTCCCTTTCTTCCTTCTTTTCATGCTTTGCAGGAGTATTGGGCTCTTCAAGTTGAGCAATGAGTGCATCAATTTCCTCTTCTTCTTTTGCAGTGCGCTTCGACTTTTTCACCCTCTTTCCTTTCTGTGATTTACGACTGGGCAAAGAAGACTGTTTCTTTACATCAGTTTGCGGTTTAATAGATGAATCTGTGGGTTTTTCAGCAGTGTCTGTGGCGTTCTCTTCCACGTCTTCAGTGGTTTCATCCTCCTCAGTACTAAGTGATGCAAACTTCAAAAGCAGACTTTTGTTGGGTTGTTGTCGTCCAGGTAACAAATCTTTCTCTTCTTCTTCTTCTTCTTCTTCTTCCTCGTTTTCACGTTCTACTTCTTCTCTCTTTAAAACTTGCCACTGAACAAACTCGGATTTGAGCTTTGACGGCGTTTCCAACCCATCTTCGGAAGTGGAAGACTTACTAGTGGTTCTCTTCTCTATATTTTCTAGCCAACTCGACTTGGTTCCCGATCGAGTATTCTTCTCTTTAACTGGTTTCTTCTTGCTCTGTCTGGCTCCGTTTTCCAAAGTGTCTCCCACTTCAGTATCTATCGGCTCTTTCACGTTGTTTGTTTCAGGTTCTTGTTCGACTAATACTTTTTCTTTCTTTTTCTTCTTCTTCTTTCCAAAAATAGCAGTATTCACATAGTTCTTTTCTTGGTTCCACTCATCATCTTCCATTGTTGAATACAACCCGAAATGCTCTTCACTATCAGTCTTGTTTGGGTTTGTAGATTGGATATTCCTTTGTTGATCTGTGGTCGGGAGTTTTTTGTGGGATAAGTTTTCAGTCATGTCTAGTACATCTTTTGTTTGGCTTACTTGTCAAACTGCAACACGATTTGATACAAATTGCAGGAGCTGTTCTCAGTTCACAAACCATAGCTTGGGACAAACTGTTTCCTTTATAAGGAGTTCAAAAGCGCCTCGTTTGGGTTGGACAAGAGCGAAAGCACAACAAAGCAGGTGAGTGTGAAAACGTTATTGAGATGGAAGAATACCAATTCCAATTGCGCTTACGTCGAAAGATTGGAAAACCTGACTATGATGCCTATCGGTGTTCCCAAGGTAGCCTATCGTGTTCCAGGTGCCCCACAAGCCGATTGGGTAGATATTTACAATCGACTGTATAGAGAACGCATCATATTTCTTGGACAAGAGATTGACGACGAGGTACGTCCTTATTTCTGGTTTCAAGACTTTATAGGAGTGTATTCTGAACTGTGAAATAGATCTCCAATCAAATCATAGCTGTGATGCTTTATCTCGACTCTGAAGACAATACCAAGGTGAGTTTTGTAGAATATAAAATTTTTGTTGACAGATGCTTATATAACTATTAGCCTATCTACCTTTATATAAACTCTCCTGGTGGTTCGGTTATTGCAGGTTTGGCTATTTATGACACCATGAAGCATATTGCTTCCGAGGTTGTGACGGTCAACGTTGGTTTGGCAGCTTCCATGTCTTCCTTCTTATTGGCAGCAGGTGAAAAAGTGAGTCTTGCTTATCGTTGACTTGTCGATTTGTTTACCTATGAACAACTCTAGGGAAAACGTTTAGCGCTTCCTCATTCACGAGTCATGATTCATCAGCCAATGGGAGGTGCAAAAGGCCAAGCAAGTGATATTCAGGTAGAAGCTAGACAAATTCTACGAATCAAGGAAAGTCTTGTCCGAGACTATTGCAATATGACTGGTCAGCCTTATGAGAAAATGTTAAAGGACTTGGACAGAGACAATTTTATGTCGGCTTATGAAGCTATTGAATATGGTTTAATTGACCGAGTTATTGAAACCAAAGCAACATAAAATATATACACTTAGGTATAGAGTGAAGTATCTATAAACTGTATCGCGTTGTTGGTTTGACTGTTGGATGGATGAGTTACTTTACGTTGCCAACTGTGACAGTTCCTCTTCTTCCACCTTTTGTCGTTCGTTGTAAAGTGATGTCGTTTCACTCTTTATGCCTATTCCACCGTTGGTCTCTCTTGGCTTTAAATAGGAAGGTGTTTCTTCTGCAAGATCATCTCTCAACATATCGTCTTCCAAGGCTTCCAATTCTCCATCCAGTTCAGCTTCGTCCACATCACCCACTTCATATGTACGACCCAACGCTTCTTGTATTTCTTCACTATCCATTATGAGTTCTTCCATATCGTCGTGAAGGTCTTCCAATTCTCCAATGTCCACTTTTTTCAAGCCCTTCTTAATCTCCTTGGCAGTGGCTTTCATAATAGTGACAGTATCCCTAGCTTCCTTTACACTCGTTGCTGCAAACTGGGTTTGGTCCAAGTTGAACGCTTGATTGGAAGTTCTATCTCGTTGGGCTTGGTACATTCTTTATCACAACTATTCAAAACCCAAAAAAAAGTTTGAAAGTACAAAACTTACTTTTTCTTTTTCAAAACTGCCAGTGCTCTTTGTTTTGTTGACTGGTATGCTGGCGACCCTGGTTTCAACTTGCTTAATTGGTTTTTATATTGCAAAAGCTCTTGGTCGAATTTGGCAACCTTGGTGTCGAAGTTTTCTTCTCGTAACTGAAGTGTTTCTTGCATTTTACCCAAAGTGGGACGTTCTTTCCTAGAAAACCAACCCATCCTATCTCTATAGGAAGAGAAGATCGTATGTGCTGGCTTTAATTCGTCAAGAGAATGTCGTTTCACAAAATGAAAATCTATTTGCTATGAAAAATGATTGTGGATTGGCGCTTTCTTGTTGGAAGAGTTGTCTTACTATAGTCTTATTTTGGCTATTTGTTAGCCCACGAGTTGTAGTAAATGGAACGCTGTTACTCCAATATATAAGACAAGGTGTTGATGAAATCTCAAGCGACCATCATACTTTATGGAAACTATACAAGGACAAAATAATCGGTGTTGTGTTGGCTTTGATAGGGAATTCGTTTACTAGCTTAAGTCTATGTATTCAAAAAAAAGTCCATCTGGAAAAAGCTCCGAAAGCCAGACATTTTCTATTTTCGTTACACTGGTGGCAAGTATTGAATATTTCTTTTTAGTTGGTGAACACTGATGCCTTCTTTACCCTTTTTTTTCCAGGTTAGGACTAACCCTTATGGGCTTGGGTGAATTGGGTAACTTTTCAGCTTTTGCTTTTGTTTCAGTTTCTATAGTTGCTCCTTTGGGTGCTTGGTCTGTTGTTTTGAACGCTTTTTTTGCTGCTTGGTTCCTTCATGAAAGTCTAGATGTTAGAAAAGCTGTGGGTATGCTATGTTGTATTGTTGGTGGTATTCTTTTAGTCAGTTATGGTCCAAGTGGCAAAACGATGGAGAGACACTTTGACTATGGAAAACTTGAAAGTCTATTATGGAGACCTGCTTTTCTTAGCTATTTAAGTTTTATCATTTTGTCTCTATTGGTAATGATATTTGTTTGTTGGTATACACCGATAGGAAACAAATATGTGATTGGTTACGTGACAATATGTGCATTATTAGGTGCTCTTATTGTTATCAGTTCCAAATGTCTTTCAGTTCTATTGAGATTGAGTATCCAAGGAGAACATACTCAGTTATTGAACAAATTATTTTTATGCTCGTTGATATCCTTGATATGTTTTATTCCTATTCAAATTTTATTTATCAATGGAGCTTTACAAAGATTTAGTAGCTCTCAAGTCGTTCCTGTATATTATGTGTTATTTACTTTGAGCTCCATCATTTCTAGTGCCATTCTTTTTGATGAATTTCACAATGACGTTTTGTTGAAAACTATTCCTTTTGCAATTGGAATCGGCCAAACATTTGTGGGAGTGTTTTTATTGAATGCTGCTTCTTCCTCATCAACACTTTATTATGCAAGTCCCAGGAGTATACATACTCAAGAGTTGCGCAATTTACAACTGCTGGATTCGTATTTACAATTTCGTTCTTATCTTAGTTACTCCAGTCCTTTTGGTGAGTTACTCAATGGACGTTGGAATCGAAAGGATTCGGATTTCGATCTGCAAATGACATCGAATACAAATTCCATGTGGAAAGGTAATCGTATTATTCCGTTGCAAACCGTAGTGAGTCGTGCCGAACTCAACAAGTATCCAGGACGTGACATGCAAGAAGAATATCAACCAGTCATCACCAACGAGAATAGGTGTACAGAAATAATAAGGACTGGAACAAACCTCGAGTCAAAACGTAATGGGACTTTTATGGATCTTCTGTTTAGAAAACGTCCATCTGGTGTGACCTTTCCTGATTCCACTATCAATGATGTTCGTGTACAAGCTGAACAAATTCGTAATCGTCATAGAGCAGCCTCTTGGGCAGACAAAGAATGGTATATAATGGAGAATGAACAGACAAACAATGAATGAAACTTGAACATGACATTTTATGGGTATGAAAATAATCGGTGGATGATCACAAAACAAAACATACTATTCTATTCTTCTCAGGGGACAAACTTATTCTATATAAAAGGGTTGTGCAGCATCTCCGTGTTTCAAATAGGCATCATTGATTTCCTTGATGATATTCTCGTTCAACTCGATATCAAAAGCATCTACAAAAGGTTCAATATCTCATCTTACCAATAATAAAATAGTGGACTTACCCAGATTATCTTGCAATTGCGGTATCTTCGTTGAACCAACAATAGTTGCACCAATAAACCAACGACTTTTACAAAATGACAATGCCAAATGCGATACTTTCATTTGATGCCGTTTTGCAATCTCCGAATAGGTTTTGGTAGCTTCCATTACTCGATCACTAAAGTATTGAGACATATGATCCGGAAATAAAGTATGTCTTGCCCCTTCAGGTTGAGAATTTTCCAAATATTTACCAGTTAAAGCACCTCTCGATAAAGGACTCCAAGGTAACAAATGAATGTTATAATAATAACAAGCTTCTATTAAGTCTGCTTCAAAGCGACGATTGACTAGACTATAAGAGTTTTGAACACTCACGGGTCTCGGTACACCAAGACGGTCACAAGCTTCCACCAAACGACATATACCATATCTATGCAATGAGTTTTTTTAGATTCCATGTGAACACACACAAGTCACAAAAGAACTTACGTTGTTTCATTACAAACACCCCAATATCTTATTTTGCCAGCATCTATCAACCTTTTGATGGTCAAAACCTGTTCATCAAAGGCAATCATATCCTTCCGAACTTTTGTAATATCAAAAGCACCAGTATGAAAGAAAGGAACATATCTATCCGGCCAATGAAACTGATACAAGTCCACATAATCAGTTCGTAGTCTACGAAGACTTGCTTCTATAGCTTCTTCAATATTGGCTCTATCCAGTCTTGCAAGTTGACGTTCGGTATTTTTGGGGAACCTTGCGATAGCCAGGAATGTGAGAATTGGGTTGATAACCAACTACTTTAGTAGCCAATATAATCTTGTCTCTTGGTTTGTTTACTAACCAGGAACCGATGATCTCTTCTGTTCTACCACCAGTTTCTGGACGAACAGGAGAAGGATATGCTTCAGCAGTGTCAAAAAAGTTGATGCCTTTGCTAACTGCAAAGTCCATAATACCAAAGGATTCCTCTTCATTATTTTGCTCACCAAAAGTCATCGTTCCTAGACATACTTCTGATACGTTCAAGTTGGATGAACCAAGGTTCTTATACTTCATGGCCGTTCACAATACTAAAGGTTTTCTTCCACTTTGTATATAAGTTGAGAGAAAAAGAAAATGTATGCTAGTCTGTGGGACAATCGGAATGAGCAAAGGCCATCACACATTTATCACGTATAACCACTCATTTCGTTTAAAGACAACTATAAAAGAAAACCAATGACAATAATGGCGAACATAAACAACTCCAAAAACCAAAACATCCAACGTATCGTAAAAGAATACCGAGCTGATACAAAATAACCAACCCATACAATAAACAAATACTCTTATGAGGGCTCCAATATCTCAGTGCAAATAAGACTGACTTTCTTCTCTCGAATTTGTTTTCATGACACGTATTCTCATTCGTAGGTTTTTCATCTTGTTTTAAATAGCACCGATATATGTCTAAGCATACTGATGGAATACAAGCAAACCATAACTGTTGTAACAACAAATTGTACATTTCCAAATAACTCGCTTGTATTTCACCACATACAAATGTATAAAAGAAAAACATGTATCCTGTACAGTTGTGATAGTCATCACCTGTAACGCGAAAGAGAATAAGCAAAGGTCCCAATAGAAAGTTGTAAAAAAGTACTTGTGATACACGCCAACGAGTCTTTCGAACAAATGATAAACGCTTTCCAAAAACAATCCATGAAGAAGGAAGCCAACAAGAACCAGTTGAAAAATAAGGAATGTGCACAAGAATACCATAAAGCAATAATCCAATCAAACATAAACCTTTGATGACGACTATAAATATCAAGAAATGAGACATATCAAAATTTTTGGAATCTACAAACAACAACAAACCTGGAGCATCTGCAAAAAGCATAAGACAACGAATCCAATCCTTACAAGAATAATGATATCTTTGTTCAGACTGTAAAGAAAAAGAGGTGCTAATCATAGTCATACATGACTCTTCGAAACAATATTGAACAACAAGGTTATGAAAACCTTCCAGGTACGACATAGGATTCCAAGCACAAAGGAATAAGTTACTACCAGATGAAGACTTGAGCATATCATTCTCCATTTTCTTAGCAATTCCTATTTTCTTGTCATCGATAAAAACTTCCACATTACCTATAACATATGTATGAATCTTTCAAGACAACAATTCAGTCTCCCTACCCAAGGTAAGATTGCGATCCCAAAAGGATTCCAAAGAGGCAACCATCAGACGAATATATTTGGAAGACAATGCAAAAGCTTGACTTCTCTTGGTAGATGAAGAAAGTGGCACAGGATTAGTCACAACTGCAAAAATGTTCTGTTGAATGGGAATATCTGAAAATGCAAAATTTCCATGATCAATAACTATCCAGCGATAAACGGAACTTGTATAGAGATCTGCCAACTCTAATTCCATATAGTTACCACATTTGCAATACATACGAGGCAAAAAACCTAAAACGGAATGCAAATGACCTAAAAAAGGTAAATGGCTTCGTCTTCTTTCGTTACCAAAACAGGAACGCATGTCTCACCTGAAAGGTAAATGACATAATTGGGATAAGAATAAAACTTGCGAGACAAAATGGAACGACTCCACCAAAAGAAACGTAAAAAAGTCCTCCAAAAGGTCTCAGAAACTGTATAATCAATAGTACTGCTAGGAAAATGTCCATAAACTATCACGACTTGTTCCTTTTTCTCTGCCAAGGATGCTTGCATTAAAAGTTGCAATTCCTCGTTGTTGGTTCTAGCAAAAAAATGAAAGGGTCGATGTAAACTGTATCGATAATAAGGGGAATATTTGACAAGTTTAATATCATTCTGTTCCGAAAAGCGATGAAAGCTCACAGCATTTTTAGGTTGAGGTTCAACAGCATATCTCTGAAATAGATCATCATCTTGTATCATATCATCAACTCCAAAGGAATCATGATTGCCTCGAACGTCACTCCATAATACACTAGCATTTTTATGACGATATTCTTGCGTTTGAACGTAATACTCATTCCATTCATCTAATCGTTTGCTTGAAGGATGGCCTAGAAATAAATAAAACCAGTTATTGGTGGTATCCTTCTTTCCGTTGGTCAAGTCTCCAGTAACCAAAACTGCTTTAGGAACAATGACTGGAACTACATGATTACGAAAGAAAGATAACTTTTTGCTGTTTTCCTCCAATTTTGGATCCAAATGGATATCCGATATCTTCCAAACCAACTCTAGTTGCGCTTATAGTACAAAAGACTGGTTTTCTTACCTGCAGCAAGTGATCTATGCCTTGCAGTTGTAAACTCCAATCTTCCAAAGGGTTTGTTGTGAATACTTCTTCAGCTATTTTGTACTTGCAGGGAAAATGAAGAAGAAAAGCTAGTGACCTTTTGTCGAGATAATCAATAAGTACAATAAATAGCAAAAACCCTAACCACTCACCAGATAACAACTGCCCATATCACCAACTTGACCCAAAAGTGAAAAAAGCCACGCATAGTTGCAACAAACTTTATTGAGTTACTCTATTCCAAACCTTGCGATAAGTTTCTTCTATTTCCTTATACAATTGCCATAAATATGCTTTTCGAGCCTCAACTGAATCCAAAGATGCCATTTGTTCGGCATATTCTAAATAAAGTCTTTTTTTGATACCGATACGAAAAGTATTCGTTTCCTCTTCTTCTTGGAGTCTTGAAAACCTTATAATCTCTCGACATCTTAGAGCTTGTTTTCGAGTTATCTTCCACTCTTTGCGTATTTCCTCGACACTAGGAAGATAACCAAGTCTTTTCTCGAGATATAAACAGTTCTTCGTGTCCAATATGTCTCTCAAGGTTTGAAACCCTTGGCAAGGATTCTCAACTGTAATTTCCAGACAACTAGTTTCCATATAATGACGATAAATAGCATCAAGAAGAGAAATTCCATAACCTTTCCTATGAAAACAAGGAAAGATGAGAAACTGTGAAATGCGTACTCTTTCCCTTGGATTCCAAGTGTTTTCACTCTTATCAAAACAAGTAAAACGATATACTGCTGCGAAACCTAAAATCTCCTCGTGCAAACTCAATATTACAAACATATCCCACTTGTCATCTTCCCAATCAATATACGAAGCAGTTTCAATAAAGAACAAAAGCAATAGCTTGAAACGATGGTATATTTCGGTAGCAGTGGTTTGGGTCACATTTTGCACATACACTTTTGCATCAGAACATAAGCTTTGACGAGGTAAAATAATTTGCCAAGTTGATAAATATCTGTCGATAGGAAAAGGTTCCGCTACTTTCCGTTTGAACTCTTCCATACAACTACAAACATAATCTGGCAAGTGCTCATAAAGTAGAGTTTCTATATTCAAAAAACCCACAGTATTCGAGTCTTTCAAAGAATAACGGACTTGTAGAAAGACATTCCAAGAAACAAGATGATATAAAATATGCACCTCAAGATCTTTGTATCCATATACTTTTTCCTCAGGAAAGAGCTGATGAACAAACCATGGCTTATATCCTTTCAAAGTTCCTTCTTCATACCGACCAAGATCGTCATCTCTTACAACAAAATATAATAACAAGGCATCTCTCACACAAAGAGGTTCCATTACTCTTCTATAGCCATTTCTGTCCAAAAAAATATAAAAACAAACATTTCAAAAATAGTAATTATTTTTATGGTAAGCAATGAACTTGCAAGGAACAAAGAAAACGAAATTCAATAATAGATTGAACAATAATGTCTTCTTTTTCCCCAGCAAGAAGAATGTCAAGCCTAACGTAGACAAGCAATAACAAAAGACAACAAACAAGTAAACTACAACTCATTTAAAACAAACTGATCATTACAATCCATGCTAGGAAATATATCAAACCAAGAAGAAAAGTCCTCTTCGTATTCCACTGCTGAGGGAGCCGATACGTCTTGCAGATGATCCCAACAACTTTTCATGGCAGAATCGTCATCCTCAGTCACATAAGGAAAAGTATGCTTTGACACAAAGACTTCTGATTCTTCCAAAGGCAAGCAATAGGAGTTATCTCTATTTTCATCTCGTTTCAAACGTAAACGGGAATCTTCCCAATGGCTAAGGAACGAAGTTTCCGTCTCATCAACAGAGTTGTGTTTCCTTTGTATCGATCCGCCTGTATCAAAAACTCTCAACTCTGTAGCAGAGCATATACGTTTCATGTTTCGATGGTGATATGAATCTTCGACGACTGACAAATCATGATATTCCAAACTGTCATTTGAAACACCGTTAAGTAAACGAGAATCTCCTTCCAACGTATCATTGCAAGCTACGGAAAGAATAGTATCTTCATTATATTCTATTCTTCTCTTTCCTTTACTAATATATTTCATATCTGTACTACTGATAGTTGAAACTGAGGAATCTTCACCATTTTCTAAAAAATATTCCTTTTCTTGTGAATTCTCCAACAATATGGGCTTTCTATTACAGCTGTTATCATCACGGTGGAAAAGAACATCCATACGAGACCCTGAAAGAACTGTATTCTCTTGTACCAACCTTTTCAGAGTGGCATTCCATCTATTCTTAATAGCATTATCCGTTCTACCTGGAAGTACTTTTGCCATTGCAGCCCATTTGTTTCCCAATTGTTGGTGCAGTCGAATGATTGTTTCGTCTTCTTCCTTGGTCCATGGTTCCCTTCGAACGTTGGGGTCCAAATGATTCATCCAACGCTCACGACACTGTTTTCCAGTTCTTCCTGGAAAAAAATTTCCAATGACTGACCAATTTCGAGAACCAAATAAAGAAGTAAGCTTCAAAAGAAGTTTGTCTTCTTCCTTTGTCCAGGTACCTTTCACAATATGGTCTCTTTCCAAAGCCTTTGGAAAAGAAGACAAACCATCCTTTTCAAAGTCTTCGGGGGAAAATAAGTTACCTCCGTGAGTGGAAGAATTGGTGGAGTTAAACCCCGAAGAAACAGGGGATGTTTCAAACTCAGTGTCCATCAACAATTTCTTTCTGTCATCGTACTTGTGTTCAAGAGACTCCTGACCCAAGGCGTTGTTCCACGAAGTCACCCATAAACCCTTCAAAGACATGGACCCTTCTCGTTCTTCCTCCAAAACGTCTTCAAGGTTGTTTGCATATATAAACTTTGACATAAGAACACCAGACGACTTTTATAAGTTTCTCTTGATTACAAACTATTTTCTTTGCCGAGCTCTCCAATCGACCACAACAATTGCATTTCCAACAATAAACCGACACCACAAGTCCCATTTTGGGTACCCAAATGGATTGGATTAGGAGTTTTGGTCCAAAAACTAAGCGTTTCAACTTGTATGACACAACAGGTATTAAGCAAGAACTGGATAAAACTATCATATCGGTGGCAAGTAGAAAGTTAAGCCTCTAATTGGAATTGTTCTGAATATTATGTAGGTTTCATCGGATAAAGACTTTTACAAGGATAACTTCTATATCAACCTGAAAATAATATTAGGATTCACCTCCTTAGGAGTCGCTGGATTGGTTTATTCTTTTTCCTGTCCAACTCAACAGTGTCAAGTCAAAACTTTTGTATCGGTGATAACCTTTTTTCTCCTATCTTTGTTGGGTCCTTGGTTCATACAAAGTTGGGAAAACAAGGCTATTGTATTTGGGACTCTACACAACTATAAAGTAAGAATAGAAACCAAACTTGGTCGTTACGACAACTGCTTTGAAGCTACTATCGAAGTTGTCAAAGGTACTCAACAAAAACAATTCCAGTGGACTGTTCCTTACAACAACTATTTCAACACCAACGGGGTTTTCCTTGAACAAAATTTTCAGGCAGCGTTTCTAAAATTTTACGAGGATAGTAAAGCAAATACATATTAGGATACCACGTCGTCATCTTTGTGTAAGGGTTTACAAGTACTTAGGCAGTCATCAATAAGTTGTCGCAACTTGCTATTTTCCAAAGCAGCAAATACTCTTTCCTTATCACGTAGTTGTTTGGTTATTTCTTCGTCGGATTCGTGGGTATTGTCACAAACTTTGATATCAAGTTTATACCCTAAAGGGAGCAGATTCTCGTCTCGAATGCGGGCTAAAATACAAAGTCCAATAAGTGAAGCTAAACTACAATGGGGAACAGTTGGTGTAAATTCAATCTTTACTAAGCCTTTCAGCCGGTTTCCTTTTGAACCGTGAACAACTACGATGGAGTGAGGATCAACCACTGACAGTTGTTCCAGAGAATAGGGATGCTCAGGGTCACGAATATCTCTAATAGCCTCTATTCACACTTAGTATTGAACTAGATTTTTATTATCCTTACCTACCAAATATCTTATCTTCTAAAGGAGCGTTTGAAGACAACTCTTGTCGTCTCTCATTAGATAATCGAACTTGAGGATAAGGATTGTCCATTCCAAAAGCACTTGATGGAAAATACAATTTGTCTTACCTTTTTATTTGGCTTTGATCGAAGTCTTCTTCCACACTCATCTTGTATTAGAGATACAGACTATGTGAATTACTTGTTCTCTCGACAACAAATACTTGGAAAGTATGTAAATGGACGAAGAAGGAGGACCAGGACTACTTTTATGACTTTGGCCAAAAGTGACCAAGTCCTTAAAACAGAGGAGACTGGTTTTCTTTCTCTTGGAGTTTCTGAAACAACTTGTAAAGCACTTGTTGATGCGTTTGACATACATATTCCTACAGCCATTCAACGCAAAGCCATTCCTGCTATATCAGGTGGTGCCAACGTCATAGTTGGTGCCGAAACAGGCTCTGGTAAAAGCCTTGCGTATTTAATTCCCATCATAGAAAGGCTTAAACTGCAAGAGGAATTACAATCCTTTATTCGAAAACCAAAGAAACCTAGAGCTTTAGTATTTGTTCCTACGAGGGAGTTGGGCGAACAGTTACTAAGAGTATTGAAAGCTCTTTCTCATCACATCAAGTTCAGAGCAGTTTCATTATTGGGTGGACGACTTAGTTTTGTTCAACAGAAAAAGTCTTTGGAAGAAAATGTTGATATTGTTGTTTGTAGTCCAAGTAGACTAGTCAAGCATGCTGTATCAGGGAACATATATTTTGGCGATATCCGTTTTATTGTGTTGGATGAAGTAGATGCCTTATTAGGAGATGATTTTGTTCGGGATTTGGATGTTTTACTAGCAAAGTTGCCAAAGAAAGAAGAAAAAATACAGTTTATTGCGGTTGGTGCCACACATCCCAAGCAGGTCTTTCCTATTTATGAAAAATACTTACCAAATGCAAAACTTGTCAACGATAAACTTCATTTACTACCTGTGAATACAAAACATGTTTTTGTGAATATTCAAGGTGATGATGCTACTCAGGAGTTGATAAGTCTATTGCAACAAGAAGAAGAGAAAGAGAATCCTAGGACTTCCAATCGTATCATAGTGTTTTGTAATACAGTTGCAAGTTGCCGGTTTGTGGAACATTATTTATCGGAAAGAGGTTATCATACAATCAATTATCACGGAGAAATACCACCAAAGAAGAGAAAGGCTTTGTTTTCCGAATTCTTAACCCAAAAACATGTCATACTGATTTGTACAGATGTTGGAGCCAGAGGTCTAGATAATGTTTCAGTAAATTTAGTGTTGAACTTTGAATTTCCAACTTGTGTGGTTGATTATATTCATCGTGCTGGTAGAACAGGACGTGCTGGGAATTCAGGTAAAGTAGTAAGCTTCATTCGAAAGAAGGATCTATCGTTGGCTCGAGCCATAGAAAGCGGTATCTCTCAGAAAAAGGTAAGATATGTGATAAGACTGGATACTTTGGTTCAGTTTCTTTCGAACCTTCTTGTAGGATCTCTTAGAGTATACTGCACAGTTGAAAAGGAAACCAAACTGATCAAATCAGTTCACTGATATTTTAATGTGAGGGGTTTTTTATTTCATTCAACGTTCAAGCGTTTCATTCTTCTTTCTTATAAACAACAAACAATCTTTCAATATACAACTTTAACCCAAGTTCCTTTCTAATTTTCGTGCAAGAGGTCTTTCAGGATCTACGCCCGTTATCTTCTCAACACTTGCCAGTTCTTGACTTCGTTTCCAGTATATAGCTGCTCTATCGAGATAACCAAACATTTCCTCCACTTGTGCCCAGTCCTTCCAAGTACACGATTCAAAAGGCTTGGCATTGATTGCTCTCGAGAAATAATGTCTAGCACTATCCAAATCTCCACATTCCGCTTCTAACTTTGCAAAGCTTCGCCATAACCAACCATGATGATCTTCTAAATCAATAGCAAAGGTAAGCAACTTGCGTGCTCTATCTTTATAACCCTGTTTCCATTCAAACAGTGCCCATGAATGAAGTAGAGCAGTATAATGTTCATTTCCTTTGCTTTCTTTGGCTCCCAACATGTAGAGACGACGTGCCTCTTCTATATGTCCTTGATATGCTTCAAGTTGTGCCCAACATTGATAGGCATAGGATACATTAGGTTGAAGAATAATACCTTGTTGAAACTTATCACGAGCCAAATCAAAATGACTTTGACTTGAAAGAAGTCTTCCCCAGGCACACCACAACTCCCCATCATATGGATGATATTTGGTTGCTGCTTCATATATCGAAAGTGCCTTGTCAATCTGATGATCATTTTCTTCCAAACGAGCCCAAGTTTGCCACAACTGAACTGCAGCAAAAGGATCAATCTTCGTTCCCATGTGATAACATTCTCTTGCTCTATCTATATTGCCTTCATGCTCTTCAAGTTGTCCTAAACTTAACCAGCTTAAAGTATGTCTCGCGTCTAACTCAACTGCCATGGACAAATATTTTCGAGATAGTTCAGAGTTACCTGCTTTAAACTCTAAAACACCCAAAGCGTGACAAAACTGTGCATTATCCGGATATTTCTCTTTCCCAAGTAACAGAACTTTACGTGCCTCTTCAGCGTTTCCTTGCTTATCATATAATACTCCTAAAGCGTGCAAGAGATATCGATTTTCAGGATTTCTTTCTAAACCTTGCAATAACAGGCCTAATGCAGTTTCCACGTTGCCAAGACTGTACTCCATAGCTCCCCAAGAGTGGTATGCAGAAGCCATGTTAGGATTGGCTTTAAGAGCTCTTTGAAAAAGTTCTCTTGCTTCACTATATCGCTTGCGAAACTTTTCCAAGTCTGCCCAGCCTTGCCATAACAAGGCATTGTCAGGATTGTGTTGTAGAGACTCTTGAAAAACTTTAGAAGCCTCGTCCAACTGGTGCTTCTTTCTAGACAAAACAAGAGCTAATTTCATCCAAATTGCACCACTTCTAGGCTTCTCTGTTACAACGCAACGCAGTAGTCTGATGGCTTCGTCATATTTTCCTTCCTTCTCAAGGGTAGTAGCCAAACTAACGCGGGTGTCCATCTCATGCTTGGGTGTTCTTTCAGGAGTTCCTTGTTTGCGAAAGTCTGCTCTATAAAACGACTCCTTTGACTCAAAAGCATTATTATTCGTACCTGTACAAGGTTTGTTCATATTCGCTGACGTTTTAGAAATAACCTGCCAGTGCTGAGGCACTAAACGGTAGATTCGCTTTGGAATAAAAGAACAAACATTCAGTTGCTTCAGAAACAGATGCTCAAATTTTTTGTTTCTGCTATTATTGCAAAACCTATCAACACTAACAAACGTACATTCCTTACAAAGCTTTTGTGCCTCCATAAGCAGCATCAATATTCAATCAAGCAAGTTTCCCTTTTCAGAAATTCCAGAAATGAGTCATTTCACTTGGGAACAGTTACTGGTAAGTGTGTTGACCTAATAGAAAATGGAAAGGATGTCTTGTTGAATACTTAATAGGAAAAGTTTGAAGCGGTTGAATTTCCAGAAAGGAACGGAAAGCAAGATGAATTGCCTGTAAGTTTTGCGCAGATTTATGAATCCCAAAATGTTGGTTCTACTTATCTCTTGACAGCAAGTTTCCAGCTTTGTTGAAGCCTGTTTGGAAATGGGAGCTTTCTTTAGTAAATAGCATTTAATCGCATTGTTCATGTTGTATTCACCGGACTATTTCTTATCTTGTAGACCTTTTGGGAAGGGCTTTCAGTTTTGTCCAAAGTGATATCTTGAGCAAGGCAAAAATAATTCAAGATTATGGAGAAAGGTTGCATCCTCAACAAGGTCAATATTTTGTTCGATATCTTGCTATTGTAGACTGATCTTATTGGAAATAGGCTCGCTTCAAGAAATAATAGAACAGGAACTGGATACCGGTGCGTTTTTATCTTCCTATTTGAAAAAGTTCTTTTCATTTTCTAATCTCTGTTTCAAGGAGCTTGTGCAACCAATGAACCTCCTTCTTGTTCTAGAACTGTGTTGAGGTATTGTTCAATTCGTATCTTTTGCTCATGTTCTTATTTGAATAGATTGTTATGGGCCACTCATTTTTTGTATGTTTTGGTTCAAAAACTTACCACCGATGAAACTATTCCTCTAAGAAGTTGTGTAAGAGAAGCTTATGATATAGCACTCAAGGACCATCATTCATGGTATGTATGAAAGTTAAGATGATTATTATTGCAAAATGGAATCGAATGATAATCTATCTAGGGCCATACAGAAAGCAGTACATACAGCTTTGATATTTTTGCCGTCAAGAGACTTTTTTTATAGAAAAATAGGTTCGAGTTTCATGATAGCATTTGGACTTAATATTTACGAAACTAACAATAGGTGTGGATATTCATAAGAGAGATTCCTATATGAAAAGAGGAGATAAGGCTCTCGGTAAGGAGCAAACGAGACTCGTAAAATGCAACAGATAAATATTTGCTACTAGGCACAATTGTTCAAAGAATGTATCATTTCTATGAAAGAAACGGTCTTTTGCAGTTGCCATAAAGAAGTTTTATCGAATTCCTTTCAAAGTTACTGTTCTATTGAATACAACTCTTGTGGGTATCGTAGAATCCTTGTCACAGCAGAAAAATCCCAGTCTTTCAAACTGAAATATGTCTCCAGGATTAATGTTCTGTGCAGCATCATATTCCAATAATGCGTTTTCTTTTACAACTTCACTTTCGGGATTGATATCATCAAGCCATGCATCGCCCTTGATAAGACCGGGTTGTTCAGAGAGGAACAAGTTGTTGTAGAGACGAACTTCAACTGAAGTTGAAAATTGGTTAGATGCGACCCAATGAAGGACACCCTTTGGTTTTTGAGTCTTATCAGGGTCATAAGAAACTACAACGGACTCGATTCGACAAGGATCTTCAGCGCTCCACTTGATATCTTTTGCTGTAATAGGATATGCATAACGTAACAAAACAGTCTTTTGACAAGGAAAGAGGAGAATATATGTGAATACCAAACTACTAAAGGATACCAAACTTACCTTCCCTGGAGCCAAACCAAAGAAATCTTTTTCATCTTGTAGACGGAAATCGCTCTTCTCAATATAAACTTCTTTTGTAAAGGGTGACTTGTGAGTTCCTTTTCCTTCATCCTTTGGATGGTTAGGTACTTGAAGCCACTCGATATGATCCTTTGGAAGGTTTTCGATAACAACCTATCCCAAAGAAATGTGTGTTGATATGTTATCTTTTGAATAAGATGATGCTTACTTTCAAAGGTTCCAAGACACACATCCTTCGAAACACTTGTGGATCTAAGCATGTACGGCAGGCATTTTCTAGTTTATGAAAACCAATCAAATTGTCACCGCGTGTAACTCCCACTGAAGCACAGAATTTTCGAAGTGCTTCAGGTGGAAATCCTCGACGTCTTAAACCCATCAAAGTAGGCATTCGAGGATCGTCCCAGCCTCTCACGTATCCTTTATCTACCAAGAACGTCAATTTTCGTTTGGAAACGACCGTATGAGTTACAACGAGTCGAGAAAATTCCCAAACAAATGGACGATACATATCAAGAGCTGCCAATAACCAATAATATGAATCACGACGTATCTCAAACTCAAGAGTACAGAGCGAATGCGTTATCCATTCCAAAGAGTCTACAATACAATGGGCAAAGTCATAGGATGGATAAATACACCATCTATCACCGCTATGAGGATGTCTCTTATATCGAATACGATAAGCAATTGGATCTTGCATACAAGGATTCGGATGTTGCATATCAATTTTCATTCTTAAAGTGGCTGCTCCTTCTTCAAACTTTCCAAATTTCATATCTTCAAACAATGTGAGAGACTCTTCTATGGGTCTGTTTCTCCAAGGAGAGTCTTGTTTCTTCTCTCGGTATTGCGAAATTTCATCTGGTTTCAAATGACAAACATATGCTTTATCTCGCTTGATCAGTTCAACAGCTAACTCATACAGTTGGTCAAAATAGTCAGAAGTAAAAGTTATCTTTGAAGGCTCATAGCCTAACCATTTGACAGATTCTTCAATGCTTTTGATAAACTCTTCTCTTTCCGCTTCAGGATTGGTATCATCATAACGAAGAATACAAATGCCATTTTCTTTTTGTGCATAACCGAAATTCAAAAACATAGACTTGGCATGGCCAATATGTAGAAAACCTACTCATGGAAATCAATATATTCAATCCAAAATAACAAAACTTCAAAAATATCAATATACCATTAGGTTCAGGAGGAAAACGACAAATCACTTTCCCTCCAGTTGCTAAACGATGTCTTTCTAAAAGTTCAGGTGTGTTCCTTGCAGTTTCTAAATCTCTAGCTGCCATTATATTAGGAATACCAGCAAAAGGATCCACATTCTCCTCTTCATCCTATTATACCAATAAGATATTTTATGGATACTGAGCACATGCACAAAGTTCTTTGTATAGCAACTTGCCTTGTTAGCTTCCTTTCTATTCAATGGCTTAACTTCGAAGGGTTTTTCTTGAGTCTATAATTAGGGATATCAGTCTTCCTCAAAAACAATACAAAAGACCCTTTTACTTTATCAGAAAGGGAGAGATGATTCAGCAAATCTTGCAATTGCCTCTCCACTTCCAAACGAACCAACTTGGCATCTGCAAAGCGTAAACTGCTCAAGACTTGTTTCACAAGAAGTCCAACATTGGTATGACTCCTAAAGTATGAAAACATATATACAACTAAAAAAAGTGACAAGATGCAATAACAAACCCTTTCATCTGCACTTGGTTATGGTTTTCGTCTAATACTGTCTTTACTCTTTCACAAATATCCTCCTTTGTCACAATGACGCCAACTCCAGCTTGTTGTTCCAAAATGGACTCTTCGACCTTTTCTATATTGTCTTAGATATTTGGTTTCAACACACTTGTTTTCAAAGTGATGCCTCACCTTCCCCAATGGAAACCAAAAACTCTATCGCGGCATCCAACTGCGCTTTCGTTTTGATACGTTCGTCACCAATCATCAGAAACAACGAATTTCGATTGGTTAAAGGAAGTTTAGGATGGATGACTGCATTGTATAATAAGAGACACTTGTTTTTGGTTTGTTGGCTTCCTATTTACAAGACAGTAAGCTGATCACTGAACAACAGGTAAAGGCTTGAGTACTTCACCATCGTTGACAAAAGAAGCACTTTTCAAGGCTTCCAAGGTAGAAGAATAGACCTTTTCGTTTCTAGCTGCTGTTTTTGCTAGTTTTTCTTCCATTCCAAAGGAAAGAAGTTTGTCAAGTCGTTGTTCATAGAGTTGCGCCATTGCTTCACAATAAAACTGCGAAAAGGGTGATAAACGAGTAAGAATCACAAATGAAACAAAGAACAATCCATTCCATATTCTTTGACAAATAAAATGTCATAAATGATAGCAATGGCTTATCTATTTGTCCATCTAAATAGAAATATATATATAAATTCCAAGTTATATGGAACCGAATGATTTCCAAATTTGGAGTTTGTGGGGGACGTTAAGAGAAAATGCAAACTATCGGTAGGCTTCGTTTCGCTATTCACAAGGGTTTAGTTTTTGGTAAAGAGTGTAAGAATGATGTTGGTCTTATCTGGATTGCTTCCAATAAGGGTTACTGCTGTACAAGTGATCCACAAGTAAGAGGAGTAAGGCAACTGTCTTCACGTTTGCAACATTTGGCACGCTTCTCTACTTGTTCAGCTTTACAGCAACCCATTTTGTTATTAGAAAGTCCCTCTGTTTCTCCTAATAGTGAATTGTTTTTACCTTTCTGGCACAGATCCTGTTTTAAAAGGTCCTTCTCAACAGAAGCTTCCCAAGAAAGCAAGCAAGAAGTCGTATCTATTAAAGTGCCACAAATGGGCGAGTCTATCAAAGAAGGTACTCTAATCTCTTGGCAAAAGTCAGTTGGTGACACTGTGGAAATGGATGAAGTGATCGCTCAAATTGAAACGGACAAAGTCACTGTGGAAGTAAGAGCTCCAGAAAGTGGAACTATTGTAGAAGAGCTGGTAAAAGGCGGTGATACTGTTGCTGTAGGAGCTGAAATTGCGCGCTTAAAACCAGGAGCTGTATCAGAAGAAGTTGCAAGTGAACCAACAGAGACACACTCTGCAGCTGGACAATCAAGTCCTGTTCCTATCAAAGTCCCAGAAATGGGAGAATCGATAAAAGAAGGAACTCTTGTATCATGGAGTAAAGCAGAAGGCGATTTTGTAGATATGGATGAAGTAATTGCGCAAGTAGAGACTGACAAAGTAACCGTTGAAATCAGAGCGCCTCAAATGGGAGTTTTACAAAAACGAGTTGCAAAAGAAGGTGATAGCGTCAAAGTTGGAAGTGATATTGCCATACTTCAACCTTCTTCAGCACCTACTCAACAACAAGCTTCGAAGGACACCAGTACTGCAACTTCTCCTCGTCGTAGTGGTGGTGAAGTGAGTAGTAGTAGTAGTAGTAGCAGTCAGAAAGCAGAGTCGAGTGACTTAAAGCAACAACCAGAAAAGCAGTCGATATCAACAAGTACTTTATCACCTCCCAAGCCACCAAAGCAAGTTGCAGATTACAGTAAACTGAGTTCCGTAGAGTCGCAAGAGGGTGCAAAGAGGGTGGCTATGACGCGTATGAGGCGTCGTATTGCGGAAAGATTAAAACAAGCTCAAAATACTGCAGCTATGTTAACTACTTTTAATGAAGTAGATATGTCAGCGTTGATGGAGTTGAGGAATAACTATAAAGAAGCATTTGAAAAGAAACATGGCATTCGTTTAGGCTTTATGTCGGCATTTACAAAAGCAGCGACATTGGCGTTGATGGAGCAACCTGAGCTGAATGCCTATATTGACGGTAGTGATATTGTATATCATGATTATGTGGATATTTCTGTGGCTGTTTCGGCTCCTACAGGACTTGTGGTTCCCGTGATACGAAACTGTCAAAGGTTGAGCTTTGCAGAAATAGAAAAAGCTATCCATACAATGGGTGAGCAAGCAAGACTGGGCAAACTAACCATACAAGATATGCAAGTAAGTTTTCATGTTATTATTCAATATTTTCCAACTTATCAAATACAAAGGGCGGTACCTTTACTATTTCCAATGGCGGCGTTTTTGGTTCTCTGTTATCAACTCCGATCCTCAATATGCCACAAAGTGCAATATTGGGAATGCATACCATTCAAAAAAGGCCTGTTGTGGTGAATGACCAGGTATGTTGGCGCTTTGTCGGATTTTTTGATTGTTTTTCAGACAATTCTAAACCATTTTTTTGGTCAGATCGTTATCAGGCCTATGATGTATCTTGCCCTTTCCTATGATCACCGACTGGTGGATGGAAGGGAAGCAGTAACGTTTTTACGTAGAATCAAAAGTTTAGTGGAGGATCCTCGTAAAATATTACTGGACATTGATATTTAACATTCGAGTAATGGGTTTGCAATATTAAGTTCTCCGAAACTTGGAAACTACAATAAAGAGCCCTGTAAGTGCAAATATGGCTGCAATAATATAGAGAATGAGTTTGTTCGCAAGAGCACGTCGGGTCATGGAAGACAAAAGTCCCCGACTACGAAGAAGTGCTGCATCTATCCTTGATAGCCCTTCTCTTGTATGCAAAATGGTCTGCCTTTGCGCACTTAAATCTTCTAAAATTCCTCGGGTCACTTGTTCCGTTTCTTCCAAAGTTTTGCGACTATCATGAAGTACTTCTTTTCCTTTTTCCAGTTTTCCAGAAACCGAAACAAACTTTTGACGTTGCTCTAACGAACCAGACTCCAAGTCTTGTTCAACTTCTTTTAGTAAATCGTTGCGTTCCAACTTGTCTCGTTCCTCTGATAAAATAATCTTGGCATCTTTCCAATCCTAGGGACCTGGAGATGAGTGTGAACAAAATATATGGCATAAAGATCCTACTTTTCGTAAACTCTCCAGCTGTTTCTTTAAACTAGAGACTCGCTGGACGTCGTTTCGTCTTTGCGGTTCTACTGTCTCGGAATAAGCTTCCAACTCCAGTGAATGTAAGCCCTGTGAGACTTCATCCAACAAACGCTCTGCATTTTTCAGCGAGGTCTAGAAAAGAATGATAAAACAAGTTGAAATTTGTTGCAGAAACTCATATAAATAGAGCCTTACTTTACGTTCGTCCAAAGACACTAGAGAAGAGTATGCTTGGTCAACTTGAGCTCTTAACTCTGAAATCAAGCTCTCAACTTCCTTTTGATAGTGTTGAAATATTCGACTGCTAGTGGTTGCTTCCGTCATACTAAACTCCTATGCAACTGGAGACAAACTGGCCACAGCTTATTGAATTGACTGCTTATGTTGTTTGGTTTTAATTAACATCATTATGATAATGAATGATGAGGATGGGATCTCACAATTACTTCAATACTTCAGCCTCAAGCACAATCTATTACGACTCTGGTTTGATATTCTTCTCTAGTCTATTCTGTTTTAAGCATGCTTGAATTTAATGATATTATCATGTTGCTAAACACAACTTCTCTTGATATAGCCAAGAACTTCACCAAATCAAAGACATGCAAAATAGCAAAAACAATTGTAAACTAGTTCACATTATCCATTTCGTTTAAAACAATTTATTTATGGAGATAATCAGATTCGACTCTCTTAGGCTCGGTTGTAAAGAAAATGATACAAAATTGGGAAGTTCAAAATTGAAATAAACACATTCAAGGATTGTGCTCTTCCAATTCCATGTCAATATATTCCATTCCTGTATCCTGCGTTTTGTCCCAAAGCTTTTCCTGAGAACCTGAAGAAACTGATGACGACGACGGGTTGTCTGTACTTCTATTGGCATGGAGGGATGTTTGATTACTACTGCTGCGGTTACATATTTGCATGAGTAGTAAACCATCCAAAGCATCGCTGAATGCCGGTGACTCCGCAAGTTGCAAAGAGGTAGATAAATGGTTTGAATTTCCATAGCTGTTATCTTCATTCGAAGGAACTCTTGTACTCAAATAAGCAGGAGCTGATGCTGCCACTTCTCCAGAAATGGAAGTACGACTCTTTCCTCTTCTGTGACGACCTCTGCGGGCCGACGAAAGGTATTCTTCAGACTTGGGGATCCAACCTGGATGCAACGCCATCCAAGATTCCAAGTTTCTGGCACAAGGTGCGGCATTTCCTGAAATCGTGCGCCCCGTCTTGGGATCCCAAACAGTAATTCTAGGCTCCCGATGGGCAGTACCAGTAAAGCTTGGTGGTGATAAAAATAAAGATGGCATCTGAAAGAAATTCTCATTGCTTGGAGGAGGCGTATCTTCTACTTTCGGACTGGTACTCAACGAAGAGATCAAAGGACTCGAATAAATTGCTTCAGCTGATGAATTTTTTCTACTATGGAAACCGCTTTCCAAAAGTTTTATGGTGTTCTCCAAAACATCTTTCACATAAACTTCTTCTTCGCTACCGCATAGATTTCTTTCCGTACGAATCGTTTTGTAAAAAACATACCCCGTCAAGTTTTTCCACTTTTCAACGTTTTCTAGATTAGTGCAGTCACGTACAAGCATAAATTCTTCACCAAGATAAACAAGTGCTTCCTGTAACCTTGTCGTTTCCTCTAAAGACCAGTCTGTGGTCCTCTTAGGATGGGACGAAGAAAACGAATTGTCTTGTTGCATCAGACCTAAGTTTGAACCATTGGCTTTTGTTTCACCTTCACCGAGCTTTTCTTGGCTATCAGCTTCCAAACCACTTCTTACCATAGTCAAAACCTTTTCGGCACTAGCTTTAAGAACAAGTGCAAGTTCACCATTCGCAAGCAAATTGGAAAAGGCAGCTTGAATTTGTTTCTGTCTCCGAAGTAACGACCTTCTTTTGGAAGACTTGAATTCATCTGCCTTCTCTTCCCAACCAGGATGGGATTCCAACCATGTCTTCAAATTCTTTCGATAAGGTGCAGCGTTACCTGCAACAGTCTTACCTGTTAATGGCTCCCAAACAGTCACATGTTCATCTTCAGGGGGTGTAAAAAACAAAGAGGATAAAGGCAAAAAATGACTATTATGAGTAGTGGAATAATACGGTTCTGGTTCTGTTCTTTCAGGAGTACCGAACTGTGTCGGCAACGAGGAAGCTTCAAGCTTTCCGTGGCGTGTTTTTGACAAAGGAATTGGTATGGCTTGCGAAGGCGTTGCTGGACGTTTTAAACTCCATCCACTTTTCTCTGTGCTATCAAAAGAACCTTCCATGTAGTCGTCGTTACTTTTTTCGTCTACCATAAAAACTTTTCAAAATAAACAAAATACGCACAATTTACTGAGGCACCAAGAGATGACGTCCCATCCCAACTCTTGTCTCTTTCAGTTGCTTTTAGTTCTTATATGGTCATAGAAAACAACCCATTGCACGAGTAAATTAGACGACAAATACCACACTCGAATCTCGTCAACTGCAAGCACATCATCCAATTTTCCATCGACGTCGACGATGGTCAAAATGAGAGTCTCGTGGATTCTCACGACTTGTGCAACTCCTCTACTGCTCATACCAACTATCGTCAAACTATTTATACAATTAAGGTAATGGTAGAATCTGTTGAAGATTTTTATGAATCCTTATTCTAGTATAGTATTTGTTTTTGGTTCCAGAACAAGCTATAAGATTAGCATTCCTTGAAATATTTATATATTTTTACTATCTTTACACATTTTGAGAAATTTTAAGTTTTCTGTTTGCTCCTTTGAGAGTTGAAAAGCTATGACAAGAATGATTTCCTGGGATGCTCGAAACCTATATACGGAGAGGTATGACTCAAAATATAGATGGCACAGAATGTAAAATGAACATAAAGGGAAACAGACTTTGACGTCAAGTTATTTAGAGATGATTCCGACTTTGAGCTCGAGAAGAAGCTTTCAAAGGGGAGGCAAGACACTGACTATGGCGGGCTGGAATTCGAATTGAAGTTCGTTGCTGTCCATTTTTGTCACGAAAATTTTTCATCCAACACCACAAATGTCTTACCTTGAAATGAAATAATGAATAGGAAGACGATAGGAAAAGTAAGTTAGCTTTCTTTTACTCTCGGTTGAATATAATATTCACACGTTCACAGAATAATGTATATATTGCAACCCAAAGTAAACACAACTTTGATATCATTCAAACGGATAAAAGACCTATTCTTGTGAGGCAACTAGAACAAGACCTGGAAAGCTTTCAAGACGACAACTACCCACAAGACTTGAAACATATTCCAGCTGAAAATTTCGAAAAAAGTACCAAAACAAGACCTCCATTGAGGGCTGCATCGAGTCATTTGTTTCTACAAAGTCCTACTCTGAACGAGGACAAGATACTTTGTAAAGATGAAACAGAAACACCTGATGCTCTTCGTATAGCTCTTTGGAATACAACAAGACATGGAATCTATTTACCAGACTCTATTCTCCATGATAGAAGGCAACTATATAGATTCTGTTCAGACTTTTGTTATTTGTGGACTATGGATGAGTTGCGAGAATACTGTAGTGTAGCAGGATTATTGGCTTGCGGTACAAAAGTAGGTTAGGCAATTTAACTTTTTCGTGCAACTTTTGACATCTGTTTAGACAGAATTGTTGCGTCGAACATATTTGGCTCTCCATCATGCCGAAAAGGAATTAATGGAGACCTAGCAAAGAAATTCTTGAAGGATGTAGTATCGTATACAATCTTACTATAATATAGGATTTCAATAAAGGTAGATAGAAAATTTACAAAATTAATCTGAAACAACCAAAACAACTTTGAACGGCAACCACTTCACTTTTCCTGAGATAGATGTCGAGGAACTACAAAAAGTCCTGTTGCTTCAGCGTGCACACTACCATCTTTATCATAAATACAACCCTTTGCATACAGTTTTCTACCTTCCTGTTTCTCGAAAAACGCTTCAACTGTACGAACACTGTTGAGAGGAATTGGTTTGCGGTAATTGATATTCAAATTGGCTACGTAATTAACTTTCAAAAACTACATTATCTGCGGTACATTCATAAACTTACCTGTCATGGCAAAAGAACCGCTCAAAAAAACAGCACTGCCGAGACAATCGTCGAGAAGTGTAGCAATAGCGCCTCCGTGAACGTAACCTGGTGGTCCTTGAACACGTTCCCCAGAACGCACAACATACGTCACTTTATTTTCTTCTTTTTTATGGAACATTCTAACTGAGAACTCTTTGTTCGCAGCAATAAAATGTTGCTCTTCCTTGATTGGCAAAACTTTTGCCATGAATTTTACATCAAAAGGCGTGCTTCCAGCATCTTCCACTTGCATACATACAGAGTTGAACTCTTCCTCCAAATTATTTTGCACGTTATTATTATCTCTCTTGTCGTTTTCGTGAGAAAACGTCATTGTAATAAAGTTCCTTGTTTGCACCAGTCACCACCAACTACAAAAATCCCCGACGACTCACTCGCTTTGGAATCGACCCTTTCAATTGTTCCCGTGGACACAACTCGATTCTTAGATAAGCATTTTGCAGGCTTGATTACTATCTGCCAGTTGTACTGAAGAAACTGGAAAAATTTGTATTTTTTCAAAAAGTGATTAAACGATAGAACGACACTTCTTTCAGTTCCTTGCAATGGAACCTGTTTCCTAGTGATTTCTCATTTCTGGTTATTAATAGGAAACTGTACGTATTCCGTGTCATCCGTAACTACAGAACGAATTTTCCATTCTTAAACAAGTAATAATAAACGACATGAAAAGAATGAGAATAAGTTGAATTCCTTTTCATGAAGAAAGCAGAGTATACTAAACAGATGGAGTTGAACCATATTAAAGTTGCAAAAAGCTATTGTCGTTATTGTACACGTCTTTCTGTAATTTTTCAATATCGCAACTTTTTAAAAAACAAAGACAACTCGAAATTTCCAAAAAGCAGTTGTGATCGATGTTATGGGACTTACGACTTGGGCAATATGGACTAACCTAAGACGCCTTACAGTATACAAAGATAAATTCTGCCTTGCGAGAAATACCTTAAATTCTAGTGTCTTACAAAATTTGGAATATTTTAGGACGTTACACTTTAGTGCAAGGCAGCTTGAGAGTGGCTCAGTGAAAACTTCAGTCACCCCGTACGATGTGACCAGAGGATCTTCTCAAGAAAGTTCCGTCGACACGAAGACTTCTCAAGAGATTTCGCATAGGATGACCTTGTTACAGCGTGTTAATATTCCCATGTCTCATCGAAAGATGAATATTGTCGCAAGAATACTGAAAGATATGCCATTGTCACAGGCAGAAGCCCAAGTTGCAGTGCTGAATAAGAAAGCTGCAAGGTACTTGTCACCTCTTTTGTTAAGAGCCAAAGAAAAAGCAGTTTTGGAAGATAAAATGGATATCAATCGGCTGAAAGTCGGTATGTCTGCTATTCCTGTTTCTTGTTCTCTTGTTTGTTGAAGTTATTCAGGAAGTGTCGTTGTCAATCAAGGTCCAGCACCTAAAAGAATAGTTCCTTGGCACGGAAAGGGAAGATTTGGCGTTCGAAAGACTTATAGTTGCCACGTAACAGTTGGTTTATGTGAAATGACGGATGCTGAAATTCCAAAGAAAAAGACTTGGATACCAAACCGTTTTCCTATACAACCAGAACCACGAAGACCGTTGCCTGAGTTACCGAAACCTTGGTTATTGACAAGTTATATGGATCTCGGCTCAGGAATATCATCAAAAAAACAAGGAGATACAACTGAAAAGTAACACAACAAGTTTATGGCATATGCTATACTATTCTTTCCAATTCCTTCGCATAGGATATATTTTGTTCAATTAAAGAAAGTAACTCGTTGTGATTCAAAACATCCATAGGATTTTCGTTCTCTTCTGTAGTTTGAAATACAAGTTGCTGATTCTCTATGTTCCAAGCTCTGTCTTCTATAAACTTTTTAAACTCATCGGGAGATCCTATAAACAAATATATGATTCATTATCTTCTACAAAGGATAAAACCAACCGAAAGATAACATTTCCATAGCATCATCGCAACTCAGATATCTGTATGCCGTTTCCAGACAGTCTGCAATATCCTTACGAACTGTATGAGCAAGTATCTGAGTGAAATATTGAAAATAATCATTCGGACTGCTCTTCGACAAAGATAGAAGCTTTGCATAGGAACCCTCTGTAAGACATTGTTCCAAACGAATAGCAAACGTTACATAAGGGTCTTCTTTTATAGGCTAGTTTACAGATATTCAACCAAATATCCTCTACAATTGAATCGTTTGGTTACCAACCTTTTGTAAAAGTTCTAGTTCCGAATGAAACTCTGCGATCCTGTTTTGCGACAATAGTCTCATAAAATTCAATCCTACCAACAGGCTTTCGTTTGAAGAGCGAGATAGAAAATTCCTTGAAACAAGTTAAGAGATAGCCGACTTGTAAAAAAAGTTTACACACGAAAGGTCGAGATACAATGGTTTCAATTGCATAAAGTGGCGTTCGAAACTTTCCATATCCTTCTCCAAAATACTTAGGAAACAGGCCACTTCAAAAGTTGACCTTGCCAATAAAAACTCTCTGTGCAGAAGTTCAGCTAACCTAAAAAGTATAAATAACGTAAAACTCAAACAGACTCTTTAGAAACAGAAGAATATTCCTTCGTATGCTGTAGACTGGGAAGTTTTGTCAAAAGAACCTGTCTCAAGTGAAATTTTGTTATACAAGAAAAGTCTATATTTAGCCAGCTACCTTGAGATCATTCAGTTGCTTCCAAGCTTGAGTCAAGTTAGGTTTAGAACGTTTCAATTCCTTTTCAACACTGGATAAGGTTTCGTTGCCTTGGTTTACTAAATGCGTCATGGGAATCCAAAATTTTCAAGGAATAGTATACGCCTCAACGCAAGGATAGTAAAATAGATGTGCTCATCGATAAAACTTTCAAGTTTCTTTTATCATGCAAAATACAAAGTTTGACGAATGTCTATTGGGTATAATGTATCAGTTAGATAATAGACACAGTATGATTTTTTTTCTTCTCAATTTGACAAAATATGGCTTCGCGAGCAGTTGTTTTTCTTGTTCAGCAACTCACTGAACATTTGTTTCTTCATTATCTCGTAAACAGATACATTCGTGCCATTCAACCCAAGTGACTATTGCACCCGGCCGTCATTTCGCATTTATCATCTCAGCATGTCGCAAGCAGTTCGTCTTTTCATCGGAAACTTGTCATGGAAGACTTCTAGTGAAGGTTTAAAAAGAGCTTTTCAGAATGCCATTGGTGTAGAAGCAAGCGTTGTAAACGCACATGTCGTAATGGACAGGTATTCAGGACGCTCAAGGTACGTTACGAGCACTATCTCCTTTAGAAAGGAACTCAAGAACTTGCAGGGGATTCGGTTTTGTAACTTTTGAATCGCCTGAAGACGCTGCTTCAGCAGTAAATCTACTCAATGGAAAGGAACTTGATGGTAGAGCTATAAGAGTAGACTTGGCACACGAACGTGAAGAAAGTGCTCCTCGTCAACGGAGACAAAAAGAAGCAGACGATGACTATTTATAACTGTTCTTTGGTTTATTGCAAAGTTTAGTAAGATATTGTCGTCATGGAATAGACCAGGCACCGCTCTTTCGCGTTGTTTGTAGACAGTCAGTATAGCATAAAGATGAATGTTTTGAACAACATACTTGTGGATATTGTGTTTTTATTTTGTTCAGTGCTTGAACATAGAGTTGTACAGAAGAATATTGAAGAGGAGACTGTGCTTGAGACTAGGAAACAAAATTGCGACTTGGAATACTTTGTGGGATCATCTTACCGGATTCCACAATGTTGGAGACTCTTGCAGCAGACCTTCTTAGTCGGTTTCTGGGACAGTATATAGAAGGTTTGGAAACTAAAAATGTGAGTTTAGGCCTTTGGTCAGGAAAACTTTGTCTTCGTTCGTTGGCACTGAGGCCAGAGGCACTATCGGTTTTCATGGCTTCTTTAGGGCTAGACTTGGGTGCTTCTGTGAGACGCGGAGAAATTGCAGAATTGGAAATCTTAGTACCTTGGAAAAATATATGGAGTAACTCCTCTGTTATCTCTTTAAAGGGGTTGCGACTAGAAGCTGTACCTGTTAGTGCATCTGTTTCAACACAGGACCAAAACTCCTATGCACAACGTAGGAAACGTGCTAGGCTGGCAGCAGATGAAGCTCTCAGAGAAACAAAAAGACAAGCACTCTTGGAACTGAGTAGTAGCGTCAAACAGGACGCAAATAGTAACAGCAATTCGGCCACTTGGTATCAACGTCTGCTTACTCGGGTTATCAGCAGAATACAGATAGACATTTCAGATATTGTTGTGAAATATGTTCTGGATGAAGGAAACAGCTTTCGCATGGCAAGTTACTTTCATCTCAAGTTTATGTCTGTTGTTTCCACCGATAGAAGTTGGGAACAAAATCTGGGAGAAGTATCAGAAGGTCCTATCCTCTACAAGGTTGTAAATATACAGGATCTTTCATTTTATATTGGAAAAGACGTCTTTAACGAATCAGCAGTATTTGAAGAAGACATTCTTAACATTGTGAATTCGGAAAGTAATCAAAGGTATAAACTGTTTGGTCCTTTTTCTGCAACTTTACAAGCGAAATTGCGGAATCCTATGGAAGATATGAAAGAAGACCAACCCATTCCTAATGCTGTTCTGTATTTATGTGTCCATAACTTTGACTGTTCATTGGATAGACTGCAATATATAAGCATGATGAAGTTATTGGAAGCTTTTTCGCAAAAGACAACTAAGCCTGAGAATGCAATAGAAAAGTGGAAGTGGATTGTTGAACAAATATTTCCTGGTCTTGGTCAAAGAATCAAGCAGGAAAAAAATCTTCAAGTAGAAGCAATGAAGTTAAGGAGGTTGCGTATGCTTGAATATTTTGAGTTGCGTGAAAAATATTTGTTACAAAGGTATTCTAAACTGAAACAAGATAGTAATACGAAAGGTATTATGTATCCTAAACGACTTGAGGAGTTGGAAGATGTATTGGAATTGGATGATATCCTATTGTATCGTAGTATAATTGATGAAAAGTTAAATTCTATTACGGTTCCTATTAACTCTTTGTCTCAAAATGATGAAGTGAACTCGAATAAGAGTGATACTACAAGTAATGTTGGTTGGTTGCAATGGATGTCATCATATTTTACCTCCAAACAAGAAGAACCGAAACATTCTGTGTCTTCATCTGATAATAGTCTCAAGACTGCAGAGGAAGGCCCTGGTGATGTTTTTCCCGTAGATGATAAGGCTTCCTTACAGTATAGTATCTCTGACTTTGCTGATTCCAATAACAATGTTCATGATTGCAGTTTATTTCGTGTAGATGTGGTTATCGAAAAAGCAGTCTTTTTAGTTTGTGATAATGGATTAGAAGAAGAGAAACAACCCTTTGCAAGGATGCTTCTTGGAGGTTTGTCTTTTGGTTTTGAGAAACGTTTTTCAGGGACTATTCGACTTGATTTGCTTTTCAACTATTTCTCGATTGTTGATTGTCGTAATCAGGGTGGTTCTATGTTGATAAGTCGAAAGTGTAGGGAAGAAGAAAGTAGCAGTTTATCATCCAAAGTAGATGTTGTGGAATATACATTACGTGATCAAGTGGATTTTCTACTACAAGACCCATTTGGGAGAGTTGAAGAAACATCAAAAGGTGTACTTGGTGTGTTTAAAATAGAAATGGGTGAACAAGACGAAAGTAATGGCGTATACGGTAGGTTTGGTGGCATACAAATTTCTCTCATCGATCAGAGCTTTTTCAAAACATTGTTTGGTGTTTTTGAACTTCCAAGAAAGAAAACAAATTTAATTGAAAGTGTTTCAGTACGTGCCAAGAAAAGTTTATCTGAACTTCGGGAGTATCTCGAGTCTCGTTTATACGAAAGAAAGAAGCGTTTTCAGATGAAGATTTTAATAGAAGGTCCATCGATCTTTCTTAGTTCTTCAAAGAGAGGCGATGGTGTATGGTTCAATTTTGACACTTTGAAATTGAAGAATTGTTCACATGAGGCACTTGAGTCTAACCAAATGATTGTGTACAAGTCAATACAAGATATGTCTTCACTCTTTGGTTTCTATCAACTTGAATTGAACGACTTAGATATCAAATATATGGAAACTATAAGTGAATCTGATGCGACGTGTATTGTTGTGTTAAAGTTGGAGCGAGCAATTTTGTATTTTGTGACTTTGTTGGATGCCATTACGGCTTCAAGTTGCAATGAGCTTCCACTTTTTATTAAGAACTGTCACTATAGACCGCTTGCTTGCCTTGTTGGAGAACTTCCTGCTTTGAATTTTCATATCGTTCCTCAGTTTTGTATGTTTTTCAAGGAGCTTTTGCAAGATGGATGGTTTATGGAATATAGCAAATATAGACAAACTGAGCAGTTGGAAACTCATCCAACTATTGACAGAGCAGTTAGCTCGTCTTTGGAAGTAGTTGAAGAAGCATCGACCGATAGAAGAATTGAACACCTTACATATTTTACTTTGCAGTTGATGATGCCACAGATTAATGTTTCTATTGGAAGTCGTCAAGGAAATGTGGGTTTGAAGGCCAGTTTGTTCGAATTGACCTTGTGCTTGTCGTTTCTTTTTGACAAGAAGCAATTTTCATGTAGTTTTGAAAGGTTTTTATTGAAGCAATTATTTTCTAGACAGCAACCGCAGAATTTATTTATTTGTGAAGACCAAGTTCGCTATGCAAAGAATTATGGTGCTCTTTGCATAGATGCAAATTTTCATCCTAATCCTGCTGAAGACAGGGTCCATGTTCGTATCATATCCATAAAAATGATTCTCGAGCCTTCAGTTTATGCAGATATTGGAAGGATGGGATACGACGAACTTTTTTCAAAGCATAGGGGTCGTACCACCTTTGATAATCTTGATGACTTTAAAAAGCAGGATAAAGTTGTTGAAAGTGAAATGCTCTTTCCGAAACGAAAAGTATCCGTCGACTTTGTTTTTGAAGAATTGACTTTTGAAATCGAACGAAATCGTTTGCCATTTGCTATACTTACTATCTCGCAACTTGGTGGTAATTTAAACCATGAGGATACAATTGGTTTCCAAGGACAAGGAATATTTGATAATATTACTCTTTACAACATGTCAACGGAATTGGAAGTTTCAAAGAAAGTATTGAACGTTCCAATATCAGATTGTCGTGGTCGTTGGAAGTTAGGTTCGTTGGTAACTGCTGTGAATTTAGAAGACAGTCAGAGTTTTGTAGACATTCCAGAACTGCAAATTACAACAAATGATTTTCATTTGATATTTCTTTCTTCCTTCTGGACTGAACTCAAGGCTCAAGTGACAAAGACCATGGAAAATTTATTTCCTTCGAACGGTTCCGAACGATCCGGAACTGGTAAAGAGTATCCGAAATATGCCCCTTTTTTGTTATGGTTGATCTCTAATATTTTTGAGCTTGATATTCCTCGCAGTTCATCTTGTAAAGATGCTGTCAGGTTGAAAGCTGAAAATCTCCACCTGAAGAACAAATTGCAAATGGCTGTCAATTACAATATAGGCTTGTCAATTACGACAGGTTCTGTTGATGGTATGCTGTATCAAATGACAGTTGAATCGGAAATACCATCAAAAAAGGAAGCTTTTTGTGAATCATTTCTATTGGACGCCGTCTTAGAATTTGATATTGATACTGCCTCATGTTATGACTGGACCTCGTCAGATACGACGGAACCTCCTCCTGATGTATTTATCCGAATGAAGTCAATACGGCACACCATGTTTCATGTATCTGAAGTTCAGTATACTACGTTGTGTCACATTCTATATGGAAATTTATCGGAGGATATCGAGAAAGAAAATATTGCAAATCTTATCTGCCGTCGCAAGTCAGAAGACTCGGAATTGTCTTCGAGCCCTGAGAATATGTTACCCGGTGAATGGTTATTACCTCGACGCTCCCCTAGTAAGATACCTGTTGGGTATAGAGCGATACTGGAATTCCCTCAATTGAGTTTATCATTGTTTTCTGGTGGTTTTGACAGTCATTCCCATTATGCTATCGCAGATATAGATTTCCATAGGATGAGTTTTTTTATAGACTATTATGATGATGGTCGTTTGAGTGTGGAGGCTTCTGCTATTCATGCTACCATGTTGGATACAAGACCATGTTCTCTTTATCGTACAACTTTAGTTATGCCTGATAGAGAACTTCAAAAGTAAGCTCATCTTGTTGTTTGTTCTTCCAATTATTTACAACGATTTAAGGGACAACCAACCTCTTCTTGTCATGAAATATTATGGATGGCCGGAAGCGGCTTCTGTGTATTCATTTTCATTCTCCTCTTTGAAATTTTTTGTGGTTGCAGACTTTATTCGTAGTATATATCGACTATCGATTCCTTTTACAAATGCTCACTATGATCCTTGGTTACTTCGACCAGAGTCTTGGGAAGAATCAACAAGAGTTTTCGATCAACCATATTATGGTAAACAAATTACTGTTGTCTTTTCGAATTGTCAATTTTATTTTCCTGCCGATTTATCCCGTTCAGATAGTCATGCATTGGTTTTAGGAGGAGATCTTGTTTCAAAGTATGACATTTCATCAGAAGAATCTGGAGTCTATCATTTTATTGGAAAAAACATGCATGTTTTGTTGGGTTCGATTTCCGAACCCAATCTTCTAAAAGCACTGTATCCATTTGAACTCACTATTGACTACAGTTTTGGTTCCGACTTGAGAGTGCTTCGAGTCAATGTGGATTCCATATTGTGTCGACTTGGTATTCACGATGCTCCCATCGTGTTTTCAGTAATCTGGAGACTTTTCGTAGCTGATGCCGAACAGTTGTCTACGAAACGAGACAAGTGTATTTCTGATGATGTCCTTGTAGGAGAAGATCATCATTTATGTGAAGCTGAAGCATCCAAAATTCCTATTGACTTTCAATGTAATGTTCAAGGAATAAGACTGATTGCATTGGAAGAGTCGAGAAATTCTTGCGTTCCAGTGTTAGAAGCTCGTGTCGATAGATTACGAGGGACTTTTCGAGACTTTCTATGTGGTCAAGTCAAACTTGAAGTTGCTGTATTTCTCTTTTATGAAAAGAAGGGTTGGTGGGAACCCGTTTTAGAACGTTGGCCTTGTAATCTCAATTTTTCCATTGGGTCTAAAAACACATTGGTGTTAGAGTTGCTTTCGGAACATCGCCTAAATATCAATAGTACTCAAGTAGCAGTGGAAGGTGTATTGAAAGCAGTCGAAAGCTTTCGTCACTTGATTCAACACATTCAGCAGACAGATTTATATTGTACGAGAACTGAGTACATGATTTCCAAGGATAGACCAAGTGTTGCAGCTTTTGTCGTACATAATGCATTGGGTGTACCTATTTCACTGACATTTCCTTATGACTCGAGTCGTTATGTTTGTTGGGAAGGAGAAGAAAAGGAAGTTGATATCCGAACAGATGAGTTAATAAGGGCTTTAACTGCCGTTTCTTCTCAAGATACCGGTAAGTTGCATTGTGTTTATTTGTACAACTTACGTTAAGAGAGGGTTTTGTTGTCTAGATATCAATCAATTAGAGTTTATCAATAGCTGCACTGTTCAAGTTCCAGGTTACGATGTTTTGACCCTCTCTGCCTCTGAATATGGTGTTCACCTTGTCTCATTACATTCCGTGGATGCTAATGCCGCACAGTCTTCTTCCAATTTAGTGGTTGATGAAGACAACCAACCGTATATCATGAAGGACACCATTGCAGTGTGGGATGTGTCTATGAAGGATGGTTGTCCTTATTGTACTTTGCGCTCAAGATATCGACTATTGAATAAGACTTCTATTAAAGTTGAAGTAACCTATGGCCGCAACTTACAGATGTACAGTATTTTACCTGGAGAGGCTTGGTCGCCTCCTCTTGGCTTTGAATATGAGCCCATTTATCTAAGACCTTGTATCAACGGTGGAATTCATTTTGATGGTGAAGAGTTGGCAAATGAATGCGAGAAGCGAATTTTTTCTTGGAGTAGTGCATTGGAATCTTTCCATGAGTTTTGGAAAAAGGCCATGTTAGTCACACGAGAGGAAAGAAAGATGTCGAGAAAATGGGGCTTTGACAACTACTCAGCTGAAGACTTTATGCGTCATATGGACAAATTTATCTCGTTGGTCTGCTGTGTTTCAGATTTGGAGGATTCTAATGCCGCAAACACTTGTTTGGACGAATTCTATTTCCTTCTGTTTCCACGAGTGGACGAAAAACGCCCCTTTGGTTGGGAAAACGGTTGGTTGGACTTGGAAATACATCCTCCGTTAACTATTCAGAATGGACTACCACGAGAAGTAGCCTTTAGACTAAGAAAACCCAAAGGTCGTGTCTCTCGAATTTTTCATTCAGTTGAAGAAGAATCGTTTGGTTTCGTGGAGGGAATTCTGGAGCCCTTACAAACTGCTGAAGTATTTTCACTTTCTCATGAAATTGGGGAAAATACTTTAAGTTTAAGATATGATAATCTATCTAGGCCTTGTCGAGGGAAACCTAATTATGAAGGATTTATGAAAAGAGCAGATACTCCTGATTGGGGTCAAAGTGTTGTTTTGCACCCTAATAATCGTGTGGAGTTGTTTTCATTTTCTGGAAGTGAATCTTTCTTACCGAGAGGTCTCAATCTTCGTAGTCAGAAGGTGTTTGCACGTCTTGAGTTGACAGATGACGATAGGAGAGTGGGTCATCATTTTAGAATAGTAGCAGAATACTGGCTGAGAAACAAATCGAGTTCTGCAATCAATGTCAGAGTAGTCAGTAATGATGCTATATCATTCTTCTCTTTGGCTCCTTGTCCTCCAGGAGAACCTGTAGATCCATTTGTTGTTTTTGATGGTAACGAAATTGCATTTGCTGTTGCAGGCTACGACAATTATATACCCTTAATGGAACCTTTGGCAAATGTGGACAAGCCCTTGGAACTGAATTTACAACAAGGCAATTATATTTTGGATGTGAGACCAGGAAAGGGGAGCTTTGGACAATCTCTCGTAGCAACTATTCGAGATTGCCTACGCATTGAAAACTCTACAAAGTTTCTTTTCCAATGGTGCCAGTCACATTCGATGAAGACAAGTAAGAAAGAAGATGCAATGACAACTATAATGGGAGTTGATGAAGATTTAGTACATGATATACCTCCTGGGAAATTTGTTGCAGTACATTGGGACTTCAATGACAAGGAAAGGCTGCTTAGTCTACGACGAACAGAAGACAGATACTCACGAGAATGGCAATGGAGTAGACCTTTGAATCCTGACTATCATGGAGATGTATTTTTAAAGATGTATTCACCCAAACGTCATGAACAGTATATTCCTGTGGTCAGAATACAAACTCCAATTGGAGGGTCTAAGAAAATTGTTATATTAGAGGAGGATAGGAGATATCCGCCGTATCAAATAGTGAATCTATGCCGTACTCGTGCTATTGCGTTTCATCAAGTTGGTACAAGTCAGGATTTTCCACCTTGGCTGGTTCGACCAGGACGAACTTCAAGATATGCATGGGATGATCCTTGTGGCATGGAATGTAAGAAAAAGTTGTTAGCTGTAGAAGTAGTTGAGACTTCGTCTGAGAGTCGTTCAATGTCCAACGTGAATGGATCGGAGATGACTGCAATGAGGTATCCGGAATTTAATATTAGCATTGATATTGTTTCGAGAAAGTTTAACAAACAAGTTTTGCCAAAAGGTCCTGCACTTTTATATGCTGTCACTGTGAATGGTCCTACCAAAGTTGTAACTTTTGTTGATGATGGTTCAGTTGACATAGATGATCCTCTAGCAGCGCTTGCCAAGATTACTTTTGCTGCTACCAAGTTTATCTCGACTCCAAGCACTGGTGATGCTCTTTGTTCTTTAGGAGAAGATTTGAATGCAAGACCTCAACAGGAGGCCACTGCTATTTCATCTAATCAAGTTGTTGTTGCAAAGAAAGAAGAAGAGAATGTGAACAGAGCATGGCACTTCAGTATTGCACTTGATGCCGTTGGAATATCTTTCATTGATTCCACTCCTACAGAACTTGCTTATTTGACTCTTACGAATGTTCATTTTGATTATCAGAAAACAGAAGATTATCAAGTGTACGATCTAAGCATAGGAGACTTGCAGCTTGACAATCAACTTCCGAATGCACCTTGGCCAGTAATTGCTTGGCCCTCAGAACGTAGGTCAACTTCAGAAGCTTCAGATAATAGTGTTTCTGTACCGGATAATACGAATAACAAACCTTTTTTTCAGATAACTATCGAAAAGTCACCCAAGACCTTTCCTGGAATACAAGCTTTCACAGGAGTGTATTTTGCTTTTCAAAGACTTAATATTTCCTTGGATGAGTACTTCTTAAGACGTTGTTGGCCATTTTTACAAGTTCTCCTTCGTCTAGACTCGAGTTCACAGGAGGAATGTCTACAAGGTGAAGATGAAGAGGATAGAGAAGATCGAGATCAGAACATGGATTCAAACAGTCTCGTTTTTCGTGAACGTCTTTATATAGAATGGTTACTCTTTGGACCAGTGCAACTTATTGTCTCCTTTTCGTCAGCACCATCTACGACGACTCGTTATGGAGCTTATAGACGACTGATTCGAGTGTTGCTTGCCACAGTTGGAAATGTGGAAGGGGCTGAGTTTCGGTTTAATGCTTTAGAATTACATCATGTATTTGATACAGAAAGTCATCTAAGAGGACTCATTGGAGAATATTATATTACTCAGGTCTTGGGTCAAAGATTGAAACTCATTTCCTCGAACAGCCTGTTAGGAAACCCTGCTGCGCTATTTGATTCCATTGCACTAGGCGCAAAAGACTTTTTTGTTGAACCATCTAAAGCGGTCGGTGGCCGAGATTTTATTATTAGGTTAGATCGTGGCTCAAGGTCGCTAGTGACTAATACGGTTGGAGGTTTGCTCAATTCTATCAATCAGATTCCGCGTTCGCTTTCAGTTGGTTTAGCAACAGCCGTTGGAAATCGGGAATATTTAGCGGAGAGAGAAATGAAAAGATCACGTCAACCAACTTCTGCGGTTGATGGTTTTGTTCAAGGTGCGAAATATTTCGGAGAAGGTATTTCTAAAGGCGTTTCTGGCGTCTTTCGAGATCCTTATCAAGGTCTTAAGCGAGAAGGAGCTAGTGGTTTCTTTAAAGGGCTGGGCAAAGGTCTCGTTGGAGGTCTAGTACATCCAATGACTGGTGTACTTGACTTTATTGCGGAACCAGCTGCAGGTTTGCGAAGTATGACTGTTGGTGGTTTACAACAAGGAGCTTTGCCTATGAGACCGCCACGTGCTATTGGTACGGTAAAGCAATTGCAGTGTTACGATGTACATGCAGCCACTGGAAAAGCAATCTTACAAGCTGTCATTCGAAGTGGTGATGAAGACCATGAAGAGCTACTATATTGGATTGAATTGGATAATCTTTTCCAATATACTCCTAGTAAAGCAACTACCGATGAAAAATCCCCAGAATGGCAACTTGCTGCCATTGTTACTCTTTTTACAAGATCAGGTCGTCGTGGAAAGACACTTGGAAAGGAGTTGTTGGCTGTCAAAGTTCAAGAAGCCTTGAACCAAGGTCGAACAGTTCCGGTATCTAGTAATTTCAGAGGAAGAGCAGCGTTGCTAACTTCTAGAAGATTGATGATAACAACTTTTGATGGAAAGGTTCTTTGGCAGCGCAAGTTGCGACATATAGTAGATGCAAGAATGACCAGTTCTGTCAGAGGCACACCAGCGTTGGCAATCTGTGTGCTTTCAAGCAGAACTCAACAAGGTTTCTTATGGGAAAGAATTGACTGTCCTTCTTCAAGTGCAGTTGAAAGTCTCCGTAAGGTTATTCTCAGGAATATTCGATTTGTAAATTCAGCCAGCTCGCCTTTACAATATACTACTACTTCATCACGGGACTCATCCTCAGCTTACAAGGGTTCAGAGAGCGATGAGGAAGGAAGTATATCGGGTAGACAAAGTGATGTTGGAGAAAGTTTGCAGGATACTGAACAAGAAACTAGTAGTGATATGTTGGGTGATATTTTTCATCAAGTACCATTTTTGGATGAAAATATTTCAAGTGAAACGACTTCTGTTACTCGTGGTTCACATCAAGATTCTGTATCTTGCCAAGGCACAAGTCAACCGTTGGGTGGTTTGTATCAACCATCTCATCCTTCCAAGTCCGTTGATGATGTTATTCAAAGAGAAATTGATAGATGCGTCTCATTTCCATCAAATAGAAACCAAAATGGTAAAAGAAGTCTTCGTTTGGTAATTGCAAATGCACTTGAAGGTCCTCTTCATTTGGTAGATGCGAACCTGATTAGTGGTATTTGGTGTCAAGAACCAACTTCTGTTATTCCCAATGGAAGTGCTCGATTATGTGAACTAGAATGTGGCAAAGGTTTTATGAAAGGAATTGAAGGTTCTCTTGTATTTGTATTTCACTGCAGCTCAACGGAAACTCCATGTTGGCTTACTATTCGATTTGTGCATACATTTTTTACTTCTAGCAAATTGAATGTAAAGGTTCCTGTAGGAATCAGGTATCGTGTTGTGGAAGGTGCATCAGAACATAGTTCTTGTATCATTATTTTTACTCATGATAACTTTGATACAACCAAAGTGCTGAATAACTCAGTCTCCATTGCTCCAGAAGAAAGAACGAAATGTAATACAAGTTCCTACTCCATGAATAGAAATGATTCCAATGTCGTAGTTTCTGATGATGCTGTTGTAGAGCTTGCAAGTATGGGTTTTGATCCGGAAAAGGCTTATCAAGTTCTTCAATTGACAAACAGCAATATTTCTGATGCTGTTCAGATGCTTCTGGAATGGGATAACTCATAAATGATGTGATTGAGATGTTTTTCTTGTACTAATAAAACGATGAATTGTATATTTCTTTTTTTGTTATTTTCTAATGAACACGGACGAATAGAAAATTGTTTTCATGTGAAATGGCAAGTTATTCTCCTAGCGATGGAGATTTAAAAGCAGTCTTGTTTGCAGACTTCTTTAGTGATAAACTGAGACCACCTTGCACGGATGGAACGTTCTGTGAAGCACTTTTGCCTATTGTAAACGTTAGCTTACTCCAATATCAGCTGGAAGCTCTCTTACAAGCAGAAGTAAAGGATTGCGTGATTATCTGTCGCGAGCATATAAAGGAAACTTTAGCGAAATTTGTGAAAACCTTGAACTTTGATATGAATTTGCATTTTCTCACCAATAGTCAGTGGTTGGTTGCAGGAGATGCCATAAGAGAAGTAAGTTGTGGATCTTTCTATGAGTTTGAACCAATTCACACTTTGGATAGCTTGACAGTCGAGGAGATTGGAGACCACAAAGTGACTTTATTCTAATATTTCCTGGAGCATTTTTCACCTTTAATCTTTTGGATGTTGTTAAAGTAAGTGCAATCTTTTTGCTTTCAATAAGTTTATCCGATCTTATTTGTCAGGAACACCGAGCTAGAAGAGAAAGAAGCAAAAGTTGGGTATTAACTAGTTGTTTTGGACTTCGAAGTATCAGTAGCTCGTGTGATATTGCCAGGTTGGAAAATGGACAAATCATTCAGTATTCCTATGATAGGAAAGACAAAATAGTTATTCCTGGTATTACAACTTTGACCGAATATTCCTCTAGAGTGGAGATATTTTCTAGTTTAGAAGATTGTGGTATCGATATTTGTGCTCCTGAAGTTCTTGTAGAGTTTAGAGAGAACTTTGACTATGATAACATTCGCGACTTTATCCGAGGAAAGATTGACGGTGGTGAAGGAGAACTATTAGGCAATCAAATCTATGGCCACATTTTGAGTGGAAGTGCAGATTTTGCTTGTCGAATAACGAACATGGAAAGTTATTTCTATGTATGTTTTGCCTTTATTCATCGCTGGAGTTATCCTTGGACAGTTGAACGGTTTCCTTTCAAAACGACGAAATATGAGTATCGACGTGGTCCTAAATATATTGCATCGAGTTGTAGCTTGGCTTGGTCTTCGTATATTGGAAGATGTACAGTCTTGGGTGAAAATACTCGCATAGATGAGAATGCCGTGATAGTTCATTCTGTCATTGGAGATAATGTGACGATTGGTCCGAACTGTCATATTAAAGATAGTATTATATGGTCCCATAGTATTTTGAAAAGTAATGTTCGCGTTGTGGGTTCACTTATTGCAGATAATGTGGTTTTAAATGATGATTGTGAGATTTCTGAAGGCTGTATAGTAGATTCCTTTGTGGTTGTAAAAGCAAAATCACATATTCCTCACCATTCACGTATTATTCTTCGAGAACATCCTTATCGAAAGGAAACTATGGATGAGAGAGTCTTGTTGGAAAGAATGGGAAGTTTCAATATGGAATCCAACTTATTTGATAGAAATGAGAAGGAAACAACTATACAAGATGAAAGTAAGCATCATTGCATCCAATGGCAAGAAGAAACTCATAAAGCAGAGGAAGATGACGAGTCATCCATTGACGAATTGGAAGAAATAGAAAGGAACGAATCTGAAGACATTGCCATTGAAGAGGACAGAGAAGCCGCAGAATTGGGTATGACACCTGATTCCTTAGCTTTCAAGTCTTCTTCGAGTTTTTCACCTCCTACGGAAAGAAACCTTGTGCGTCAAGAGATAAAGGATACGTTCCAACGTGCTTTGGAAGAACAACATTCTCCAGAAACTGCCGTGTTGGAACTGAATGCATTGAAATTGGCATTGGATGTTACTTCTTCTCATATTTTGAGAGTTATATTTCCTCTCTTGTTAAATAAGCTCGACGTCCAAGAAGGCCTTACTCAACAACAAGTTACTCAACAATGGATATTATTTGTTCGTCATTGGTCTGGTGTCTTAATCAAGTTTTGTATGCATTCATCGGATGGTATGTGGTTACTGAAATACTGGAAGGAATATTGTGAGGTTTGTAAGATTTCTTTATATCGACAAGACAGCTACTCTGAAAGTTGTTACTTTAGCGATTGCCAAACTATCGAAAATATTTTTCTTTTCTTGTTCAGTTATTGTATGATTGTGATGTTTTATCGGAAGACTGGATAATAGACTGGGTTTCCGAGGAAGACAAGTTAAACGGTCAAGCGGTACTCATACAACAACTAAAGCCTTTTGTGGATTGGCTTTTAGAAGCTGAAGAAACCAGCTCAGAAAATGAAGATTCCATTTCTTCGAGAATGGAGGATATGAACCAGTAGAATTAGTTTTCTGCACTTTTATTGTTACTTTCCAACAACAACGGAGAAGTATCTTTTTCTTGTTGCAAACGACGGATTGCTTCTTCTCTAGCCAAATGCTAAGAAAATGGGGCAGTTGAAGAAGATTCGACACATTATAGTTGAATACTTACATAAGAAGTATCTGGAGGTCTTTGATATAAACCGTAAACTCCAAAGAAAGTAACTAATACTAAAACAGTATACCACGGAGCTTCCCATTCTTCCCATTGTCGTTTTTGACCAGGAGGCGGAGGCTCTTCTCCAAAAAGTAAACCTCCGGGTTCATTGAACTTCTTCTTCTTCTTCTTTCTTTTTCAAAGCATCTTGGAAAGCAATTAGTGGGATGGGTAAATACAAGTAACAAGAGAAAGTTACCTTGATGCTTGTCCACTGCACTTTTGGAAGCACTAGAACACCTTCTGCTATTCCCTAAAAGTTGATTTCTCAAACTGACTTGAGCCAACCTTTTATAGAGAGTCCCAAAAAGTGACATATCAAACAATTATTGGTATTGAATGTCTGTCGTTCACTCAAAATACAATACAAATTTCCATAAATGTAATGGTTTTCTTACTGAAATAGAAAGGAAGTGAGAATGTTTTGAACAGAGTCTTGGTAACGAAACAATATGTATGGCAACAAGTAATTTACAAAACGTAACAAGTTATTATGAGTCAAATACCTATTCCCACCTTCAACAACTCCTCTTACAAGCTATTAGGAGTAGACTGCATATCCACTTCTCCTTTGATAGGACTTGGCTCTAAAGTAGTGTCAATAATTTGTAATATTCCCTAAGCAAATAACAAGATCACCAATAGGAAAGAGAGAGAAAGTAGAAACCCAACTTACTGCCATTTCTTCTTCAGTAAACCTTCTTTCACAGTCAAATAAAATACACAATAGTTGTAATACACTATTGGGTCTTTGGTTGGCGATCATTTGTAGTTCACCCACTGTCAACTGAAACTTTTCTAATTGTGTAAACAAAGACTGTAGACTAGAAGAGCACTGCGTTCCTGTATAGACAAATAATAATAATAATAGTGAGAAAAAGATATATAGTGCTTCAGTGTATTCACTTACCAGCTGGAGTGTCTTGCAAATATTGGGTTAACGGTGTCATCAACTGTTTCAAGTTATTAGGTAATTTGTGTTCTTTGGTTTGTTCTGTGTTTTCTATATAACGTTGTGACCATTCCAATACTTCTAGATTAGTGACCAACTCTTCCGTTGCTTGTAATATTTTCATATTTCCTATAGATTGATATCCACTTTTAATGAAACCACCAAGTAGGAAATCCAAATAATTGTAAAGTATGAACTATTCCATTACTATTCCAATCCATCCAACGAATCACGTGATTCTCTCTATCGACAATATATAAACGTTGCGAAATAGGATCCCAAGCAACATCACAAGGACAATGGAACTTGGCATACTAATATCAATACTTATTCAGTCATCATCACAAGTATACAAAACTATGATATGTTCCTTACCGTCTTAGGTCCATCTACATATCCCAACTGAGAATCACCACATAGCCATCTGCAGTCTCTTTGTATAGTATGAATACACTTTAGTTTATGATTAAAAGTATCCGCTACTATTAACTGATCTTTATCCATATAACAAATTCCCATTGGCCTTTGTAAACGAACAGAGGAAGACACACCATTTCTATCTCCAAAACTCAACAAGTATATATTGTCATTCGAATGGAAAAGAGATTTATCTATTCACTTACGCACTTAAATTGCCAGTAAAGATAGCATCACCACCAACTAAAGTACCCACTTGATTCTTAGTCATAGAAAGCCATCTTATGATACTTGAATCGGAATCGACAACATATAATGTTCCATTAGGAGAAACAGTAATTCCACTAGGAGCACAAAGTCTTGCCTAAATTCCATTATTTATAAAAATGATATAATCAAATAGATTTCTTACTCGAGACAAGTCACCTTCTGTATCTATATGACCAGAAGGATACTTGCCATTTCCACAGACCAACTTGACCTCTCCTGAGGGATTCAAACTCCAAATCTAATAAACCAATCGATGAATATATTCATACCCAAATCATTATTGACCATACCTCATTAGAACCTGCTGCTACTGCAAAAATAGTATTCTCATAAATAGTAACATCCATAGGATACCTAAAAGTACATTCCGATGTCCCTGAATCATTTGTTATGAGTCCATATTATGGTTAGCTATCCAATAACACAACTCTGTTTACCTGAAAACGACAAAACTCCAATACTTTTGGAATGAAGAACTGTAGTTCTTACTTGTCGTTGTTTCAAATGAGCAATTCTTATGGCATCATTCCACATATCTGCAATGACCAACTCATCATATTCTTCATTGTATATCATTCCTTGAGGATTACGAAATCTAGTTTCTTCAAAACTTCCATCCTTCCATCCCATACTTTCCTTTTCAGATAATATAAAGTCATCCTCTACCCTCAATCCGCCAATTTGATCCAAAAATTGGCCTTCCATAGTGACAATCAATATTCTGTGATGACCAGAATCAGAAATAAAGAGGCGACCTAAAAATGAAACAAGTCATCTGAAAAATGCAATAGATGGGTTTTAGATAATTACCATTTTTCAAGTCCAAGGCAATCTTTCCAGGTGAACAAAGTGGTGAAGCACGCTCCATTGGATCCAAAGAGAACTTTATAGTCTTGGCAATAGCTCCCTTTACAAATGGATATTCTGAAAAATAGTCGAGACTTGTAGTAATACAATCTTCCAAAAGATGGAATTTGTTTTCTATGTTTCAAATATCAAAATAAGATTAGGAATGAACTTCCAACACTCACTTGGAATAGCAAATAAAATATGATAGTTTGGGTCTAATACAAGAACAGTAGGCCAATCCTTTGCACCAATCGACTTCCAAACTTGCCAATCCGAATCCAAGGCACAAGGAAAATTCATATCAAAACCCTTCTTCAAACATACCAATATGGCATCAATATTTCATATCAATCAACTTACTTCCAAAGCAATACGAACAAAATGAGAATCAATCTCATAATCAAATTTGGGAGTATGAATGGCAACTACAGCAACTTGAGGATAGGAGACAGATATTCTTTGTAAAACTCGAACATAATCGGGATTGGAAATATCACTTGAACGCCATAAGAATACAACAAGTAGCTTGTTATCCAAAATGGGAGGAGGTTCTTCAACATTTATCCAACGCAAAGTTGAAATATTCAATAGACGATATGCCTTTTGTACATGAAAAGTAAAACGCCAAAGACTTTGCTTATCTGTTGGTATTCGATTTCTCAAATGTCCGAAGAAGGCTGCAAAGGAGAACCGTCTTAACAGTTTGGAGCGATGGAAGACAATTCCCAACGAAGTTACCAAAAACTGCGCATTAATTATCCATTTAGACACAACTCATAATACCATTGTTCTTACCAATCCTAGAAATGCCCTGGTTGCTTCTCTCCTTGATACTGCCCAAGGATCAGACACCTGTTCTCCATGGTTCTCTTGAATACTTGAACCAGAGACTGGATCTTCTGCAAGTTGTTCTCTATCATTACTATCTTCTTGCATATTCAGGAACAATGAGTTGTGTTGGGTTTGATGCGCAGGAGACTTGGGTAAACGATGAAGGCAAGGCAAGTATCCAGGATTGCAACGTAATAGTCTCAAGTATCTAGAAAGTATATTCTGTTGACTCTTGCGACATTTGTTCAAAGAATTGTGATAGTTGTCAACAAAGTAAGTGATAAAGTGGACAAAAAGTCTTTGCATTCAAAACGAGATATGAAAGCATTTGGGAAAAGTCCCAATAGCGATAAGAAGAACGGTGGCTTGTCTTTTTGGTCGGATAGTGAAAACGTTGGATATAATATGCATACTTCCTACGTTCCATCTTCTAAATACTTCAGAGTATTTGTTCACATCATAGGATGGGGACTCTTATTGGGTTTGATTTATTGGTTTTGGAACGTCTATTTCCATCGAACAAGTAGCGATAGAAATGGAACAGCAGGACTCCCAATAGGTGCAGCAACAGGGGCAGTGAAACATGATTGTCGTGATCCACTTTATAGAGATCCAACAGGTCCCATTCCAAGAGGTTCACAGTTTGTAGTACGTCTTCGTGCTGCAGCAGGAGAATTGACTGGAGCACAAGTCATATTTTATAATGGTGGTCGTCAACAAGAACAACTGATCTCAATGAATCTGACTAATGGAAACGCCAAGTATGATTGGTGGGAAACAACTCTATCTGCTGGACCTATCGAAGGTGTACTTTTTTATGCTTTTCGTTGTGTATGGAAAGGAGGAGAATTCTTTTATGTATATCAGAATAAGCCTTTTGGAATAGGAACTGCAAGAACTGATTTTGGGCCTTGGGAGTCTCGTTGGAGTTTGGCAGTTTATAGTCCTGAATTTCAAACACCTAACTGGGTCAAAGATGCCATAGCTTTCTATCATATATTCCCTGATCGATTCCGCAACGGCAATCTTTCCAACGATCCTAACAACCAAACCACTTTTTGTTATGGTCGTCGAATATTTCAACATCAAGAATGGAATGAATTGCCTTATGATCCTTCCATTCCCAACTCACCTTTCCAATATGCTTATGAAAATCAATATTATGGCGGTGACTTGCAAGGTATTCTAGATAAATTAGATTACTTGACTGACTTGGGTATAGATGTGATCTATTTGATGCCAATCTTTCAAAGTCCTAGTTGTCATGGTTATGATACTTCTTCTTGGGAAGATGTTGAAGAAAGATTGGGAGACAATGCATTATTTGAACAACTGGCACAAGTCATTCATTCTAAAGGAATGCATATCCTTTTGGATGGCGTTTTTGGAACTTCTAGTAGTGACTCTAAATATTTTGATCGATTTCGTCGCTATTATCCTCCCACAAAGGGAGCTTGTGCTTTTCCTGACTCTCCTTATCATTCTTGGTATCACTTTATTCCTTCAAAAGATGGTCCTTGTTATGATCATCTTTGGTATGAGTCATGGTGGAGTGTTTATGAGAATCTCCCAGCTCTAGTAACTTATAGAAGAGAAGTTCAAGACTTTTTCTTTCGAGCCAATGATTCCATTGCTAAACGTTGGTGTCGAATTGCGGATGGGTTTCGATTGGATTCTCCTCAGCAAATCAGTCATGAGTATTGGTCAGGATTCCGAACAGCTGTAAAGCAAGTCAAATCAGATGCCTTTATTGTTGGTGAAGCTTGGCATTGGTAAGTAATCAAATTGAGAACTTGAAATAGAAAATGAACCATTCAAGGACGGGAGACTATATCAATCACGGCTTTGAATGGGATTCCACTACAAACTATCAACTGATGACTTATGTATTATCCTTTTGGAGAGATAGTCAATATTTAGATAATGATCATATATGGGGACAGAATGATCCGGTATCTCCTATGAGTCCTTCTCAGTTTATATATACTATAGAACAACTTTCAGATTTGTATGCTCCCGAGGCGTGGTATTCCATGTTGAATATGTTATCTAGTCATGACACTAGTCGAGCAGTCTTTGTTTTGGATCATCAGGCACAAAAAAATGATCCAAGTATCTTTCATGAGGACTATGACTGGTCAGATGCTTTAGCTAGATTGAGAGGAGCATTTTCTTTACTTATGACTTTGGCTGGAGTTCCTATGATTTATTATGGAGATGAAGTTGGTTTAGTGGGTCCTCAGAATCTGGGAGTTACTCAGTTATGGGAGGATGATCCTTATTGTCGTCTTAGTTTTCCTTGGTTGGATGCAAGTGGAACTCCTTGGGCAAAACATTTAAGAACTGAACAAGGACAGAATATTACCCAAAGTCATGTCAAATTGTTATTAAAGGCAAGAAGAGAAATTCGAGCACTTCGAACAGGGTCTATTCAACCTTTGGTTATGGATGACTCTAGAGGAATTTTAGTTGTTCTTCGTGGTGATCCTCGAACTACAGATATTGCATTGGTAGCCATCAATAGAGGAAGAGAAGGATGGAAAAAGAGACAACAAATAAGAATCAACATTCGAAGTATCAACCTTCCAGAAGGATTAGGTTTGTATGATTTCATGGGTCAAGTAAAGGAACGTGTCGTATCGAATCCTAAAGATGGTTACATAAGGTTCAACTTGGAGCCTTGGGAGACTTGCATTTTAGTTCCTGAAGATAAGAATGCCTGGAGAAAAGCTCTAGAAAGACGACCTCCAGCTCTGATAGGATTGCAAGCTAGGGTTGATCGAAATGTTCATAAACCAAATATTACCGTAATCTTACAATGGGATCCTGTTGCACCTTATGCAGATGGAACAGAAAGGAAAGTGACGTATCTTGTTAGTAGAAGTTTATTACCCAGTCGAGGATATGAAGTTGTAGGAGAAACTTGGGATACGCAATGGAATGACATTGTGGATTCCTTCTTGGCTGGAGAAGAGACAAAGCCACGACTCTTAGTTCCAGGAACTGTTGGAGATACTTCAAATGAGGCTCCTTTTTCTGAAGAATCCAATTCCCTGAATCAGTCCCATCCTTGGCCTTCCGATCCAAGTCAAGGATATCCTGGAATTTTGTTTCCAAGGAAATGGATTCCTAGTCATGCCAGAATTCGACTTGAATCTTTAGATAATAATAATAATAATAATATTAAGAATGATATGATTAGCAATTCAGGCATAGAATGGAAACAAGACATTACCATCAGACAAACTTTCATACGTCCTATTCAACGTTGGATAAGAAAAGATGCCAATCCTAATGATAATAATAATAACAATAATGGGTTAGGAAACGAACGAACTATATATTATATGGTCGCAGCAATGGATACGGAAACTAAACTATTGGGTGATGACTCTTCCAATCCTTTATCGGTAAAAGTACCCTTGATGAATACTAGTGATCGACAGTATAGTAGTATTACAAATTCTTTGAGGGTTTCAACACTTCCTTGGTTAATAGGAGTTGTGATGATATTATCCTTATTATTGTGGACTTTCATTCATAGGAGTCTTTCTGGAAGAAGAGTTACTCATTTGGAAGAAACCACTCCGTTAATGCACTCCTAAAGACAAATAAAAAGCCCAATTGCATTTCGAATATTATTGGCAACTTGTTTTTGCTTAAGTTTTTATGTTTGTTGGTATTCATCTGTTGGACTCTTTTGGCAAGTCTCTGGTACAACTTGAAGTTGATGGAGCTTTATGGTTTGTTTGCTATATTAGAGGTTGAAACTCGTCGACTAACTGGATCGCCTAGTGCTGGAGCTGTAGAGAAGTTCCTCGTAGCATACCGACAACATAATGCCCATCCTCCACCCATCATAGAAACTGAAAGAGTGGTTTTGTATTCAGTGGTTTTTGCAACTACTCCTTCTTTAAGATTATTGGCAGTTTCAAACAAGAGAAAAAATGCAATGGCAAATCTTGCGTTTTGTAGAAAACTCGCTAATCTCATCGAAGCTTATGCTGTTCCCGTTTCGTTTATTGAACACATTACAGGAGCAACAAAAGAGGAAGATAGACTCTTGTTAGCTCTTATAGAAAGCAGAGAGTGTGTTTTAAACTGTTTTCTTATTATCATGTATTCGTTGCTATTTTCCTTTCCTCAAGACCTTCCTCTTGAAGTTTTGTATATATGGAAAGAATATGTAGCAAAGGAAACAACCATCTTTAAAAGACTAAAAAAGTCCTTCGAAAGGTCATCTTATTTGGAACCCACTGAAATTCCCGTTTTGAAAGAGGCTCGTAAGAACGATACTTCTTTGGTTAGCTTACAAGAAGCTCTAAGTAAAGTATCATGGCGTCCACGAGGGTTATTTTACAACCGTAATGAAGTAAGTATAGAATAACAGCGTATCCTTGTAGAAGATATTTTCTATTTTTAGGTATTTATTGATATTACAGAACACTTGGAATGTATTTATTCTTCATCTGGAAAAGAGATCTTATCTCAAGTACACGGTACCTTGGTTTTACATAATTTTACAAGTGGGATGCCAGAATGTCGAATGCTTATCAATAGTAAACTGACAAAACAGTCGCAAGTGATTCCCCACAAAGGTAGTCCAGATACTGACTTACGAGGTATTGCTGGAGTTGTTGGTGTATCATCAGAGTCTATTACTTTGGACGATGTTCGATATCATCCTTGTGTTGATTTGAAACTAGTGGAAGAGTTGGATGCTTTGTCCTTTGTTCCTCCCGATGGAACATTTACTTTGCTTGAATATCGTTCATCTAAATCCAAGTCACCCTTATTGGTGGAAGGAATAGGATATTTTAAAGAAAGAGGGATGGAAGCCACCTTAGAATTGAAGGTAAGGAGTATATATCGTTATGGAATAAGGTATAGACAATTATATTGGACATTCTTTTTTGGATAAATAGGTTAAGAGCAACCTATCCAACCAAATGAAACTTTTTGAATGGAAAGCTGAACAAGTCACTGTAACAGTAGAGTTGCCTCAGAGACCTTACCAAGTCAAGTCTTCCTCCAATGGAGGAAAGTGGAAATGGTCCAAAGAACAAAAATGGTTTACTTGGGAATTGAAGAAAGCTGTTTCTGACAGAGAATATAAGTCAAGTGTAGATATCGTATTTGATACTCCATTGGACACAAGAAAGTAAGTTTATTTTGTTATTATCTGGAGACTTGTGATTTCTTTTGAAGGATGTTGTACAGTGTCATCGATGTTAATTTTATGATTCCCGATGAAACTCTAACAGGATTCAGTATATTAAGCTTTCTTGTAAAGGAGCCCAAAATGGACTATTCTACTGCCAAATTTGTAAAGTATGAAACCAAAACGAGTCATTTTCAAAGACGTCTGATTTGGCAATTCGAATCTAATAATCATAATCGATTGTGGGGTTGTCAATAAATGAATTTTATAGGCAAATCTATATCTTGTATGTAGACAACCAACCATGATGCAGTTTATTTCTGAAACTTTTGCTGTGAAAAACTGCCCAATAGTTGGCTCTTCGACAAATACCAAAGTCTCCGCTATAGACCAGGGAGAAGAAGAAGAAGAAGAGTGGGAGAGCTGGGTTCCCTTGGTACCTCACTGGAGACAGAGATTTTGCTGGGACTGTGGAGTAGCGTGTTCTTATATGATTTTGCGTTACTATGGCTTGCAGGTTCCGGTCAATGAACTTTACGAAAAGCTTTGGACTCAAAGTGTTTGGACCATTGACCTGGTCCTCTTATTGCACAGCTATGGGTTGCAATTAACTTATTACACCGTTACATGGGGAGTAAGATTGGAATACAGCAAGCAAGAGTTCTATCAGCCTCATTTTCAAGAAGATAGAGTCAGAGTTCAGCGCTTATTTGGAGTGGCAAAGTCGCAGAACCTGAAAATTCTGAGACAGTCAGTTTCTCTTGAAGAGTTAAAGAAAAGACTAAAGAGAGATTGCCTTGTACGAAAATATTCAAATAATACGGTTTTCCAGAAAAACGCAGAAAAAGGGGAGTTATTATTATTGTTAGTGGATAAGAGACTTTTGAAGTGTAAACTGTGTCAACGCAAGACGTCAGCTTTGAGTTGGTTTAAAAAGTTGTGTTTTCCTGGTTTTTTGGGTCACTATATCATACTTTGGGGTTACTGTCCTCGAAAGGATATTTTCTGGTATTCAGACCCAGCTAGTTGTCAAAGTATGTGAACTTTGTGTGAAGTTTGTGTTAAATAGAGCCTTTTAGGATTTTGTATAGTGCGAAGTGACGTGTTGGAGTTGTGTAGAAAGTCATATGGAACAGATGAAGACCTTATTGTTGTTCACGGTTTTCACAAACCTTCTTAAAGTCAGTTTGCTTGAGCTACCACCACTTTAAGTGACAGTCGTTCAAGCAACAATAGAGGAGTCTGTTTATTTCTTTTTGTAAAGTTGTACGCCTCTTTCGACACCAATAAGCTAAACAATATAAAGCTTCTGGCTTCCTCGAGGCAACTCTTTCTTGGCACTAGGTAAAACTATCTGGCAGGAGTATGTTGTGAAAAACAATCTAACAGACTCCCGTGGCATAAGTGCCTAGTTTTCAGAACAAGTGTAGGTTGTCCTTGTAACTTGTCTTTATTATTCGTCACAAACGACTTTCGTTCCAGTTGGGAACGACGAAGAAATTTTCTTTGAATAGATGATGGATAGTTGTTAACAGGTTTGCATTTTGAAAAGACTTGCAGTATTTGAACATGAGCAATGAATGAAAAATATCTTTTCCATTGACAACAAACGTCTTGACAATTATCTTTAATGAGGTATATCTAACACTTGTCGAAAGTGATAAGTTACGTATACAAATGATTCGTTTCGTTTTGTTATAACAACTCTCAAAGGGTTGATCGTAGCGTCATTTCTCATTTTTTAATGCACAACATCTGAAGGTATGCAAAGATAGTTCCTCCAAATCTGTCGTTTGTAAGTTAAATTCGCATGACTGCAGTCTCCTCATTGGCTGCTGTTATTGTCTATACGATATGGAATAGCTCTGTTTGTCTCTTCCACATTCTGCAGCAGATAAACACTATCCTTACATAACGGACATTGCGTAGATTTAGAAAGCCATTGACGAAGACAGTTGCTATGGAAAAAATGCGCACAATGAAGCATTCGTATAGAACAGTTAACTTCGAAATCGTCTAAACATATAACACAAATATTATGATCCCTCAATATTTGGTCAAATAACCATTCAGCTTCTTCATCCTTTCCTTTTAAATACACTGCAAATAATGTCCGTTCCAAAATATTCCTTCCATTGTTCTCGACCATCCTTTGTGAAGGCTTTTTTTGAGCTTCCACAATTACTTCCTCTTCCTCCAAGTGTAACTTGGTCTCTTCCGGTGAGGTTGAACAACAACTGGTGGTAGATAGCGAGATTGCATTCTCTATATCTGCATACTTACAAACCGATGCATCCTGAGTAGGTGCTACACCTTTGCAATACTTGAACAACTCTCTCAACTGTGGTCGAACTTTATAAAAAGAGTGTTTATCTCCATAAGCCAATTCTGGAGCTACCTCATCAAGTTTTGAAGAATGCGAGGGAAGGAAGCCAAAAACGGTTGTTGAAGGCATTCCTAAAGAGTTGTAAGCTCCTTGTCTGGAAGGAGGAGGAAACCGGTTCTCTAAAATAAGACCTCTTCGACCTCTCTTTAGAAGAACGGAAGCAGAGCAAATACTAAACATGATAAAGAGATAAATACTTAGCGTCTAAAAACCCATTTTAGGTGAGCTTTAGCTGGTTTATGAAAGCAATTATACGTACTATTATCACTGCTATCTCCATATGGTTGCTGATGCTATCTCCGAAACTGCGCCACCCAAATATCTCTTTATGTTCTCATCCTTTCCCATTTCATCTTTGGATGAGAAACAGTTTGTCGAAATGATGAGGATTTTGGAATAGGGCGTTTGCTTTGTACAGTAGATAGGTTGAATCATGCAAAATTGGGTCTGTAGACACATCTCCTCGACACTTGTAAATGAGAGTGATCTCTCTATACAATTTTTATCTTGCCTACAAGTTTCCAGTTCCAAAAATGCAATATTTACTTTGGGTATCAAGTCTTATGGTGAAGAATCCTGTTCTCTATTTCTTTTTGCTGCTCAACAACTAGCGTCAACGTTTGACAGTGGATTATTATGGGACTTTTCCAAGTCTTCCTTTGTGAAGACGACCCACATAGTAGATTGTCAGTTGGCCAATAGTATATCGAGCTTTTTGTACTTGGAAGAATCCGACTCTGTTATTTTATCACTTTGCTCAGGAGAGATCTACCAGATTCCTTGTCTCTTCAACTACCGATCGAGCAATAATCAGCGAGACGTGCTATTGGAAGGTTTTGGGCAAGTAGAAACCATAGGTATCTTCCCACAAGGCGTTCATCGTATGCAACTAAGTCCAGATGGTGAAATACTATGTCTTTTAACTGGCAAGTCCCAAGTACAAATAGTCTTTATGGCAACAGAGGATTGGGACATACTAAGTCAGCAAGACATTGGTTCTCTAGAAAATTGGGATAAGTTGTTGCAGTTTGGAAGTATTCCGAGTGCTTGGAATATTGCTTGGCGCTTAGATGGTGCATTGGTTGCAATAACTTATCCTTGTGGTTCAGGAAATAAGATCCAAATGCAAGTATTTCGTCGAGAGCGATTTACATTAGAGAGTAGTTGTGAAGAAGTTTGGGACAGCAACTCTTGCTGTATAGATTGGCAACCAAGAATAGGAGGAGCGATAGCAGCTAGTCTTTCCAACGAAAGCGTTATTCGGTTTTATGAAACCAATGGACTTTCTTTGAGACGTTTATATTTGGATACCGAAATATTTTGCAAACAATTGCAATGGTCAGAACAATACCATATTTTGGTTTGTGGGGATGAAACTAAGATGAGAATATTCTATCATAACAACTATCATTGGTATTTGAAACAAGAATGGATATTTTCCGAGTTTGGAGAGATTGCTGCTTTTCGAATTGCACAAGATAGGGTTGCTACCGACCGAAATACTTTATATGTTTTGACAACCAATGGAAAGATATTTTGTTTTATATTTCAATGGCAGTTTGATATTTATAAACGGCCTGATGAAGATGACTGTTACTTGGCAGTTATTGATGGAAATGAAATAGCAATTACTATGTTGTCCCAACAAATTATTCCTGCACCGTTATGTTCGCTTGTTTTGGTATGTAGTTGTTCCATTCAACGAGTAGAAATAGATAGCAAAGGAGGATGTCTTGCGTTATTATCGAATGGAGCCATGGAGTATTTTCCCTATGCAGCGATTATGGAGACAGCTTTTGAAAGTAATCAAGTCACTTGTACCAAAGGAAGACAATTGGAAAATAGTTTGGATAAGATTTACAAAAGTAACGAACAAGACAAGTCTTCGAAAACCTGTCGAAATAGTTTTTTGTTGCCGCTTTGTATTGACCAGAAACAAGGACTTGTGTGGAAAGCTTTCGCATTGCTTCCTGTGGTAAATAGTCATGAGGATATCTCTTTGCAGGTTCTAATGATAGGTGAAAGACTAGAAATGTATTTATGTAGTTGTCAACAGGGAAAGTGGGATTATCAGTTGTTGTTTAAGAAAAATTTTAGGAAAGCAGAAGAGATAGAAGGAATTGGTTTGGATATTCAACCGGTTATATCTAAGGAAGTCATTGACTCGCAAAGATATGTCATTTGTTTATTGGAAAGTACTATTTCCCTGAGAGATATTATGGAATATGATAAGAAAAGCTATTGGAATATATCTTTACAAGCTTTAGGTTTAAAAGGTCATCAAATATTACATTTGAAAAGCATCGATATAACCAAAAGAGACAAGGAATCAAATAAGAATGAAAAGAAGTATATGGCAGTTTTATTTTTAGATGACAATGGAAGACTTTGGATGGCTATTCAGTTAGGATCGATGGCTGAGTCTTTTTATAGTGGATTTTCTTTCTTACTGATATCAGAAGAATGTGTTGATTTTGAAGTTATTTCTGATTTTGTGTTCTTCACTTGTCGTTTTCACAAGTTGTATAGTTATCCTATGAATATCATTTTGGACTTTTTGGAAAAGAATACTTGTACGACAGGAATCTACCGAAAATTGGAGTGGAATGGAAAGCAGGTAGATTGTAGACCTATTGATAGATTCTCTCGGATAGTCACTTTTGTTACCGACAAAACTGCTAAAAGAAACAATTGCTTGATTTTACAAGCTCCCAGAGGAAATTTGGAATGTGTCGTTCCTCGATTGGTTATTGAAAGAATTGTAGAAAGACATATCGAACAGGGAGCATATGGAGAAGCTTACAGGTAGGAGACATTTCAAATGATTGTTTAATAATATTTATGGATGATAGATTATGTCGGCGACATCGTTTGCCTATGGATATATTGGTTGAGAAGAATCCAGAAGGATTCAAGGAGAATATTTTGGATTTTATAAAGCAATTCAAGGATCCTGAACACTTGAATACCTTTGTTTCAATGTTAGGATCCGAACAAGAAGTGAGTACTTATAGATTCTTGGCATTGACTGACTGACGAATATAAATATACTAAGGATACCATTCGAAATGAATGGTGCAATATGTTGATCGAAGCTTTTTGGCAGTCAAGTCCTGAATCAAAGTATCGATACCCTCTCATTTGTACTTTTCTTCAAAAGAAGCCACCAGATGTATTTGGAGCCCTTCAAGTGTTGCAGTTGGATAGAACGACATCCAATTCGAAAGATGTTGTATGGATCGAAGACTTGATGGACTTTTTATTGTTGCTGACAAAAGATTCTGTTTTGGTCTTTCGAGAGGCATTGCGTCTATATGACTCGCCTTTGGCAGCTTTGGTTGTGGAAAGAGCTTCTGATTTGGATCCGGCTTATTATGGAGCTTTATTACAACGACTAAACGATACTTGCTCGGAGAAACAAAAATATCTTATCGATTTAGAATTAGGTAATAACAAAATGCATTTTGAGATCAACTGATTCCGAATATGATATAGGAAATATGGAAAGCGCATTGCGTCATTTGTTTGCATTCTCTACGTTTCCTACAGATTGTGATACAGTTGTGGAATTTGCTATTCAGCATCGATTGTTTTCCGTTGCTTGTTCGTTGTTTGCAGAATATCCAGAAATGTTAGTTCGCGTTCGACAAGCATATGCTCAGGATTTATCTCAACAAGGGCAACATCTAGAAGCAGCCTGTTTCTATGCCCTGATTGAACAAGATGAGTCTGCGAGGGAGGAATACAAGCGAGCATGTATATGGCAGCTGGTCGTTTATTTCTGTCATAAGATTCTTTGGAAACGTTTGCCTTCTTCTCAAGAATATGTCAAGCATACGACATATTTGACCAAAGATAGATTGGATAGTGACCAGGACTTTATTACGGAAATGGAATCACTTGTTGAGCACCTTAAACTCAATGGAAAGGGCAAGGAAGCGGCATTTATAATAATGAATTACTTGAATGATCCACAAAGTGCTTTAGAAGAACTCATACGTATAGAAGAATGGTTGGATGCAATAAGTATATTGGGACGAGTGCCATTGCAAGACTTTTGGAGTGTAGTAGAAACAACATGGCAGCCAGCGTTGACAAATGCAGTTCAAGAACATTGTGAAGAATGGAAAGAAGTTGCAAATAAGATGCGCTATAACTGCGAAAGATTAGAACAAGTAAGACGTAGGAAGGAAAGCATGGGTACAATTGAAAATGAGTCTATGAATGCATATTTGGAAGAAGAAGCGTTGTCTGAATCAGATGCCTCCTCTCAAAGTGTCTCCAGGTAAGCAAAAACAAGAATACTTCAACTTTGTTATTTATTTCTTCATGTAGTTTGGGAGAATGGACCATGTCTTCAGACACTAGCAAGGCAAGTTTGTATTCATTATTATCTAAAAAAGGGCAAAGACGCAAGGCAAAGAAGAAGAACAAAAGCAAAAAGATAAAACCTGTATGTTATTAGATGTTGAAGGTTTAAACAGTGCTAAGTGTTTGCTAGGGAGATCCTCGTGAAGAAGAATACTTGATTGATTCCTTGTCAAAGTTGATTCCTTCTTCTACTCAATGGGATATTCTCAATCAGCTTCTGCAGTGTTTGATTGCCATGTGCATGGAGAAGGAAGCACGTAAACTCTACGAGTAAGTGAGTTTGTTTGGAGTTGATTCGGTTTTTATTCTGTGCTGTTAGAGTTACGAAACAGTTTGCTTGTGTTGTACAAGGACTTCCTGAAGATATTGCAGGTAGGATACTTGTTGGACAATTCTACTTTAAAACATTCATTCCATGTTAAGGTCGAAATCATTTTGAGGAACTTTTCCAAAAATGGAAATGTTTAGAGTAAAAATTGACCCACCACCTTCTCTACCTATTCATTTCTTGGGTAAAGTGAAGAGAGAGAGGTATTAACCCTCGCTTGGATAAATTTAGTGTCTTAGAATGGTCATATATGCAACTGGGACGAAACTCTTCCTTTTAGGCAAGTAAAGAAATAGAGTTGTCATAAATTTTGTCTCAAATTTTTTGTTGCAGTAGTTGTTATTTGTTGTTGGGTTTCTTTCGTGTTTAGTGAACAACAAGAAACCCTTTCGTTGCCTACTTATACGTTGATCAGTGCTGCGGAAGTCTTCAGGGACGATGCTCCTCACCCTCTCAGCAGAAATCTTCCTTCTTCTAGCGAGATAGAAATTGCATATTCTTTCAGTATAGAGAATGAAGAAAAGAGTGAGAACGTGTCTCAAACTTGCCTTTTGTGAACTTACCCTCAATCAATATCGTAGGTATTCAGCCTGGAACGTTGGTGGATTGCTTAGTTGGAGTGGCAAATGGAGGTCCGTTTCCATATCGAATATTAGCAATTGGTGGAGCACTACACTCTCCTGCACAATTCAACTATTACGTGCAAAATTTCACTCTCCTTTACGTCAACTATACCATAAGTCCTGGAAAGGAGTTGACTTTTTCCTATCGTTTTCAACCACATATGCAACTTGAACCCGCAAACTATATCATGTCACTCGACTTGTTTTATGACGGAGAACCACTAGAGGAAATGACAAAAGATCAAGAGAGAACCTTGAGCTCTGTCATGTTTCGCACTACTTTTTACAATGCTAGTCTTGCTATGAAAGATGAAAGCAACCCTGTGGACAATCGATTGTTTTACATAACTGTAGTAGCTATTGTGACGCTGTTGTTATTTGCATTCTCATTTTATAAGTTCTTTTATCCGACACTAAAACCCAGGGCCAAAAAGTTGATCAGTTCTAAAAAATCTTCCAACCAGAACGACATGAATGACTGGCTACAAGGACATCATGAAGTTTTGAAAGCTAGTAATATAGTCAATCAAAAGCGCAGCGTCTCACCAAATAGTAGAAATATGAAGAACGAATAAAAATTCATTGCAAGGAAAAAATGAAAATTGCGCCAAGTTGAATTTTCTTATATGTTGAGAGGCAAAGCATTGGGACTTGCAGGACTTCGAAGAGAACAGGAAGCTAGACAAGCAATCGACTTCATCGCAAGTTCTTTTAGAAAGGAACTTTATGAGTCACTTCAGAAGCAGCTTGATGTTTTTCGAGAGAATTTGGTTTTGTTTGCCCGAAAATACCGGAAAAAGATTGAAAATGAGCCGGTAAGCTTGTAGTGAAGACCTCCAAGGTTTTTAGTCGTTCTTACCGTCTTAGGAGTTTCGAGCTCAGTTTCATCGACTATGTATTTCTATAGGAGTTGATCCACTGGTTTCAAAAAAGGGGTTTTGGGAAGAAGTTCTTGGTATGGGGGACTTTTACTATGAACTGGCTGTGAAAATCAGTGAAATTTGCATCGCTACTAGAGACATCAACGGTGGTTTGATTTTGTTGGATGAAATCAAGAGGTTGCTAGATAATCATAACGACGAAAAGTTTACAAAAAGGACGTCCAAACGAATCATATTGCGAAACCGCTACGAAATTTCCAGGTAAGAGAGACTTTGATACACGGTTCACGAAATATTCATGTGTGTATATAATTTACGTAGAGACGATATAGAGAGAGCTGTTCAACGTATTCAAGTTTTGGGAAAATCGTACTCTATAGTATCCTTTGGAAACATTCGGTATATTCAATCGGTTCCAGGTGAACTTTCACACGATCACTCTTGTGTTTTATCTGTTTCCAAGGTAATTGAATTCTTGTTTATGTCATACAATGGCATATGACTGTTTTTTAGGAGCAGGGCTTTACAACTGAGAGAAAGTTGGCAGCAAGTTTGAAGTGGTCCAAAGAGAGGATTTTACTTGCGTTGAAGGGATTGTTGGAAATGGAACTTGCATGGATTGACGACCAAGACTTAGAGCGGCTATACTGGTTTCCATCATTGTACTATCCGATAGATGACTGAAAGAAAACATTTACATTTCATTCCTGGAAGAATCAAACACGTCAGAGAAATTTCCCGGGTTGGGTGGATTGAAAAATGAATCGACGCGGATATGGCTCGCTTTGCAAATATAGACAGATTTTGAAGCATGTTCGGATTGAACTATCAGTTTGTTCGATTGAATCACACAGGAAAATATTGAGAAAGACTTGAAGAGGTTTCTCTTTACTTCATAGCAGAGATAGATTCGAGAATGTCTTCTTATAGTCACGAGTCTCTTAGCACCAGTAACAAAGCACGCCATCGCACTATGATGGACGACTATTCTCAGAATGATAACAACTGTTCCTCAACTCCGGCATCTTTAGCTACATATCAAACATATTATCCTAATTTCGAGAATTCTCAACCACTAATGTATCTCCCTGTAACAATAGAAGAAGGTGTCTTGCGTCCCTTTACAGGAGAAGTTGGTGGAGTACAAATGCCTTCGTATAATGGATTCCCTCTAGTGTGGGGTATTCGCTACAATAGTGACGGTAGTAATATAAACTCGCATGATAGAAGCAATTACCACACTCCTGTTGAGTCATTTGTGCCCGCACATATGACCAACACTACTAGAAGAACAACATATCATCATTTTCCTACGACAGGTAACTGGATATCTATTTGCATTTCTAACTCTTAATATCATTTCTGAACTGTAGGACAAATTCCTCTGGGATGGTTGCCTCAACAATTTTCAAGGAACAGCTACACACAGGCAGCAACCTATGGGAGACAAACGGGAAGAAGAATGAAACCTCGTAACCGTTTTCAAGGAACTAGCGTTGGTTGGAAAGAGGGGGAAGTTTCCTTTGAGCAAATGGATTCTTGTGATTCTACTGTGATAGAATTGAGAAGGGTTCTTTCTACACACGAACAAAACACACTTAGTTTTTTTGGTAGCGAAATAGACAAAAGACGAGTACACCGGTTTTTAGTTGAAGACCACATTTTGAAGAACGCTCTCGTTCAACATTTGCGACAATCTGAAGGTTTGAAACATTCTTGTGACGAAATTTTACTTGCCATCTTTGCCTTGTTTTTTTCGTCGATAGATGCCAAGCCTCTGGTAGACGAGTGTATGAACTTTTTGAACAAAGTCTCACGAGGCTCTGGTATGCAAGCCTTACTCGTCGAGAAACTGGATTTGTACGTCAGTTGTTTATATGATCACTTTGAAAGGGTAAAACGAATCCTAAGTAACAACTTATTGGAGAAGAAGAGAAGTAGTTTTATTGAGAAGAGCAGCAACCCTTTGAAAGCGCAATTATCGAGCTTCCAATACTTTCAAGGGAAGACGTTGTCATTCTTTTATTGTCGCCAAGAATTGTACCACATTCAAAAAAATCTAGTTGAACTAAAGGAATCTCTTCGATACTTTAAGAATGAAGTTTTGTCTCGAAATGTTAAAGATAGTTTGATAGAAACTCAGAGAATGAAGGTTTTCTTAGAAAGCTTTCATTCCAAATTGGAGCAAGAGGTTTCACTCAATTTGCTTTCTGAATGTGAAAGCAAGTTGAATGTATATATAAGGGAATTGTTTAAGGCTGCTCACACTATCTTTACTCATCTGAAAGCATTGGTCAACTCTGATTGGGAATATTTGAGAGACTGCAAGGATAACTTCCAACGACAGGCATCAAAGTTGGAATCCTTTTCCCAGTTGAGTAAACGCTATGCTGCTGCCAAAGAGGTGGCCAAGGAGGTGAGTCGCTTAATTGAGACAAAAGAACATCGTTGTCAGAAGATATTGGAAGAACGAGTGAGAATAAAAGAGTTGAATACTTCGTTGGCAAAGATATTGAAAATATATGGGCGAGAAAACCTGACAAGGGAACTGTTAAGGGAAACGAGTTCATTATTGAAAGTGCAACGTAGTATCGATATTGGACTTGAACAACTATTTTCGATATCATTTGGAGAGGTTTTGGATTTGATACGAATGTGTCTTGAGGACTCTGGAAAGAGGTCCAATCGAAAGTTTGCAAGATTTAGTTTGAATCTGCCAGCTTCTGTTGTTATTGTGGAGCCTACAGTTACTCCCAAATCTGGTGTAAGTTTAGATATTGTGAGTCCTCGACAACGTCATCATCGCATGAAATCCAATCCAGATGCACTGTTGCATGTGGATCGTCTGTCGCCTTCGCCTGGTTGTAATCAGATAGATAAAGCTAACCCAACGCCTGATACAGACAGCATTTCCTTTAGTCAAGTTAGTAACAATTCCATGAGAAGTTTTGAAGAGGAGAATGTTCCTTTGATGAAAAATCAACACGACAGTAGTTGCTATGGTGAGCAAGTGGATGATGAACATTTTTCACAATTTTCCACACCCAAGAAAGAAACCAGTAAGGGTTTGGAATATGCTATTCGAACGTTGAATCTTCGAAGAGTTGAAGGTCATGAAACTGCTTCAACAGCAAATAGTTCTGGTTGTTATTATGATGGTACATTTCGTAAATGTCATTCTACAGCTAGCACTCCCAGAAGAGAAGATTCCAAAGACTTATCGATGTTGAAGAAAACCAAAACGACCACTGTAGCTTCACCAAAGATTCATGTGCAACCGACCACCATTCCATTTCATCATCGTAGCCAGCGATCGCAAAGCTTTGATGATATTATTGTGTTATAAACTTCGTAATTTGAAATCCTGTGTTGTTTACATGTTTATATCCTTTATTCTTCTAATTACACGGTAATACGCTTCCACTGATCTTGTAAAGGAATTTCCTTGGCTCCATACAACGCAATGACTTCCACTATCTTTCCACGGGATAAATAGGGATTGGATATTGCATCTGCAATTACTTGAGCTACTTGTAGCCTTGACACAGAACCACTAAATTGGCTATTTGCAGGATATAATCGAACTTTATGATCCACTCCAAAGTCATCTTTTGCTCTTTCCAGACCACCAGGACGAATAACTAAAAGAAATAATAGTGTTGAGAACACAACTCGTCTCATTGGTTGTTTTCTGTTCCTTACTCGTAAAAGGAAGACCACTCTGAATAAGATATCTTTCACTTTTTCTCTTCCAGTATAATATGCCACCATATAAATTGAGTAGTGCTGCAGGGAATCCAGTAAAGGGCTTTCCTGTCCCTAAAGACGTAATCTACACTTACATAGAAATAGAACAATGTTATCATGACAAGCATAAAGAACCTATCTCATTAACAATTCTTACCAGAATAAAAGGACAGTTTGGGTTCCAAGCTCTTGTAGCATCGATTAGTTTCTTGTTTCCCAAATAGTCAATCTTATAGGGCTGCGTGAAATCCAATATACTACTTCCACTTGCACCAATAACAGCAACCACTGCTTTTACATTATCAGGACTCCATTTCTGAAACCAATTAGCTCTTTCTGCTACATTGCATTCAAAAAATTCTACAAGGTTCGACTGCTGAACATTATCTATCCTTTCCTGAACAACTTGTTTCGTTCTTTCCACGTTTCTTCCACCAGCAGCCACTCGATAGTTTTGTTTTATCAGTTCACCAACAACTCTTCTTCCCAAACGACCCGACCCTCCAAAAACTACAACCGTTTCCCCAGAAGCTGAAATCCTTTGTTTACCTGTAAACAACTAAAAAGAAAAAATGTTATTTATATTCCGGAAAGAAGAAAACACTCATTACCAACAACTTGGGGAGAACACAACGTTGCAAGCTTACAAAAGAAGAAGAATACAGTATTCTTATCTTACTACGACATGGTTCATGAAGGACACGACCAGTTGTGCTAAAGTATCCTATAAAGGCGCTATTTGACGTCATCTTTACCAATCAATTCTCAATGGGAGCTCATCCATCATCTCTCATAGAATTGGAAATTATGTAACAAACTGCTTTCCATCCATTTATTAAGTTCCACTTTGAGCAATCAAGTATTCTATCTGTTTTATACATTCTTTTATCTTTTCAGAGCTTTGCATATATCGTTCCATGATATCCAATAGAGCGTATTTCTCCATAGCTTCCTGTAACAAGCTCGGATGAGAAACAAAGATTGTACCCAACGCTGTCCAAACAGCATAGATAGACGAAAAGTCTTGCACTTGTTTATGATGCAACAATTCAAGCCATTCCATTGCACAAGTCATCCATTGATTGGTTGACACAATAAAGTCTTCTCCTCCTTTGGATAACTGGATACCATAATTGTGTAATAATGCAGAATATGCTTCAATAGATTTTGCATGTGAAACATAAACGGATGGATGAAATAATGGACAAATGAGTTCCCATTGACTAGATCCAAAATAATAATGAAATAGAATATATGAGATTATTTCTAACATTCACTTACTCACAAGCCAACAATGCAACCAGACGTGTAGAGAACATATTACAAATCACACGACAAGCCAGAATAACAACTCCAATGGTGGCTTTCGAGGATAATAAATGTCGTCTTACTTTGTCTAAACCGAAATTTTCCTTTTTTAGAAAGAAATAACTCGATGCCGATGGACTCAATATCATCAATCGAACTTGCAAAAGGTTCAATGGTCTTTTGTCTGTCTTATCAATCCTACTTACATATGTCTAGAACAGGAATAATATTTTCTGTTGGCCAATCCAGTAATTTTTCCATCACTTGCAATTCTTCTTCTGAAAAGATACAATGAACAATCTGACTTTCTTTTTCCAATTGCTGAATCACTTTGTTTGAAACAAGGTTCCATTCTTCATCACTCAGGCGCATATCTTCGTTTACTTGATGATTAAATTCGTTCAACTTTTTACGCATATTTGCGAATTGATCCGAATGTCCAAAATAAATAAACTCATTCGAAGGAAAATGTTGTTGTTGGGCTGCTGTAGCTGACTGAGTATCATTATTCGACGATGGTCGATAACGATTTTCTGTAAATGGGTCTTTGATGGAAGCATTCTTATCTCGATTATCTCCCATAGGAATATATCGACTACTTCCGGTCAAAGGATCTCCTTCCATATCCATATTGCGTTGACGATAATCTGTATTTCTATCGATAAAATCGGCTACTTGGTCTATATATTCCAAAGGTAATTCTTCTTTCAATAAGAAACGTTGAGCAGCTGCCAAAGGATTCTCTCCTAAATCGTGTTTTCTGTATTAGACAACGTTCTTTTTCTCTTTTAAGATGTATTCGCACACCTTTACGATATCCCAGTTTACGTTTAGGTTGATCATCTCCAATATCCACGTCAAATATATAATCGTAATATTCACCATCCAAATAACCACTTTGACCACTATTTTCTTGTGGATTGTCAACTACATCTCCAAATTTGCTCCATTGTTGTTCACTCCAAATCAATACTTTCCAACTATTGTTTAGTATAAATACATAATGGTCCATTGGTTTATCTACCTTGCGCTTCATTTCCCTTTCTTACAACTTTCAATTCCCCTTCGCGAGTTCCTGGAGTATCTATCACTTGTTCATATAATGGCAACTTGTCCCAATCTACTCCTTGTACCATCGATGCACTCAACTAGTAAGACGGTTCATAATAATCTATAATGTGAAGATTGGGCTTACTTTCTTAGTACTGGCTTTGTCATGAAATGATTGCAGAACAGCATCGTCAGCTACACGTGATTGGTCACTTGTAAATATGCGACAGATACAATCCATACAGCACGTTACCAAGTCTTCTCTACCAGGCAAAGTTGTCAAAGCCCAAACAGTCTTTGGATGAGATAGGGTCTGAGCCACTCCTTGTTCAAAAGAAAATATGATTACGGAGCCATCTTCTCCTCCAGTAACAAAACAATCCAAAGCCGACAAATATGTCAAACTATACAAGAAATGATTGCTAAGGAATAAACGATGTTCTATTTCCCAATGTCGTTGTTCTATGCAATGAAATATATTCAGTCGATCGCTATTCACATCATTTCAACTTACCTAAAGCCTTCCAACAAATAGCATAACCATCATTGGAAACAGAAACAATCCTTTCAGAGTTGGGAACTTTGTAAAGACAACGAACTACATCTTGGTGTCCATACAATGTCTCTAAACATTCACCTCGTTCATTCCAAAGCTAAACATGAAAACAATTCCAAGTGAATGACTACAAACTTTTCATAATTCATACATACTTTAATAGTCTTATCTGCAGAAGCTGTTTGAAAGCAACCAAAAGATAAAATAATGGCACTCCAAACGGAAGCTTTATGACCACGTAAAGTGATAAGAGGAAATATACGAATAACAATATCTATTCATAATCAATCTTAATATATTTATGGACCATCACATCTCATTCTTACCATTTCCTTTTTCTTCTTCTTTCCAATTCCATACTATACTTGTGCAATCCCACGAACAAGAAATCATAAACTGAGTTGCTTCACCCACTTGTATATCACAAACTGTGTTGCTGTGTCCTTCACCTATTCCTACTTGAGAACCAGTCATAATATCTCTATATACAACAACATAATCAGAAACAAAAGCATCAATCGGTACCAAAACAATCACTTGCGTTGCTCGGATAGTTGCATCTCCACCACCAGAGAGGACCAAAGGAAAACGGCTTTGATCCGTATGAAGAGCTGCTAGACAACTAATGAAACCCTTGTGTACTTGAAACGAACTTTCCAACTTCCACTGCTTATCTTCTTCTACATATTTCCAAACTTTCAAGGTCTCATCTCTGGAACCTGTCACTAGCACTTGATCAGAAAGTGCTAAAACCTACAATATCCATTCAGTTCATGTACAGTTTATACAATGATAAGCGCGTTTGATAGTATTCACCACTCTTCTCAACTACTTACAGCTCTCACTTCCTTTTCATGTCCAACAAGTTCTGCGGATAGTTGAAAGTGAACTTTGTTGGTCATAACCAAAATTCTGAAATCATGAGTGTAGCAGCTCCTCTGTTGTTGGTTTCAGTTCCTTCACAAACTGGAACGGATACTTTTCAACAAATTCATAAAAAGGTATGGAGAGAACTTTTCCTCTCAGTATTTATAGGGTACTTAACTGTTAATCAGGTTACGATAGAACAACAACTTTGTTCCTGTTATCGATTTTCTCTACCAAAGTTGCGAGTTGGAAAGTTGGATACTTTGGTTGCACTTTCCGATTCCTTACAAAAGGTAAGTAGAAGTCGAGGAATTTCAGAAAAAAACTTTTTTGAAAAAACTAGGACGATATTGCAGTGGAAGCAACCCTATGGAGATTATTGCGTCAGTACAAGGAATGGAGTGACTCTAGTGTGTTTATTCCCAAAGTAGAAGGACAGAACTTGTTGGATGTAAGTTATCCTGTTTAGTTTGAAAACTGTTCTTATTTTGTTGAAGTATGTGGTTGGTTTTCGTTGGTCGGAAGAAAAGTTTGCCTCTTCAGAATCACTTACGAACATTGTACAGACTATCTTGGAACAAGTACATAGTTTTGAAGAGGAGTTGAAGAAAAGAACGACAGATTATGCACAACGCAAACAAGTAAGTATATCGCGCATATTGCAAAATGAGTGATGCTATGAGAGGTCAGATAACAAGTGCTGAAGAACGAAAGACTTGGGGTTCTTTGATGGTCAGGTCTTTAGAAGGCTTAGTTGATCCTCAAAAGTGTATCGAAACAGAACACCTTACTAGTGTCTTTTTCGTTGTTCCGAAATGTAAGTAAGATGGAGAACGCTGCTATCTAATATCTTCTTTGTGTTGAACTATTTGTGGTTGGATTAGATAATGAAAAGGATTTTCTGGCTTCTTATGAGAAACTTGCGTCATTGATTGTTCCAAGAAGTGCTCAACGTTGGTCTCAAGATAATGATTGGGTGTTGTATTCTATTACTATCTTTCGTTCTTGTATAGAAGAAGTAAGTTGTTGATATGTAACATAGACAAATCTTTTTCCTATTATTGTTTGTCTAGTTGAAAAAGAATGCTCGAGAGAAACGTTATACTATAAGAGAATATTCACCCAAGAGTTCTTTGACTAGAATCCATTCTGATCATTCAGTAGTGAGTTGAAAAATGTTGTTTCAGACAATTATTTATTATTTGCTTCATGAAAAAGGAAGAGTCGTTGGAGTCTTTAAGATTGCGCTGTTTGGAATGGATAACGACTGCCTTTTCAGAAACAGCCATTGCTTGGACACATTTAAAAGCTATTCGATTATTTGTGGAATCCGTTCTTCGATTTGGTTTGCCAGTAATGTTATTCTTTTGGGAACTGAATCATCCGTATTTATCAATTTTTATTAGGTCAATGTGGAAACCATGTTATTATTACCTTATCCCAAGACACAAAGCAAACTACTAAAGACTTTGGATAAAATAACCTCTCCATGGATATCTGGCAATCCTGAATATTTGCATCATCAAAAGGTATTTCATCATATTTTGTGTTTGCAACTTATTGATGGAGTCCTTCCTATGATGTGGAAATGGTAGTCTTCGTCTACTACTAGTGATGATCGTTATGCTTCGTTATTAGGAATATCCATTCAAGAAGAACTTCATCCTTTTGTATTATTGGAATGGAATATAATAGGAAAAGAAACTTGAAACATTTATGACATTTGTTTTGCCAATTCGTTCATATAAGCTATAATAACTTTGATTCCTTCAATGTAATTGAGTCTAGTAACCAAACCAATTTTAGATAAACATAATATATATATATATATATTTGAAATAAGATTCTACTTAACTTGTTCATCTTTTCATTTTGACTATGAGCTCCATCATCTGGAGAACCTAAGGGAATCAAACAAATCTCTCCTCCCAAATACTCTTGAAAGGTATTCGTTATAGGAATAGAACCACCTTCTCTGGTCAAATCTGGTTCCACTTGATAAACTTTCTTGAATGCTAAACGAGCTGCTGTAAAGTTGCTATTGTGATAATCTGCCAACCAGGGAGATGCACCTCTCCATTCCACTTGCAATTCATTTCCTGAATGAAACTGAGCAAACTGTTGCTTTAGAAAATTTTCCACATGATGGGCAATTTCTTGCGGTTGTTGATGAGGAACCAGACGAATGGAAAACCTAAAACAAGAATATCTATCCATTCATATCTCATATGAAAACAGGATTTCTTACTTTCCAGTTACTGCACAAGGAATTACAGTCTTTTCTCCTTGTCCTGAAAAGTCACCCTTGGAAAAGAATGGAGATAGGAAACATTTGCAATACTATATAAGATCTACACTTACTTGAATGCCATGAATAGAAAGACTTGGAAACCTCCAACGGTTCATCAATAGTTTTACTTTATCGGACTCCTATTCATAAATATAAAAGTGGAACGACTTGGGTTACATGATACTTCTTACTCTTAGTTGGGATACTTGTCCAGCTTCTTTTCTCAGTTGTTCGGGGTCAAATAGAATTCGTTCATAAATGGACTCTTCTTCTTTCGTAACTGGTGCAACACTATCCATGACTAGAGCAATGATTCAATTCCTAAAGACAAACCAAATGTCCCATTCCAATCACCTTTTGGTATAAGAATATTTCCTTGGTTATCAGTCAAAGTACCTAACAAATGAGTCAAGTCATTCATAGGTTCATGAACCAAACCACCAAATAAGCCAGAATGGAGGTCCATTTGAGGACCTCGAACATGAACTTGGAAATAGACTATTCCTCTCAAACCATATGTTAGACAAGGTCGATGTTCTGTTAACCTAATGCATTCTCTTCTCATCGATAAACTCCAATATTTCATTTCACTTACCAATAATTGTCCGTAATACAAACATATTTCACATGGTAGAGTATTCCTTTGGATTCTTCTTCAATCACCTTATCCAATCCAAACGAACCACTTTCTTCCATTCCTTCAAAACACAACTAATAACATTACATTAACCGATTCTATGCACGCAACTTTCATTTATCATCATATCTGCTTACCAATAAATTGACTGGAAGTGGTATACCAAGTTGTCTATGAGCTTCTATGGCCCATAACCAATCCAAAAGAGGTCCTTTCCACTTCTTTCAGTCTTTCCAACAATCATTCACCATTCTGCTCTTACCCTTATCATCGGTTGCTCCTCTTCCATATAATTTACCTTGTTCTTCTACCAATTCAAAAGGATTGAATCTCCAACCATCTTGTATATCTGCAGGTTGTACGTCATAGTGACAATATGCCAAGACTACGGGTCTTTGTTGGTCTACACAAAAGTCTCCAAAAATGATGGGAGGATAGTCTAAAACTTGTCCATCTGCAAACTTTTGTTTTCCTACGTGCTTTATGATTGATTTTCCTCCCAATCGTTCGATCCAATTACAAATATAGTGAGCCATATCCACACATCGAGAACGTTTACAAGGATCCGAACTAACAGAATCCAAAGCAACTGCTTCTCTCAAACGATGTATGTATTCTTCCGAGTGTTGGTTGACATAACTAAGTCTTGTTTGTATACAATATATAAAGAAAGTAAGGTGAATAACTTACTTAAACAACAGCTCCATGAAAGACGGCTGTTGGTTTATGTAATTCGCTTAGACAATTTATATGATGTGGATTGGCATTCCTTGTCATGAACTTGTCGTTCTTTAGTCAAAATGGTTATCAAGTCATACCTCATTTTATAAAGAATGAGACTTGTTCTCAGTTGATTACACGAGCACTACAATGGGTATATATACTATCCAGTTATGTGTCTTCTTATATCAAAACTAGGTGAAAAGTTTGCCTGTGGACCAAGTATCCATCTTTTCAACGGAAAACCAAACTGCAGATTCCTATTTCCTTGAAAGTGGTCGAAGTATTCGTTTGTTTTTTGAGGAAGAAGCTGCAAAGAATCCCGAGTGTCTACAAGTAGACAAGGTACAAGGATGTCAAGTAATCCTAAAGACATCTATACCCATATCTGTTTGTTTAGGAACGAATGGTTAACAAAATAGGCCACGCACTACATGATTTGGATCCAGTCTTTCGTTCATTTTCACGTTCCAACTCCATCAAGTCATTAGCTTTGCAGTTAGGCTTTCAAATCCCAGTACCTGTACAGTCCATGGTCATCTTGAAACAACCTTGGGTAGGTGGAGAAGTGCGACCCCATCAAGACTCATCTTTTCTTTATACCCAACCACCTTCTTGTATTGGTCTTTGGTGGGCGTTACAAGATGCCACTGTAGATAATGGTTGTTTATGGGTGTTGGAAGGTTCTCATAAGTGCGCCATTCATAAAAGGATGCGCCGAACACCGGATGGAAAGAGTATTTATTTCTATGAGGAGAATCCCAAGGACTGTGACTATACAGTTTTAGATAACTATAAACCTATAGAGTGTGAAGCGGGTTCACTCATCTTATTACACGGAGGTTGGTACCTTGTCTTTAAATATAGTGTCACTAGGGTGACTGAATATCCAATAGCTTTATGGCACTTTAGTTGTAAGAATAAGAGTAGTCAAAGTCGCCATGCATATTCTTTGCATCTTTTAGAAGGAAAAGATAGTGTTTGGTCTCCTGATAACTGGTTACAGCCTAGTCATTTACCTTTTGAACCTTTATAAAGGAGGACTTGAGAGAAATGCCATGGAATGCTTTTGTCCCATCCAAAGCAGCTTCGACGTCGTCTTGCGGAAAAATAGTGATTATTGATTGATTGGTTATATTTGTTCACTTCATAATATTTTTGTTTCCATGAGATACCTACACTCTTCTGAATATGTAAAAGTACCACAAGGGGTATCTGTGGAGGTAAGCTCTAGATATATTCGAGTCAAAGGTCCACGAGGTGTTTTAGTAAAGGACCTTACTCACGTGAATATGGAAGTGAGTTGACTTTTTTGAAAAAAAAGTCCTTGGAGGACTGATCGCTTTTTCTGTTAGATGGTGAAAGAAAATTCAGGGAAAAGGATCCGTGTAACGGTTTGGCACGGTTCACGAAAAGATTTGGCTTGTCTTAACACAGTTTGCACCCATATCAAGAACATGATTACGGGAGTAACTAAAGGCTACCGATATAAAATGCGATTGGTATATGCCCACTTTCCCATCAACGTAACAGTGTCAGACAACGGTGATTATTTGGAAATTCGCAACTTTTTGGGCGAAAAAAGAACGCGCAGAGTCAATATGTTACCTGGAGTTGTGTGCAGTCGTTCTGAAAGTGTGAAAGATGAGATCATATTGATAGGGAACGATATTGAACAAGTTGCTCAATCAGGTAATTCATGCGCGCTCTTTTTATAAGAAAGAGGTCAAAGAATACTCACTATGTTTAGCTGCGAATATTCATCAATCCTGCTTGGTGAAGGAAAAGGATATTAGAAAGTTCCTTGACGGAATTTATGTTTCTGAAAAGGGTCCGATTCCGGAATATGATTAAACAAATTTTATATTTCTTTTCAAAGCCAATGGTAGTTTAGATTACCCTTGTACGCTATTACTGTCCAACTTCACTCATTATTTGTTGCTCAACACGCACCAAAAATGAGTACATCAGCAAGGCATATGGACTTTTACAAGAGAGTGTCGTTACAAGTTGTCTCCATTTCCATAGTGCACGACTTTTCTTTCTAGAGCGGTTGAATCAAACCGATTCATCGTGATGGGAAAAAAGGAATGGTAAAAGTGAATCGTCATTTGAAGGATGAATCGACACTCGTTGACCAATCAGCGTTGCATTTTCATGGTGAATGATTTGCCCAATCAACGAAGCGACATCCATTTTAGGCTTCTTACAAAGCCAGTCCTCAAAAGGAAACTTTTTGTGCAGATCCTCCATGTGGCAAATAAAGAAAGGATCAGTCCAAGTACCACAGGAAATTGTGGTAAAGGCGCGTTTGACAACTCAATCGACAAATCCTCTTCCAGCGTACTATAAATAGGGAAACTATTTTTCTAGACATTTTTCACATTGCTGATTTCTTGTGCTTCGTGCTGGTGTACCCATCTCACAGCTATTTTCATGGTTTCTATACATAAAGTGTTTTTAAGCTGTCTACTTGTAGGCTTTGCCATCGTCAGCGCAGTGGTGGCACAGGAATGGCGCCAGGAATCCTTAGACTCTGTGAATAGAGGTGGCTATCAGACAACTACTTCGACTTATTCAGCTACCACATCACCTTCATATACAGAGGTCTCTATTCCGATCTATTCTGCAGCACCAACAAGTTATCCTCCCAAATGCGTTTACGTAAGTATCTTCTCCTATATTCTCCATCGCCAGATTTCTAAACTGATTCGTCTAGTATCAAAAACTCAAAGAGTGTTGCACTTATACTTATGTGGTTGCGCAAAAGTGTCAGATTTATCAGTATGAAGTTCAGGAGTCTATCAGCTATTCCTGTCCTCAATACACCACAGTACAGTCAGTGTTGCCGTATTCTTGCCCCAAGGTGTATACAACTACAACAAGCAAAGCATATCCTTGCCCAACTTATTACAGCGTGACTGAATATACTTCCTATCCTTGTCCTCAATATTATACTGTCCAGTCACCTGTATATTATCCATGCCCAACGGAGATTTCTGTACAGGCAACGATTCAATATCCCTGTCCTACTTATTATTCAGTTCAGGTGGCGACATACTATAGCTGTCCTCAATATTATACTGTTCAGTCTGCTGTCTACTATCCTTGTCCCACATACTATACCCAGCAGTACGAGACCAAGTATCCTTGCCCAACAACCTCTTATATCTCTATTACCTCTCAATACAGCTGCCCAACCTATTATTCGGTTTCCGAAACTACCTATTATCCGTGTCCCACAACTTCGGTGACTTATTCTCAAATGAAATATGCTTGCCCAACGACCTATACCATTTATCAGACTCAATCTTACAGCTGTCCTACCTATTATTCTACTCAGGTCGCTACGTATACTTCATGTGCAACTTATACATATTCGTATGTACAGTATCCATGTGAATATGGTAAGTAATATGGAAATATCCTTTTATTACTCGTGACTAATGTGTTGGGATAGCATATGAGACACCTAGTCCATCGGTATCTGCTTATTCTCGTGAAGAGGTACAACGCGGAGGTTATGGCGAGTATCAATCTCAAGAGTCATCCAGTTATTATGTAACCAAGTATTGTCAGAAAGCAGTTCAACAAGTAACATATACCTCATGTTCTACCTATTACCCTTCACAAACCGTAGAACAGAAGACTTGCTATAAGACAGTAGCAGTTCCTACTGAATATCAACAATATTGTTATACACAAGTGGCACAGGAACAAGTTGTAGAACAAAGTTGTCCAACTTATTACTCTGTCCAAAAGGTGAAATATCAGACCTGCTCTACCTACATAACTCAGCCGACTATTGTACCGAAGTACTGCAGTATGTCGGTTTCCGAAGAATATGTACAGCAACAACAATGTGTAAAGTATGTAGCTCAGCAAGTTATTCAACCCAAGCAATGTGTCAAGTATTATACCGAACAGAAGATTCAACAAAAGTATTGTTCTCGCTATGTGACAGAGGAAGAAGTACAAAGCAAGCAATGTATTAAATATGTGTCTCTACAGAAGATCAAGTATGAGTCATGTTCCGCTCAATATGAAGTTCAAAAGATCAAGCAACAGCAATGTACTATGCAGGTATCTGAACAATATATCCAACCAGATACTTGTTACAAATATGTTCCTGAGCAACAGATCGTTCCTCAGACCTGCTACAAGTACTATTCCGTTCCTAAGTTTATTGAAAAGTGTTACCCTGAGTATGCGACAACAGAGAAGTGTGTAGAATATGAATACGTTCCATATGCCACTTCTACTCCTTATCCGTCGGTATCACCAAGTTATTCTCCCTCTGCCTACCAAACATCATCTGCTTACCAAACATCCTCTGCCTATTAGACAGACAGGTGAAGAAGGTTGATAGGTTATTATGAATGTGTTTCATGTTCAAAGAAACGTGAGACATCAAAGTTGAAGTAAAATATTTGGTTCTCCAAAAGAAAAAAAAATTGTCAAGTAGCATATCCATGCAACGAAAACCATCCATTTCTTGATTGCCTTTGATCACACACAAAATTTGCTCTTAAGAGATTTGTTGATTCGTCGACCTGAAGCCATTTATTTCAGTACAACGATTAACAATCATGGTACTTGGAAAGAGTTGGACAGGTCTTGTGCAAGAATGACAAAGAAAAAGAAAGTAGGCAAGTATGAAACAGCATATCAACTGTGTTGAATTTCACGTCTGTTCTATCTATTCAATAGAGAAGAGACAAGCAACTTCAGACGACTCGAGCTCTCTGCGTTCTGAAGAGACAAGCAGCTCGTTGTCAGCACAAGTGGAAAAGTTGATTATAGACGAGAATATGAAAGACCTCATTCGCGAAGAAGATGATTTCCCGGATAACCTGGTATCTGGATTTGCAATAGCAGTAGAACGGTTAAACGATAAGAGGTATTTCAGTTGTTTGGTGTTTTTTTGGAGAAAGTAGTCAAGTGATTGTTTCAGGTCGTGGATGAGATTGAAAGCCTTAAGTTATACCTATGAAGCTCTTCGCAATGATTATCGACCAGAATTATTGGAAAAGACGTAAGTTAGTTCTCTCAATTATGGAAAGAGGCTTTGGTTTATTCATAGGGTTAGTGTGGAGACGCTTGTATATACACTGTTAAAGGGACCTTTTCATCGAACTATACAAGAAGAAAGAAGGTTGAGTTGTCTTCTGTTAGCTAGCGTTGTGTTAACTTTGGGAGAATCGAGCTCAAGCGAATACGTTTGGGAACACTGTGGACCTTTATTGAAGACCATGGTAAAAAGAGGTGTGAAGGGTAGTTTAGAAGCAATAGCTTGTGTAGGAATGGTGGGTTCCACTGATTTAGAAGATATATGGTTGTTGATGGGAGATATTTCTGGATATTTCTTGTCCTCAGATATTGAGTTGGCTGCAGAAGCTTTACGAAGTTGGACTTTATTAGCCTCCAGTTTGCCGATTACGGACTTGTATCATTTACTTTGTGGTACGAATTCTCCACTCACTATATTTCAGCGACTTTTTTCCATGTCATTCATTGCAATAGATGAACGAAACTTAGCTAGTGCACAAGCAATGGCGCTTATTTTAGAACTTTTGCAAGAGTCCTTCTCAGACGCTTCATCATCATCATCATCATCATCATGAAGAAGAGGATGTAGATATCGACAAGGAGCTGGACTTTCAACATATAGAAGAGTGGCCAAATGCATCTGTTGGTGCTGAAAATGGAACTTCTGTAAGACTACATCAAAATCGTACATATCGTGTTTCAGAAATTTTGCAACAGCTGTATCGTTTTCGTTGCCAAAGTGCAGATGCTTTATTCGAAGAGAATAAACGAACTCCCAAGAAACAAAGAAGCTTGCGCAAGTCCATTGTCCGAGCGCTGGAAGATCAAGTGGATAGCGAGCATTATCAATTGGCAAATGGTGAAGAAATACTATTTGATACTTGGTTGGATAAACTGCGTATTCAAAGTTTTCGTGTAATATTTGGAAGTGGATGGAAGAAACATTTGGAATTGAATGTCTTTGTGAGACAAGTTTTGTCACTAGGAATGCCAGTAGCACCAGTACCAGATAGTGAGTTGCGTCTTACAAAAGAAGAAAAACGATTGTTTCGCAGTCCAAATTCGATTTTGGAAAAAAAACGAACATTACAAAGACAAGGAAGGAGAACACGTCGAATTCGTGAACGTGAAATTGTATAAAAATAAACTTTCAAGGACTTGCCGCACCTTCATGGTAGAGGGTTGGTTCCAAATCAAGGAAAAGGGAGGCCATTCTTTGTACTTTTGAATTGGTAGAGACCGCCATTGATTGTGTTGGTTATTCTATGGAGTCTTTCAAGGAAAACATTTCTATCTCTGTACAGAGTCCAGTACTTAAAGACTATAATAAGCAAGAAACAGGAAATATTATCAAGACGGACTCATCGGAAACTAAAGATTCATATGCCGTGAAAGAGTTATACCAGACAGCTTCAAAGAGTCAAGTCCCTTTTGTATTTTGTTCTGGCTCCTCCGAACGCTATACTTTGTTCCCTATTCGTCATCCGGAAATATGGAAGATGTACAAGAAACATGAGGTTTGTTCAAAAATCAAAATACCCTCTGCATTGCATATCACTCTTTTCTAGGCTTCTTTTTGGACTGCTGAAGAAATAGATTTATCGAGTGACTTGGAAGATTGGAAGAAATTGAATGCAGATGAGCGCCATTTCATTTCTCACGTATTGGCTTTCTTTGCATCTTCCGACGGAATTGTTTTGGAGAACCTTGCAGAAAGATTTTGTCGTGATGTCCAGATTCCAGAAGCACGATGTTTTTATGGATTTCAAATAGCAATGGAAAATATTCATTCGGAAACTTATTCTCTTCTTATCGATACTTATATTCGAGATGCTCAAGAAAAGGCTCGTTTATTTGAAGCAATGGAACGTATTCCTTGTATTGAGAAAAAGGCTCAGTGGGCTTTAAGATGGATCCAATCCTCTGCCTCTTTTGCTGAGCGTTTAGTGGCATTTGCTGCTGTAGAGGGAATATTTTTTTCTGGTTCTTTTTGTTCCATATTTTGGTTGAAAAAGAGAGGACTTATGCCAGGATTGACCTTCTCTAATGAGCTTATTTCACGTGATGAAGGTTTGCATTGTGACTTTGCATGTTTACTATATTCCTTGCTGCCTGAGAAGCTACCTCGTGAGACTATTGAAGCTGTAAGTTGTTGAGTGAAATATCGTACTTATTGACCTTTTATATTTGTAGATTATCGTCGATGCAGTATCTTGTGAAAAAGAGTTTATTTGTGAGTCATTACCGGTAGCATTGATAGGAATGAATAGTGATATGATGAGTCAGTATATTGAGTTTGTTGCGGATCGTTTGTTGGTTGCTTTGGGATATGAGAAATATTTCCAGTCTCGAAATCCGTTTGATTGGATGGAACTCATTTCTTTGGAAGGAAAGACCAACTTTTTTGAGAAGCGAGTGGGAGAATATCAAAAGGCTGGTGTAGTGAACGATAGTGGAGAAGCGCAAGAGTTTCGTTTGGATGCAGATTTTTGAAATGATACTTTTTGGCACATCAGTCATCCTTTTTTTTGTAGAGAAATAAAGAGTCGAAATGTATATCTTTATGAAATGGATGACAACGCAATGTTATGTTTGTATACCTTTGTTGGTTATTTTCTTGTGTGGGAAAGTTTGTACAATTTTCGTTGGCGCCCAATTCGAGTAATCGATTTCAAACACATATGAATGTAAGTTCTTGTGATGGCTTTGCTACTTCAGTGCACCAGTTGGAGAACTTTTTAAGTGACTGGACAAGATATATTGAAGAACTCTCATTAAAAGATGGCCCGAATAGCGACAATCAGTTATGCTTGAAACAAGAAAACGACTCTCTCAAGGTATGCTAGGAGTTGCTGCTTATCTCTTTCCTATTAAAGTGAAATGCGATAGGAAAAGTTGGCAAGCTTGCAAAGGTCTCTCGATTTCCAAAAAGAGGAGTTTGCGAGTCTTTTGGATTACAGCGAAAAGTTGGAACGACTGGTAGAACAAAAGGGAGCAGTGTTGCCAAACCTATCATCTTGTAGTGTACCAATGGAGTCCATTCCAAGCGCTCATAGGCCACTTCTTCAACATAAAGGTATGCTCCAGTCGTGGAAGGAAGAATTAAAAGCATTGAGAAATGACTTTGCAACATCACTTCAAAATATGCACGTTTATTTGTATCATCAACTTTGCAGTTTGACAGACACATTCCATGTCCAACATAGAGAGTGGACCAAATGCAGACAAGAAAATTGTCGACTGCGTCGTTATATTCAAGAATGGAAGGGAAACCTTCGTGTAGTTGCTCGTGTAAGTATTGCATAAATAGTTGCATGGGTTCATGTGATTTCTGATACTTGTGGATGTATCAGATTCGTCCATCACTGACAGGAAAAGATTGTACTCCGTTGCTTGGTTTTGTAGGAGATGATATGATTACATGTCAACCTTTCCATTCGAATCCTTTGTCATTCACTTTTGATCAGATCTTTCCTCCTCATCTGCCACAGGACTTTTTATATGAAGAATTGCAGCCTATAGTTGGCAGCATTTTGGATGGCTTCCATAGTTGTATTATGGCTTATGGACCCACTGGCTCTGGGAAGACTTTTACCGTTTTTGGGTCAGATGGGAAAAGTGGAGTTGTGGAATTAGCTATTCGAACAATATTTACACAAATACAGGAGAATAATAACTTGGCCCTAGTTCCAACTATCAGCATGTTGGAAATATACAACGAAACTGTGCGTGACTTGCTAAGTGATGATCCACTGGCCAGTTTGGACGTTCGTGAAGATACTGTAACTGGAGATGTATTTGCAAAAGGTGCGATCGAAATGGAAATGAACCATTATTCTGATGCTTTGAGAATTGTTCAGTCTGGCCTTGATTTTCGTAGTACTAGTGAAACTCTGTTGAATATTTCCAGTTCTCGAAGTCATTTGTTATGTGTATTGAAATTGCGTGGAGGCCCTGAAAATACAGGAACCTTGTACATTGCTGACTTGGCAGGAAGTGAACGAGTCACACATTCTCATGTTCAGGGTGAACGATTGGATGAAACCAAACACATCAATCGTTCATTGTCATGTTTAGCTGATGTATTTTCAGCTTTACGAAGTCAACAAGCACACATTCCTTATCGTAATTCTCGTTTGACGTTTTTGTTGCGACCTGCACTTTCCAAAAGTGGAAAAGCAATGCTCATCATTCATGTCAGGTATGTTGTGGATTTTAATAATTTGTGGCCATTTTCATGAATAATCGACATGTGAATGAACTTTAGTCCGGAAGAAGAAGAGCTTTCTGAAACTATTCAAACTTTGCGTTTCGGACAACGGGCAAGAGATATCGAACTAAGACCGTCGAAAGGACAAGGTAATTCAACTCGGCCTAATATTACATTTATCGACTCTTACGATTTGTCTCTAAGACTCTACTACTATTTTCCTAAGGCGTCAAATCAGTCTCTTACGTCAACAACTGGCTGATGAAAGAAAGAGGTCAAAGTAACCCCAAATATCTACTGTTGTTCTTCCTTTCTACCTTGTTTCTTATGAATCATTTCACTACCGATGGTAGTTGCATATCCTTCTGTCTTCTCTTCAAGCTTACGTTGATAAAAAGCAGTCTCTTCGTCCCTTATGAGGAGACCCACAATCACTGCTAACGAAATGTAGAAAATCCTCTGTTTCCTATCCGTTTTCTTGAGAGTTTATATTCACACAACTCTAATAGCCTACTTACGTCGACCATCGTTTTGGGAACATATTTTCCGGGAGTTTGTCCATTTTCTCATATCTACGTATTCTTCTTCCTCTTTCCTTTTTCAGTGCTTCTCCTTCGTCCATTTCTCACAACCGTCCAATTTCACTCAGCTTATGCCCCCAAAATGGCATTTCCCTTTTGACATTTACTTATGACCGGTTAATAAAATAAATTCTCGTGAAGAATGTCCAAATCGCAACAAGTCTTTTTCCAACAATTCATAATATCGCAAAGACTCGATTCGTTCATTATTCAAAAAAGTGCCATTCGTACTTTCCAAGTCCATGATATAAGGTTTGATTACCAACTGGCGGCCACAACATTCTGTTTACTACGAATATCAGAAAAAACATTCCTTTCATGCTTACTTTGTTTCCATTTTTGGGCATCACTTGACGGAATTGCAACACAGCGTGTTGTTTTGAAGCAGATGGATGGTCAATAGGAATATCAACCACATCTCTATCTCGACCAAATAAGTAATTACTCTACGCTATTCTCACAACTCTATAAAAGTTATCCTAGTTTTTATCTCACCTTTTGATGAATATAAAAGACACCTTCTTCTCCTTCTAGAAGTTTGCCATTTTTGAAAACATACATTCGCCAAGGTTGTTCAGGCTTTCTAGCATCCAAAGGCTCCACAAACTTTAACTCTTTTCCATATCGTGTCATTCTTTGTTCCTTATAAAGAGCACCAGAAGGCATAAAGTTGGGAGTCTCTTTTGATACAACACTGTCATTCTTCACCCAAAAAATATGAGAAATCCTCATCGTCAGCCAGTACTCAAAAGACATTCATTCCACTCACTTGTTTTTGTACTTGTTGTCCACCCCATTCATACACTTGTGAAGAAGCCAGTGGATGAGTGGGTCTCTGTGTCAGCTCTTCATGTCCCACTTTTCTATGTTCCGAGCCATCGTCTGCCCATTCTACTTTGATAATGCGGCCATCTAAACGACTACCGGATAACGTTGTTGCTGCAAGTGCTTCTTCTCTACTTGAAAAGTATACAAATGCAAAACCTCTATTCTTTTCGACGTCAACGGCAATGTATTCCAACCAACCAAAAATAACTTACCCGTTCTGGTTGTTCTCTTTTTCTTGGAACTTCAACATCAACAACAGTTCCTAGTTTTCGTTAGTCACACACATCGAGAAATGAACAAACTGCCAATACCATAACTATGGAAAACACTGCGCACGGCATCTTCCAACCATGAAAATGGCAAGTTACCAACAAAAACTCGGTATTCGTCAGATTTTTTGTGTTTTTGTTTTACTTGTTGCATTTCGTAGTGACTTTGTGACTTTTATCATTCATAAGAAAAATTGACTTCTCCGAAATACAATTACCGGACGAGACTCTTCATCATGGCACCTCATTCTAAAAGTAAACGTATGACTCTGCGTAAAAAATATAAAATACAAAGAAAAGTAAGAGAACATAAGAGAAAGATGAGAAAACAACAAAAGAAACAGTCTCGAACCAAAAAGCATGAAAAAGAACTTCGTAAGCTGCACTATCCTTCAAGATTAATGTTAAAGCGTAGATGGTTAGGTATTCCCAACGCTTTTCCTTACAAAGAACAAATTCTGGAAGAGTACGCTAAACAAGAACAGACATTGAAACGAATACGCTTGGCCAATGTAGTTGCTGTAAGGACTTTCTGGTGATCAAGTACTGACTGTAGTTTGGAATAGAAATTAAAGGCAACGGCGGTTACTCAGGAAGACAACAGTCAAGATAGGGAGGAACAAATAACCACGCAATCATCTCTTGAAGATACCCAAGTAGAAGCCCAAGGTATGGTTTAGAAGTTGTTCCGTTGGTTTGGTCAGCCATAACTATGAGTGGCTAGTAAAAGGAAATATTCGAAGACATGTGAAAGATTTCAAGCAGTTGGTAAACCAGTGCGATATTATTTTACAAGTTATTGACGCACGTGATCCACTTGGAACTCGAAGTATGAAAGCAGAACAATATATTATGTCGAATTTTGGAGGAAGTAAAGTAAGACAATGAATATCTATCGCAAATAGTAGCTAGAACATTGACTTTTATTCTTTAGAGAATCGTTTTAGTGCTTAACAAAGTGGATATGATTCCTAATTCCATTGCAACTCAATGGATAGAATACTTATCAACATTCCATCCTACCGTACCATTTTGTGCAGCACATGAAAAAGTATCTAAAATCTTTCATAATGAAATGCAACACAGTTATCTGAATTTTCTCGTATTATTAGATAAGAAAAAAGTATACTCCACATACGGAAAGTTTGATGCGGCTATTGAAAGGATTCTTATCGGACAAACATCATCATCATTCTTCTTCTTTAGTAATGGTAAGTCTTGTCATATGAAATGAAGAAATATATTTTACACAAATACATTAGGTGGGAGTCGTCGGTTATCCCAATGTTGGAAAGAGTTCTCTGATCAACTGTTTGCATCGTTCTCAAGTAGTAGAAACGGGTCCGAATCCAGGTAAATATATATAAATATAAATATGTATATATATTGGTTGATAAAGTTTGCAATCTCAATCATAATAGGTGTTACCAAACATAATCAGGAGATTGTGATCGATCAACATATTCGATTTATGGACTGTCCAGGAATTGTATTTATGTCTCATGAGGAAGACCATCATTTATCGTTGGTTATTCGAAATTTTGTATCCACTCAAAATGTAGAGGTCGGTGATATAACAAGGTGCCAATTCATATGCATTCAACTCACAATGGATATATATATATATATATATATGAATGGATAGGATCCCTTCCCTTTTATTGATGCTATTATAGACAAAGTAGGAGTTGAAAAACTAACCACACAATATAATATTCCTATTTTTTCCACTCGTGATGAGTTTCTTGCATTGATTGCTAAGAAAAGAGGCAAGTTACAAAAAGGCGGTGCTTTAGATTTGCAAGCAGCAGCACATTCCATATTAATCGATTGGTCACGTGGAAAGATTCCTTATTATACGTCACCTCCTAAAGATAGTTCTGCTCAGGTACAATTCTGTTTATCAGCATGACAAAGTATTGAGAATGTATTAGGTTTCTGCTTGTGTTGTCGAGACATATGATCCTCCTATTTCAACCGCTTGATAAAGAAACATTTGTAAGAACGTCAACAACTAAATAATAGGGCAATTCGTAAGCCGCTGAATTTGTCAATAGTCGTAGAAGGGATGATAGTTCTCTTGTCATTTCTTTGCAATGAAAAGCCTTTTGTAGAGTTTTATTCAACCCCTCTGGATATTTTCATCTTCGCCATTTACTATTCTGTTAGTGGAATAAACAAGTTGCGAGTCATTGACGCTGTTTTATACAACCAGTCCATATATAGAACGATTTCCTATCGACAGATAACTTACAAAATATTTCCCATAAAATCTTATCATTGATTACCAAGTCTGGGTGCGTTGTAGTTGACTCTGATGAGAAAGTATTTAGATGCATATGTGAGAGAGTTTCAGAAGGTGCAAATGAAATTCTCTCGAAAATCAAAATCGCATAGAAAATGTAAACGACACGTGCCGACGAAAATTCTTTTCCCCCAAAAAATTGCGCGAAATCTCAATTCACAGAAATGGAAGCGATTCCTGTAAGATGACCACTGCAAGTCCTACCAACCCTAACAAGGTATCTTTGTGTACGGCGGAAAGTACAACAGGAAAGAGAGCTTCAAAAACAGGATTTGGAGAAGGTCATTTTTGCTGTACCGAGGACGAAAAGTCCCCCAAAAAGCTGAAACAAGTGAGTCGAATGGCTTGTTGGGGATTCCTTTGACATGATTGTGAAATAGGACAACCAACAAGCAGAAAACGAAAACTTTGGAAATTTAAAACATATCTTGGATATTGGTGAACCATTGTTGGAACTGTTTTGTCTTCATGAAGCCTTTAGGAAGGAACTGGAACGTTTGAAAGATCAGGTCCGCCAAATCACTATTGCCACCACGGACCAAGTAAGCGAAGATGTCAAATTTACTGAAAAACATCCTAACGTAACTTAGGAACTCGATAAATTGCGTAGTAGGCTAACTTTTTGCCGAGATTTGCTTTTAGACCACTGCTGTTCAGAGGACAGAATAATTCTTCCAGCTCTTTGTAAGAAACTGTCCAAAGAGAAGTCTGAAGAGCAAAGATATTTATTGGGAACTGAATTGGTCAATCAACAGCATGAACAACTGGATGACTGGTTTTCTGAGACGATACAAGTCATCGAACAAATATTGAACACACCTTTTTCTTTGGAGCATCGACCCTTAGCAGAAAATGACCTGCAGAAATCGTCCAATTCGACACCTTTAGAAACTGACTCGAATTTGTCTCCCCGAAAGGGCAAAGTAACTTCAATATCAGCTTTCGAGTCCCCTCGTGGGCCCTTGCTAGAGAAGCTCAGTTCTAGCTTTTGCATTCTCGTCGAAAATGTAGAGAAACATCTTTTAGAAGAAGAACAAAATCTATCGCCTCTTTTTCGTAACATTTTGACGACTGCCGAACAAGGAGCCTTGCTTGCTTCGGTTGTGATGGATACAAGTCCAAAAGCTCTTTCGACACTTCTTCCTTGTGCAGTTCGAGCATTAGACTTTGAAAAACGTATCCGATTTGTCGTTGCATTGGAACGGTACGTATTTTCAATTTTTTTGATAGGCTTTATATATTTTGTAGTTATATGACTCCGGAGCAGTTTGAGTCGGTAGCCGCTCCCTTAGTTCAGGAGCTTTCCGGTGAGCAATGGGAAGAGTTGTGTCGTAATGTCCCAAGTCTTCAAGTGGCTGCTGAACGCTCTATTAATCCTCTGGTTGAAATAACTCATTTACATAAAGCGATTAGAAAGGAGTTGGAAGTAAGTGTTTTATTTTTATCAAGCATCTGTAGACATTTGTTAAGCATGACTGTGCAGGCAATGGCATCTTATAGTGCAGAGCTCGATCCTTGCGATAATCTTCAGATAAAAAGTTTGTGTTCGCGTATCTTGTTTTTGCAACGCGTACATAACTTCCATTCACTTGGAGAAGATGAAGTTCTCGTATCTCAGTTGAGGGCTGTATTACGAATGCATGGCTTGGATGAAATTTCTAGCGAACACTGTAACGAATCCTTTCTGTTTGGCAATATCTTGGAGCATATCAATAGAGTTGCGAGTTTTGACAAAAATGACAAGCAAAAAAGATACGAAGCCATGTCCAAACTTAGTTCAGCAGTTCGAGAAATATCGAACCATCTTATAGTGCATATGGAAGAAGAGGAGGCACGATTGTTACCTTTGGTTCGTTCTCATTTCTCCCTGAGAGATCAGGACGAGTTAATTCGAAGAGTTATGGCGAAGATTCCAATGGAATTTCTTCCTGACGTGTTTCCTTGGATGCTTAATGCGCTGGATGCGGAAGAAAGAGAAAAATTATTTTGTAACATATTGCGCTCTTCAAGTAAGGAGTATTTTCAGAAAATATCGGCATTTTTGGGAGAAGCTGCAAGAAGAGTACGACTTTTGTTATCTTTATGAAGCAACCAATGATAGAATGAAAATTTAGGGAAAAATGGAGCCGTTATTATGGGATGAGTTGTGTCTTCGCATTCCAGAACTACAGCAGTATCAGAATGAAGAAGCAGACCAAGATAATGGCCCCGTGGATGAAATATTGCGTATCCATAAGGCTATAAGATGTGAGCTTCAAAAGTTGTATGTGGTCGTCACCAACTTGGCGATTGACGAGGCGCCTAATCCTAACTCTATCTCAACGATTGCCGAGAGATTCTTTTTTCTTCGAAATATGGTACTGTGGTTGTCACTTATGGATAGTTTATATACTTATAGACCATTTTAGGTAAACGATCACTCAAAGGCAGAAGATAATATTGTATTACCCGCATTAGAGAAAAGACTACCTGGAATCTCTAAGCGATATGAAGGAGAACACTGTGAGGAACGTGAATTGTTTTCCAATGTATTGCAAGTTCTACAAGCTCTTCAATGTGCAGGTTGCGAATCTGAGTGTCAATCACTTTTAAAGCAGTTGCGTTCTCTCGTTCGTGCCCTACACGAGGAACTGAATGGACATTTAAATAAGGAAGAACAAAATTTGTGGCCGAAATTGATCGAAAACTTTACCAGAGAAGAACAAGTCGCGATCGTTGCAGATATATTTGGTACGATGCCATCAGAGAGACTTCAGGAGATGCTTCCATGGCTCATTCGTACTCTGACAGAGTCAGAACAGAGTAACATGCTGAAGCATATACTTCAGGTGACTCATTCGACTATGTTTGAACGTTGGTTAAGTACTTGGTTTCCTTTGATTCCATCCAAATACTCGATTGGAGAAGAGAGTATTGTAGGAGTCAATTCTTGCTCCGGTGCTGAAAAAACAGAAACAGAAGAAAACAATAAATCAGCGCAGTCATGTCAGTCCTCAACTTCATTGAAGCCGAAAACTCCTAAGGGCTTAACTAGTGATTATGAAAATACTTGTGACGCTGTTCGAATTCAAAGTAGAGCAGATTTAGAAAGTGCCATTCGAGTTATTGCATCCGATGAAACCTTGACGGATAAGCAAAAAACTCATTTGATGCAGAATCTGATGTTGCGACCTTATCTTCAAAGCAAAGGTCGTCATTGGCTATGCAGTGTTGAAGAACAAAGTTCAGTTCCTACTTCTTGTTCTTCTCAGGATGATACTGATCATAGCAAGTATGAGGAAACATATCCGGGTGAGTTACAACCTACTTTTCGTGAGTTGGAAGATGGAAGTAGACAATTGGGGTGTTCGCATTATTTGAGAGGTGCAAAGATAAGAACAGTCTGTTGTTCCAAGTTTTACACTTGTCGACTCTGTCATGATGAAGTGGAAGACCACAAGGTTGGAGATAATCGTTATGCAACACGTGAAATGCTTTGTATGCATTGTGGCCGTATTCAGCCAATATCTCAATGGTGTTGCAATCCCGAGTGTTCAAAGAGAATGGCACGTTATTTTTGTCCCATTTGTAAACTGTTTGATGACGATTCTGCTCGGAATATATACCACTGTCACAGTTGTAATGTTTGCAGAGTAGGCAAAGGCTTAGGAATTGACTCTTTTCATTGTATGAAATGTAATGCGTGTATGAGCATGAAGTATGCTAAGAGTCATCATTGCATTGAACATTCGATGGAGTCGGACTGTCCAATTTGTTATCAATACTTATTTACTTCGACTAGTCCGGTAAAGTATCTTCAATGTGGCCATTTAATGCATGTTTCATGTTATAATCATTACGTCAAAAAGAGTTATATTTGTCCCATATGTCAACGATCAATGCAGGACATGTCTAGTTACTTTGCGAGACTGGTAAGTGGTTTATTTTCAAGTGCTTTACCAAAATAGAATTCTAATTACACTTTGAAGGATGAGTTATTGGCACGTGATCAAGCCAAACAACTCTATCGCGGTATCGTATCTCATATTCAATGTAATGACTGTCAAAAACAGAGTGACGTAACCTTTCACTTTGTTTTCCACAAATGTACGCAATGTGGTAGCTATAATACGCGTGTATTGCGAATATCTCGTCGAAAGACTTGATAAAATGGAAATCCATTTGTATATAATATTTTCCCTCCACAACTTTAAGCACAAGGAGAATGCGTCGGGAAAGTATTATCTCTTTTTCCTTTTTCACTATCCAAAACATTTCTACTTCGAGATGACGAACTCTCACTCTTCTCATAAGGTTTAGAGAACTCTCCAATACCCTCCTCAAACACTGAACTCCCCAAAAATGGATCGAAATCATTGTTGTCAAGATAGTCTTGCAAAAGGTTACCACGAAGAGCAGCATCCAATGCAGAATCACTCACAACTGCATCCCCTTTTCTACAAGATTGCCATAAAATAACGTTATCGTTTCGCAATTTTTCCACTTCTTCTTTTAAGCTGTGAAGTTCGTTCTTCAAATAAATCTTATCGGAGCGAAGTTCGTTCTTCTCCGCTCTCAACTCTTCGACTTGCTCCCTGAGAAAGCGATTTTCTGATTCCAGTTGAGTAATATGCTGTTGCTCCCACTGTACGTATTCTATCGTCTGCGTTATCACTGATTCCTTGTCTTTCTTGACAAATCGATCGGCAGAAATGACAGTCATCAATTTTTCAAAAAGTCTGTTCATGCATAGCCTTCGTTTCTTCTCGCGCTCGCGTTTCTTTCTTAGTTTTTTATGATCACTAGTACCTTCTGAACTAGAAGAAGAGGAGTTTGACTTTGTCTCCAACGAAAACGGTGACTGCAAACTAGTTGAACCACTGTGCAAAGCACTTTTTGGATGGCAATAGAAGTTACTTGAACTGGATTCACAAGGTCCCAAACTACCTCGTGTTTCTGCTGTACCTTTCAACCAAGGAAAATCGCCGTTCATTGGAGCTGAAAACTCGTTTTGAGGGGTCTTGAGGGAACTCTCGTTGGTTGCCTTTCTTTTGCGCAAGTGTGCCGACTTTAGAGCCTCCCGAACAACGAGACTCGTATGATCCATACTACACAATATACTTTATTTCTTGTATCTGTAGGGTCAAGTTACAATCCTTGATAAGAAAGTAGCTACAAGATCAACTATCATCAACGGTCCCACCACTCAGTCCCCCCACCCATCTCTCTCTCTCTCTCTCTTCGTTCTCCTCTTCTACTTTCTTTCTCTTTCGAAGAAAATCGATCATTTAGGCACGTGCCATACACGTGTCCGATCCTTCTAGTATGCATTGATGTCTGAGTCCATCATTTTGAAGAATAACATAGGCAAAGGTTTCATATTCACAGTTTCAATCTATGTAGGTGATAAATGACGTAAACTGTATATATAGGAAGGATCACACACCGATGGATAATTTTGTCAAATGTGTTTGGTTCACCACTATATCGATGAAAATGGTGTTTCTTATTATGGTTTCGACGCTTTTTGGAGATGGTTATTAGCAGGTTGTCCTAAAAACCCTAGTCAAGAAGTAAAATCATCTGTAGTGTACTAGTTACCGCAGCTGAACTTGTGTGAATAGGAAATATTACGTCGGAGTCGAAAGTCAAACCAGTTTGGACGACCTTCTTCCTCCAATACTTCACAACAAAGAGCTTCCAGTACCGACCTCCATGCGTGGCGTGTTATGGCAGAAGACTATTATCCTGGAAGGAAAAGCCAAGAAACTACGGACGCGGTGGAACTGGAACAACGGAGAAGTCTCAGTAAAACCGTGAGTTTTTGTAAATCTTGTCCTCTTTTTTTGGGGTTTGACATTTATCTATATATTTACGTTAATAGGAAACCGAACGGCAACAATTGTTGATCAATCAAGAAGATGGCAATGTCTGAAATTGAGAAAAGTGGTGAACAAGAGTTGATATTTCGTAAGATGAAAACAACTAGTAATAACTAGATATATTCCGTCGTAGAGATACTACAATTGCTATTACAGAATAAATACTACACAGTTGATAAAGAAGCATGTTGAGAAATCCAATTTGTCCACAGTGTACAAACCGAAATGAAATTTCATTGGCTGATCGTAATTCTTCCTTGAGCTATAAATAGACAAATCCAAACCCAATCTGATTTGGGGTTGTAACGTTTTTGTTGGAGCTCGTTTTTCGTGTGCTTGTCGTTTGTTGAAAAAATGTGTATTGTCCAACATTATGTTGACTCGAAAGGTGTTTCCCACTATGGTTTTGAAGCATGGTTAAAGTGGGTTGGTGATGGTTGCCCCCCGAATCCCGGCAAAGAAGTACGTAGTATTACGAAAGTAGTGGTGGCTCCATTGAACCTTTTGTTTCTAGGAAGTAACCAAAAAGGCTAGACAGTCGGGGCAGTTTGTGAAAACAACAAAGCAAGGCAACAGTTCTCAGGATTTATCCTCTTGGAGGTCCATGGGTGAAGGATACTATCCTGACAGAAAGAGCCAAGAAACCATGGACGCTGAGGAATTGCAGCAACGAAGAAGCTTGAATAAGACAGTAAGTTGGTGGTTTTTGAGAGAGAAAGAGTCGTTTACCCTTGAATAGAACGCGGAGAGGCCTGGTGCCGCTGCTGCCTCCTCTTAATTAGGAGAGAAGATCAAGTGTACTCAGGTTGAGACTGGAAAAAAACTTAGAAAAAATTACAATTTCGTGTGTTGACTGTATATTTTGCTAAAATTTATCGTTTCTTTAATATAAAAGTATAGACACCAATTGTTTCTGTCTATTACAGAATTCTTGTATGCAACAATTGACTAGTTATTCAAGCAGTTTATTGATACGGATATTCGAGCAAAAACAGATATCACACAAACACAAAAACACAAATGTGGCAAGTGGTCCTTCTCACTTCTTCCTCTTTCGAGCTTCCTTTTCCGCTTCTTCCCTTTCCAAAAGAACTGCTTTGCGTTGGAAATATATTCCCACGCTAAACACAATATTGGACATCGTTAAAAAGAATATAGTCCAAGCAAATCCAATGGAAACTACAACTTCGCGCAAGTTGTTCTGTTGTTGCATCAACTCATCTGAAGGTCGTCGAGCAGTAATAATGGCAGCACCGATAACCCTTGTACACAAAATAAATAGGTCAAGTCAACGCCAAACGTGTGTAACTTACCACCAAATAAACAAAAAGGCATTGACTCCCCATTCTCCATAAAACACATAGTCCATGGGCACTTCAAAGTACAAAGTTCCAAACGTGGCGGCAGCAATCAAAGCTAATAATACGATGGATATACTCCCCAGTGCAATAAAGTAACGGCAATAACCAGCGGGACCAGAAACTTCACTGTTCGTGGCGTAATCCCAATGGCCACCGAAAGAACACTTAAAGTGACGGTAGAGGTAAAATCTCACTTGTGAAAACATTGCTATAACAACCACTGAAAATGCTACAACACTATAGGGTCAGGAACGGAAGGGAATGAAGAAAACTCGAATTACCAAACTGCACAATGTATGACATTTGCTTCAGGCTGTACATTATTCCGGTAGGCAAATCAACAGGTTGTCCACAACGAGGATTTGCTAGACCTCTGATTCCCCGAAAGATAAACGACATATTGGTTATTCGTTGAACCTACTCGCCAGTTACGACGAACTAATTGTCCCCCAACCAAAAATAACGAATCCCTTCCGGAAACAGTGATTTCCTCTTTTCGATAATGGCAAAGGCCGGAAATGAGAAAAAAGAATTGATTTTCTAGAACACTCAATTGTGGTGGAAATACGGGGAGGGCCCAATTCCTTCAAAAGACTGCTTTATGGCATTCCACGAAAAAAAAGAAAATAGAATAAAACTATAAAAAGTAATCAGGAGTACGCCGCGTCACTTGAGCTTCTCCACGACGAGGTGCAGGGTCAAACTGTAAAAAGGTATATTGCTGATATTCATCAAGCTCCATAATGCCGGCTTGATTACCACAACGATAACAATAATTGGGAGCACTAAATATAGTAACTACATTTTGTGAATGACACCAATTGTAGCCCTCCATAACTAATTGATGAGCTCGAGCGATGAGGGCCAAGTTATTGGTCCTATTAAACTGCTCTGAAATGTCTTGGCCAAATGTATAACCAGCGCCACGCGGTGATATTCCCCATCCGCAGCGATCATCAGGATCAGACCATAAAACTAAAAATATTTTAGAATAAAAAATAATACGGCATACAAGAGTAATATACGTACGATCACACATTGGTCCCTCATGAGGTACTTCTTGCACACGATCAAGTGCACGTACTTGGTCTAAAGTGTCAATAGAAGGAGAAAGACCACCGTGCAGACAGAATATAGTCCCTTCAATAAGAGCAGTTAGTGGCATATAATCGAACAGGTCCGTAAAATATTTCCAAACATTAGCATTCCCATATTTCCGAAGACACTCGTCATAAAACCCGTAAACCTGAGTTATCTGCCTACTTTCGTGATTACCTCTCAAAATAGTGATACGGTGTGGATAACGAATTTTCAAACAAACAAGAGCAGTTACTGCTTCTACAGAGTAATATCCTCTATCTACATAGTCTCCCAAGAAAAGATAGTTCGTTTCTGGACAGTTACCGCCAATTTTAAATAGTTCCAAGAGATCATGAAACTGCCCGTGGATATCACCACAAACAGTTACTGGGCAACTAACGGGCTGCACGTTGGACTCTTCAATAAAAAACTCTCGAGCTTTGTCACAGAGTTTCTTGACTTCCTCTTCCGCCAGGGGTTTGCAAGACTCTGTAAGCAGTTGGGATAAATAACGTTCCACTTCTTCGTTCTCCAGCTTTATAGTACCTGTATGCAGAGTAGAAGGAGGCCCTGTGAACGTGTTGGACGGGATACTGTAGTCCAAAGTTGTCATCTTTTTAAACTCTTGGCAAAGGTCTCCCCAAGTTCACAGCTCAACCACTTTTGTCTTTCCTTTGCCCAATCCCAAATGGAATGTTTCCAGCAGGAAAAGCGGCTTTGAGATACTCCCAATTGACTTATGTGGATACATGGCAATATCTTGTGAACATCTATGAAAACAATTGGTTGTTTCATGTTAAAATACGTTTTAACCAAGGTTTCGCAACTGTAGTCTCATCCAGTGACCTTCATATTCATATTTTTCGCGATAGACCTGGAGAGGAGTAGAACAGGGAAGTAAATAATATGAAAGAATCATTTGGATAAGAGCATTCGATACAGAGAGTTGAACGTATTCAAATTTTTGTCGAAGTTGGAACTTCAATATAAACCAGATTATCAACAGACTTTTGGTTTGCCTTTAATTGAGAAATTTTTAAGCAGTCGCAGAGCCTTTGAATATGTATATATACTTATATATATAAATATATGCATGGGTAGAATGGACGTTTATTCAAGGAAATGCAATTGAGAATGACAATTCTGCATTGCTGATAACAGGTCACCTAATAAAGATGGCTTCTGTTACTGGGATATTGGTAATGGGCATCTTTGTATTTTAGTAGAGAATTCATTCTTTTGCTACATGTGCATTCTAACTTTCTTTTTCTCTCTCTCTCAAAATGGAATAGAAGCCATCTAGTTGCCAGTCTCACTAGTAAGTATGCTGTCCCTTGTCCAATCCATTGTGCTTCGTGAAAATTTGTGAGATTGGGGAGGATAGTCAACATCAATATGTCGGAACATGTTGACCCATATGTGATACCTTCCAAGTATGTATTTCCTGGACACAGTAAAGGATAAATTGACGCAGATTTTGAAGGAAAATAAACTGCCAAAGGGATCTTGAGAAATTTTTGAAGTCTTCTACTTTTCAGGTTGTCTACGATAGGTTGTCATCAATAGAGAGAGCTCAAGGCCTTCTTATCAGGATATTTGGAACTTTATTCTTGCTTTAAACGAAGCTGTCCGAGACAAGAAAACCACCGCCGCTGTTCCTCAATCTTCCGTAGTACAGTCCCTTGTGGAGCAGTTAAACCGGCTTTCAGACTGGATAGATGATATTCCTCCCATAGAACAGGTAACTTTTGTGCCAAGAGTTATGTCTAGTTTATTCTTATCCGGGTACATGTAGCCCATGCGTTTTGGTAATGCTGCTTTCAGGACTTGGCACAAGCGTTTAGTGGAAAACAGTAGGAATTTATTGGGTGAGATAGTGTGACGACACTTTTTTTTTGTAGAGTTGTATTGAAATGGGTTGTTAGAACAAGTCTTGCCACCGCAATTGCATCCAAGTATTGTAGAGTTGGCACCCTATTTAGAAGATAGCTTTGGCAACTCTCAGAGAATTGACTATGGTAGTGGCCACGAGGCAACTTTTCTGGCTTTTATGCTTTGTCTCAAGAAAATTGGTGCTTCTTCGGAATCCGATGCAGCTGCTCTAGTATTTCAAGTGTTTGGAACCTATTTGAAAGTAACTCGCAAACTACAAACGGTATACAAATTGGAACCTGCAGGTAGCCATGGTGTTTGGGGTTTAGACGATTATGCATTTTTGCCGTTTTTGTGGGGCTCCTCGCAGTTGTATTCACATCCTGAGATCACACCGCGTTCAGTATTAAATGATCAAGTAGTGGAACTGTACAAAGATGACTATTTATATATTGGAGCCATTCACTTCATTAAACAAGTGAAAAGCGGACCTTTTGCTGAACACTCACCATATCTGTATGATATCAGTTGCATAACGGGTGGCTGGCCTAAAGCCAATCAAGGCCTGTTGAAAATGTATCAAGCGGAAGTATGGAACAAGTTTCCTGTCATTCAACATTTTCTATTTGGTTCCCTTTTGCCATTTGATTAGAGGGAGAGTTGCTTCTCAGTCTAATCACTTTTTTGCATAGTTTCATGTAATTTGCTTTCAACGAAAATAGGAAGGTAGTAGTATTGGGTGCAATTGAGCATAATGACTATAACCATTTGAGTGCTTGCCATTAAAGGAATTTTCTTTCATAGTTTGACATTCCTAGACAAATCCAATAATGGCGCTATTTATCGTCGTCATTCATAAGCATTGCATTTTTCTTTTTATCAAAAATCTTTGCATGGTTTTCTCGTGAATCGTAATTCGAAGAATTGCTGTTGCACAAGCAATGGAAAGTCCAAAGTTCGACAAGGAAGTTGAAGAAATAACGAAAGCTACGGAAAGTACTCGGTTGGATTTGGATATGCCTGTTCACAAGGATCCTCTCGTCAACGGTAAGACCTTGAAGGAACGGTTTGAACTGATTCGCTCCGTCGGAGAAGAGTGCATCCAGGAAGACGAACTGTGGCAACTTTTATGTGGAAGAGGCTCGTCGGAAATCATTTGTTATGATGGTTTTGAACCTTCGGGTAGAATGCATATAGCACAAGGGATTCAAAAGGCTATCAATGTGAACAAACTTACTTCTGCAGGATGTACCTTCAAGTTTTGGATAGCTGATTGGTTTGCGCAGTTGAATAACAAATTAGGAGGAGATCTCAAGAAAATTCAAACGGTTGGTGAGTATTTTATACAAGTTTGGAAAGCCTGTGGAATGGATATGACTCGAGTGGAGTTTCTTTGGGCTTCGGAAGAAATCAACAGGAAACCCAATGAATATTGGATGCGAGTGATGGATATTGCAAGAGTTAACAAGTTACCTCGTATTGTTCGTTGTTCACAAATCATGGGTAGAAATGATACCGATGAGTTATCAGCTGCACAAATATTCTATCCTTGTATGCAATGTGCGGATATTTTCTTTCTCAAAGCTGATATATGTCAACTTGGAATGGACCAGCGGAAAGTTAATATGCTTGCAAGAGAATATTGTGATGATATCAAGCCTAAGAAAAAGTTCAAGCCTATTATTTTATCGCACCATATGTTACCAGGTTTGAAACAAGGACAAGAAAAGATGAGTAAATCAGATCCCGACTCTGCAATATTTATGGAAGACTCGGAACAAGATGTGAATAGAAAGATAAAACGAGCGTTTTGTCCTCCAGAACAAGTGCAAGGCAATCCCTGTCTAGAATATGTGCAGTATTTGATACTAGAACGGAATGGAGAGTTTTCAGTTGATAGGAGTGAAGAGAATGGAGGTCCCGTCACATACCGATCTGTTGTAGAGCTGCATAAAGATTATGAAAATGGAAGGTTGCATCCCAATGATTTGAAACCGGCACTTGCGAAGAGTATCAATGCACTGTTGGAACCAGTGAGAAGTCATTTTGAACAGGATAAGGATGCCAAAGCGTTACTAGAAAAGGTTCGAAAATACCGAGCTACTCGATAGAACCCTAAAGAGTCAATCTTGCAACATCATCACTTATGTGTTCTCTTCTTAGTTTTCTTGCTACAATACGTGAGAAACAAATAATAACCACCGTAGACGAGAAATACTAGTCCGCCTATATAAAGTAGCGTAGCATACAATGCCAATTGGAACTGGTTGTTTACGACCTCAACCCAATAAGCAATAAACGATGGTTTTCCAATATTATCTTCCAAAGGAGTCCATTGAATAGCAATACAACTACAAATATAAGCTCCCTGTAACCACATCCAAGCACAATGTATCAAAAATGCCGAAAAGAAATGAATATTATGAGGACCGATACAATTACGAACCCATAGGCAGTGATGATCCCAACTAATTATGATAGACTGAATAAAAAAGACTCTGTGTGTTCTTACCTTGGAACACATACATTACAAAAGTAACAGTGTTTTGAACCAGGAGCTTTCGGAACCTGACAAATGAAACAATATTCTTTTGAGGTGTGTTGAACTATCGCTATATCATATTGCGACACATCAGTCTCCTTCATAACAACTCCGGGACTTGAAAGAACACAACTTAACCAGCAAAGAAGCGAAGTCAAATAATGAAACCAAACGAAAAATGGTCGAGACCACCAAGAGTCAATGGCCTCCATTCCAGGAGAAATCTCTTTCCAAAAGACGCAAACAACGCTACTTAAACAACAGGGATACAGAAACCACCACTTTACAGAATTCTTCTTTGAAACCTTGTATTTTATACGTTCAGATTGGACTATTTCTCAAGTTGAAAGGAAAGCCTATACCACTTGTCTGTTGTAATCTGCAAAAGAAGAAACGCTATTTGAACCTACAACGCAACTCCACCTTTGAGAACCTTCTGAATGGTTGTATATAGTCACCTTTTTTTCTATGACGATTTCCTCTTATGAATAAAACGTAAATACTTAAAAGCAGAATAATACAATAAAATAAATAAATGCAAGTCAACCAAGTCATTCAATATCAGAATGTTGATGTTAGATTCCTTTGGCTTTTGGGTTTCAAATTTCAGTTGATGCAACTAAGGGTTCATATATCAAAGGAAAAAGATGCAGAGACCTTTGTTAGTCTTCCTCGTAATTTGGTAGCTCCACTTTTAAATTCCAAGGCTGTGGATTTAGAACCTATTGTAATACCTTTGAAGATATCTTGGAACGTCAGTCAAAGTTTTCAAGGAGGTCTTTTTTCTCGCAGTGGAGACAACAACCACAGTAAAGGAATAAGAGTCGCATATGTTGCATGGAGTGGCAGTTCTAGCTCTCAGTTGCAGACTTTTGAAGTAGGCTCACTACTGGCCGAAGTATTGCAGCTAGAAGAGGACCAAATAGTTCAAGTGGAGCCAGTGGCGCCAAAGGATTGTCAAAAGGCCACACGAGTTTTTCTACAGACTGTCAGTGATGAGGACTGGAGTCTTGTAGCGTTACATAGGGACTATCTTGAAGAGGTATTGCTTAATCAAGTGAGGTTGGTTTCACTGGGTCAAACTATTCCCATAAGACTTAGTGGAAATACACAAGTACTATTGGTAGTTACAGACGTCTTACCAAGAAGTGCTTGTAGTTTGTTAGAGTACGATAGTATACTTCAAGTAGAACCTCCATCTTCGTTGCCTCTGGAAAGTCATGGTTCCTCCGACACAAAGAAAACTACAACAAAAGGCCTGAATACAAGGGACTCTAAAAGTAGATCCCGTATATTTCGCATTTTATACACTTACGACGAAAGATATTATTATGGCGTTCTCATGCATCCTAAGACAGCCCATACACTACAACTTGGTGAAGGTGACTTTTTACAGTTAACAGACTCAGAGGCTCACGTAATATCACGCGTCAGTTTGGATTCTTCGGTTCCTTTGTCTCATGTCATGTTGCATTTTTATCAAGCAGTAGTTGTTGGATTTAGAAATGGCTCGAGAGCATTTGCACTTCCTGTGAAAGAAGACAAGACTCGTACCCCGAAAAGTATACTTTTATACACTTTCATGGATAACAAAGGACTTGATATGAATGAAGAAGGCAGTCGTCAGTGGTTGAAAGATGCTTTGTCTAGCATTCATTCTGAACATTTACTTTGTACGAATCGTATATGGATATCCAATCCTCACTCACAAATAACTGCACAAGCTCTTTTATGTTTTGATGAACATCGACTAGAAGAAGAACTCCCTATTTCTAAGCATGATGAACCGTGGCATCCCAAAAGTGATGTTGAAGAGTCGCCAAAGAGCATAAAGTCATCTAATGATATATTGCAAGAATCTAATAGTTACTTTTCTTTGGTTCATTACCGCCTTGATATTCGTAGCTGCCAAGATGTAGTCATTCATCGAGCAACTTTGCCTTCCAAATGGCTGTCTGCTTTGGAACAAATGAAACTTATCTCAAAAAGAGTTTTGTATTTAGACCAAATGAAGGTGATAGGAGAAGCTCCGCAAGAAATATTGAAGTGTCTATACGACCATTTATCGCCTATTTTTTCATATTATGATCCTTATGTGTTACAAGAGCATCATTTGGATACCATTGCTCCTCCGTTTGACGTAAAACCAGCTTGTTGTCACTTTTTTCATTGTCCATCAGGTTATGGAAGTACTTTCTTGGTTGCCAAGTTGGAAAGGAAATTTGTTCAACGCTTACCTAATCCTGTTCAAGTTATATCTTTGCACCTGAATATCCATGCTGGAGAGCCTTGGAATCAAACCTGCAATCGAATCCGTGATACATTTACGTTGGCTTATCGTTGTCGACCCTCTTTGATTATTTTCTTTGATAGCCAAGAAATGTTTTGTCATTCCTCCCAAAATTCACCTGAAGAAAGGGATGTTTGTAAGGAGAGCCTAGAAGCATTGGTAATCGAGTATATCGAAGCATGTTTTTATTTAGGTGGAATCGCAATATTGTTTGTTTCCAAGCAACCGTTGATCAACTATCCCACAAAATTTTTACAGGCTGGTTTGTTTGCAGAAACCTTTACCTTAGATTCTTTAACTATGGAAGATAAAATGGCAATACTCAAAGAAGAGTTGAAAGATATGCAAATAGAATCATTTGTTTGGGAGCATTTGCAAGGTGCTTTAGATGGTTGTTCGATAAAAGATCTCCAGCGATTGGTTCGTCGACTAATTTTGTTTGCCGATACAAATTGCATCATCACAGAAGAAGTCGTAACCAAAGCATTAAATGGCTTTAAACCTGTTGCATTTATGGGTCAAGCTTCTAGTAGCCACGAAGAGGAGTCGGAAGCTAAGGATTTCAGTCAAATCGGTGGTTTATATCAAGCAAAGGAACTCATTAAAGACATTTTAGAGTTGCCACTGAAATATTCGAAATTATTTGCTTCAGCTCCTATTCGATTGGCCTCTGGTGCTTTGATCTATGGCCCTCCAGGTTGCGGAAAAACTTTACTTGTTCGAGCCGCTGCCAAACAGTTCCATCTTCGCATGATCACCGTGAAAGGTCCAGAATTGTTGAACAAATATATTGGTGCCAGTGAAGCTGCTGTTCGTTCATGTTTTCATAGAGCAGCTTCTTTAGCACCTTGTATTTTGTTTTTCGATGAATTGGAAAGTTTGGCTCCACAACGTGGCAGTGACTCTACTGGTGTTTCGGATAGAGTGGTCAATTCGTTGTTGGCAGAATTGGATGGAGTTGAACCTCTTCAAAAAGGAGTTTTCGTTATCGCAGCAACAAGTAGACCAGATCTTGTGGATTCTGCTTTACTAAGGCCTGGTAGATTGGATAAATGGATACAATTGGATATACCAACGATGGAAGAAAGGAAGGAAATTTTTTCCATTTTATTAAATTCATTATCTGAGAAAATAGATTTGGAGTATTTTGCCAGAACAACGGAAGGTTACACAGGTGCTGATTTGCGGTCAATTGTATCCAATGCTCATTTGAAACGATTGAAAAGGAATTTGCATGTAAATCATGTGGAGACTGAGCAAGAAGAGGATGTTGTGGGTGATGGAATAGATCAAGACTTGAAGGATTCGTTGAGAGAAAGCGTGGCATCTTTGAGCATCCAAGAAAGAGAGAAATATGCACGTATTGCTAAGAAAATGACACGAAAGGATGGAAGCGCTATGCATGGAAGTCACAAGGCCCGAGTTGCCTTGCAGTAATGATTTGGATGTCTTTGAGTGAACAGTGATGCCAAGTTTTCATAGAGGAATCTCGTTGATTATCTGTAATCCTGTCTACGAGAATGCGATAGGATGGAAAGCCATCGAGGGATGATTCCAGAAAGATTGAGTAAGGAAGAGTATACAAAAAGAAGCAATGTAAGTGTTCCAATCTTTAACCAAAAATTTTGACCAACTGCTCACTTCAGTCTTTTATCATCATTGATAGGAGAATAGTGATGCTATTATTGCTTCATCAAATTTATAAAAGTCTCTATATCCTTTTGATAGGCCTCGGAGAAATCCAACAAGCACGTTGTTTCATATTGATGAAGATTATTATTTGTACCCAATATTCATATTGAATATAATAGGAATTGTGGGAGGTAAACAATACCTATAACAGACACTTCCTATTCTTCCGTTAAAGGAACATTATTCGATTACTTGGCACAGAATAATACGTGTCATAAAAAATCCCTGTACCAAAGGACACGTGAGAATGTCCCATCCTACTACAACTAAGATTTTCCCAAAAGATATGGATTTTTGTGGATTTTCTGATGACTTGTTAAACTATGCCACTACTGCAGTCTCTTCGACAACTTCCTAGAGCCGAATATGCTTCCAAATTGGCAGTTATTTCAAACGGTGCACATCAACGAAAGTTATCCCATTCCGACTTGCATAGGGAGATTGAACAAAACGCTGCCTTGTTGAGGTTAGCTGGGTTCACTCCAGGGATATCTGTGGCACTTTATGTGGAAGATGAACTGGACTATATCATTATGTTTTTATCTTGTGTTTGGGTGGGTGTTGTTGTACATCCTATACCTTTGAATTGTAGCGAAGAAGAACTCAAGTCGATTATTCTTACTCGCAACTTGAAAACCATCCTTTTTTCGAACAAAGATGGTAGTCAAGTATCCATGATGGGGCATAAAATAGCTTCAGAACTTGAATTACATGTTATCCGAGTGAAACAGACCATCAACGAGGGTACAAAAATGGAGTTGCACGAGTTGAAGACAATGTCATTTGAAGAACGACATTATAAGATTGAACCCAATTATCTTGCTTTGGTGGACCAAATGGAAGAAACGTTTTCCAATGAAATAGTTTCCTTTACTCATGAACAAATTTGCTTGGCAATTCATATGGTTTCCTCATCTCATGGACCGCAATCCGATGATATTGTATGTCTGGTTGGTCATCCAGTCTCTGTTCATATGCTCATAACTAATGTATTGGTGGCTCTTACCAACGGTTGTCCCATACTGATAGCTCGGGAAACAATCCTTCATCCAGAGTCTGTGATCAACCAAGCTACTTCCTTTGGTATTACTTGGTTAGCAGCACCGTTGCCTGAATTATCAAGTTTGTTGACGCATCCCAAAGCTGTTAATATCTACAATCAGTTGAAGTGTGTTTGGTGTCTCTCTTCGAGTCCTTTTGTAAGGTCTCAAATGCAATCTTTGTTTACCATTCGTCATTCGTTATCGTGTCCTCTTTTCCTCATCGTTGGATTGATATCATCATTGAGGTTAACCTTTCAATATCTCGTGGAGACTGTTGCAACAATAGAAAATGAATATGAATATTGGGAAATCGGACAACCATTTGAAAACATTCAAGTCTTATTAGTTAACCCCGATTCCCGCGATATCGAATCAGAACAAGGCGAAATGTGGATATCTGGAGATATCCTATCTAAAGATTCCTTGACTGACCACTGCCATTTGAATGATTCCATATTGTACATGAAAACCGGATGGATAGTAAAGCGCAACCACGTTGGTCATTTACAACCCATAGAAACATTGCAATCATATCGACAATTAGAGGAAAGTAGAAAACTCTGCAATGATATTCGCGAAGAAGAAAACCAAGTTCTCACCATGGATTCCTCAGAACCTCCTTCGACTGGATTGAAAGCCACTTCGCTTCCTATAGTACCACCCACTTTAGACACTTTGTCTTCACAACTTGTAAGTTGCCCATCGTCTTCTATCGTGAAGTTACCTTTACCTATTCATGCCAAAAGAGATTCAAGTTTACATTTGCCGTGGAAATATGATGATGATGAACCTCAATATTTTCGAGTTGGAAAATCCACATTTAGTTTGGCAGAAATCGATTTCCTATTACAACTCATTCCCTCCATTGACAAAGTGAAAAGTTTCCTGGTCAACGATCGAGTCCATGTTGCATTGACTCTCCAGCCAGGAACCAAAGTGACAGCTACAAGTTTTACAAAACATTTAAAACAATGGGGTATTATTCGTGAAGGTGTTATCCCCGTTCATTATTATGTTTGTCGTCGATGGAAATCTTCTACTCGGGAATCCATCAAGCAATATTGTCTATCGATGCCACAACACAAGGTAAAGGAAGCTTCTACCGAGTCGTTTTTATCGAAACCTGGTCATCAACCGACGAGAAAGGATGATGATCCTTCGAAGCATCATCATAGTGTATCCATATTATCAAGGTTGGTTCATTTTCAGTCGACGAGCGATGATGACCATTCATCATCCGCAGAGACATTGCCTAATAAGAATTTATTTCTTTCATGGAAACGACGACTGAAAAAGGCTTAAAGCTCTATTTGTGTGAAACATGATCCACATGATTTTCTCATTTTATTTCAACTTTCTGCATGCATCGAAATGGAACTTTCTCCCAACAACTGCAAACAATGAACGATCATTTCTATCTCTTCATCCATTCTTCTCGTCGAGTGCTCTCGTGAAAACTTTTCCAATAACAGCAACAAAATATCGGTAAACCCATCGGATATCAACTTATATCGCACTTTCAAACGTTGAACTGCACTCACCAAACGACAAATACCCGCTACTTTCTCCACTCTTGGATGTTGCATCTCTTTAAATAACCAATGACCCACAACTTCCACCATTTGTGCAACGATTGCTTCTTCTTCTCGATCCAACAACGATAACAGAAACAAACTGGCTGCATATCCTACACTTCCAGTAGATGCTTCCTTTCTATTCCAACCGATATAATGTTCAATGATCGTTGCAATCCAGGAAGGTGTTTTGTGTTGACTTAAAACAATTACCGCTTGAGCTACACAAGGAAAAGTATCCACCAAATCATGTAATACATAAAACATTGTTTTACAACACGCTGGATGAACTGCTTCGACACTCCAATCGTACTTGTGAGCCCAAGTCTTATCCCACTCTTCTTCATCCACTTGATTCTTCGGCTCCAACAATTCCCACAAATGTTGCAATACTTGTCTCAATCGAAAAGAAATGGAATAGGTATCACGGAATTGCAAAGCATCTTGTGTAGTTGCTGTCTGAGATAATTCCAACTTGTAGCCATTGCCCACTTTCTTCACGCTAGTCATTCTTGCCAATGCTTTCAAATAAACGACAGGATTCTTGGCAATCATGGGCAACGAATGAACAATCAGAAAGCTAGGGTTGACCAAAGAACGTGACTTCAAAATATATCGAATGGAATCTTTCATTCCATCTTCTAAAACTTGGGCATCCTGCACAAGATTTCTTACCAGTCCTCGAAAACTGAACAATGATGAAGATACTTGCAACGAATTGGACTCATCTGACTCCTTCACGGCAATCCATCTTATAACATTTTTCGAAAAGAGAACATGTAAACCACCTCTTTCTATGAATCGGTTCACCATCACTTCCTCTTCTGTCAACGCCGCAAGCAACTGAACACAG